GTTCCAATTTTAAGACATTTTAGATAAGCCTTATGGTAATTACCACAAGGGAAAAATCTATACTGATAACACAAAAAAATATGATATTAAAGAGTTAGAGCATACTGATACCAAAGACATCAAAACATGAAAAAAAGAAACCGCAGCAGGATAAAAATACAACAGTAGCTCTATGAAACAATCAGAAAGTAATTAATAAAAGAGCAGTAGTAAGTCCTTACCTATCAATAATTACTTTCAGTGTAAATAGATTAAATATCCAGTCAAAGGCATTGAATAGCTGAATGGATAAACAGACAAGATCCAACAATAAGCTGCATCCAAGAACTCATGTTAGTCTTCAAGGCACACAGACTAAGAGTGAAGTGGTGGAAAAGACATTTCAACCAAATGGTAATCAAGAAAAAAAAAGGCAGAGGTAACTATACTTATATCAGACAACATAGATTTTAAAAATAGTAAAAAGAGACAGGCAAGGTCATTATATAATGATAAATCATCCATCAGGAAGATACAATTGTATTTATGCACCCAACTTCATGGTACCTAAATAAATAAAGCAAAAACTAACAGAGCAAAAGGAGAAAAAAAGCAATACAATAAAGTTGGAGACTTTAATACCCTACTCTCAACAACAGATAGGTCATCCAGACAGATAATCAATAAGGAAACAGCAGATGTGATCAATGCTGTAGACCAAATGGAGGACCTAACAGACATATACAGAACATTCTGACAACAGCATAATACACATTCTAATCAAGCACATGTGGAACATTTCCTAGTATAGAATATGTGTTAGACCACAAAGCAAGTCTTAGCAAATTCAAGAAGACTGAAATCCTATCAAGTATCTTCTCTGACCACAATGGTATAAAACTAGAAATCAGTAACAGGGGAAAACCTGGAAAATTCACAAACACATGGAAGTTAACACTCTCCTGAATAACCAGTGGGTCAAAGAAGAAATTAAAGGGGAAGTTTAAAAGTATCTTGAGACAAATGAAAATAGAAACACAATATACAAAAATTTACAGATGTAGTGAATGTAGTTCAAAGAAGTTCATATCAAGAAACACCTACATTAAGAAACAAGAACTCAATCAAACTAACCTAACTCTGCTATGGGGAACTAGAAAAAGAAACTAGATCCAAAAGTAGCAGAAGGAGGTAAATCCTAAAGATTAGAGCAGAAATACACAAAATAGAGAACAGGAAAATAGAAATATTACCAAAATTGTTTTTTCAAAAAACCAACTCTTAAACAAAATTGACAAACTTTTAGCTAGACTAACCAAGTAAAAAAGAGAGAGGACCCAAATCAACAAAATTGTAAATGAAAACAAATATATTTCTGTGGTATTAATTGTAATAAGTTTCCTAAGAGGCTATTAGGAACAATTATACACCAACAAACTGGATAATAACCTAGAAGAAAGGGAGAAATTCTTAGGACTATACAACCTACCAAGACCGAATGAAGAAGAAATGGAAAATATGATTGGACCAATTACTAGTAAGATTGAATTAGTAACCAAAAATCTCCCAGCAAAGAAAAGACCAAGACCAGATAGTTTCACTGTTGAACTTTGCCAAACATTTGAAAAAAATTAATGCCAATCCTTCTCAAACTCTTCCCAAAAACTGAAGAGGAGGGAACACTACCAAATTTTTATTTTACGAGGTCAACATTACCCTGATGCCAAAGCCAGAAAAGAACACTAAAGGACCAGTAAAGAAAACTACAGGCCAATATCCCTGGAACAAAAATATTCAATAAAATACTAGAAAACTGAGTTTAGCATAATAAAAGGATCATTCACCATGGTCAACTGGGATTTACCCCTGGGGTACAAGGATGGTCCAACATATGCATATTTCATATGAATGAAATAAAAAATTATATGATCATCTCCATAAACATAGAAAAAGCATTTGACAAAAGTCAATGTCCATTTATGATAAAAACCTTTAACAAGGGGTGCCTGGGAGGTTCAGTCAATTAAGCATCTACCTTCAGCTCAGGTTGTGATCTCAGGATCAACCCCCATGTCAGGCTCCCTACTCAGCAGGGAGCCTGCTTCTCCCTCTCCCTCTGCCCCTCCCCCCCATTTATGCTCTCTGTGAAATAAATAAAATCTTTAAAAAACCCTTAAATTAGGTACAGAAGGAATGTACCTCAACATAATAAAGGCTATGTATGGGGTTCCTGGGTGGCTCAGGTCATGATCTCAGGTCCTGGAATTAAACCCCATATCAGGCTTCCCAGTCAGTGGAAAGTCTGCTTCTCCCTCTCCCTCTGCCCCCCCACCCCCCGCTTGTGCTCTCTCTCTCAAATAGATAAAATCAAATACATACACACATACGTACATACATACTATCTATTACAAGCCCTCAGCTTACATCATACTCAGTAGTGAAAGATTGAAATTTTTTCCTTTAAGATCAAGAACAAGAGAAGGATGCCCACTCTCACCACTTTTATTCAACATAGTACTGGAAGGTCCTAGCCAGAGCAATTAGGCAAGAAAAAGAAATTTAAAATATCATAATTGGAAAGGAAGAGGTAAAATTGTCTCTATTTGCAGATGACATGATTTTATATGTAGGAAATCCTGAATATTCCACCAAAAAATGGATAGGTCTAATCAATGAATCAGAAAGTTGCAGAATATAAAATTAACATGCAGAAATCAATAGTGTTTCCATATACTAACAATGAATTATCAGGAAAAGAATTAAAGAAAATGATCCCATTTGCAACACTATCAAAACAATAAAATACTTAGGAAGAAATTTAGCCAAGACAGAAAAAGATCTCTACTCTGAGTATATCAAGACTGATGAAGGAAATTAAAGAAGACAAAAATAAATGGAAAGGTAGCCCACATTCATGACCTGGAAAAATTAATATTGTTAAGATGTCAATACCACCAAGAGCCATTTATAGATTCATTGCAATCCCTATCAAGATTTCAATGGCATTTTTAATAGGTAGAAAATTTACAGCTCTAAAATTTACATGAAACCACAAAAGACCCCAAATAACCAAAGCATTCCTGAGAAAGAACTAAGCAGGAGGCATCATACTTCCTTATTTGAAGCTACACTACACAGTATAGTAATCCTAACAGTATGATACTGGCCAAGACCAATAGAACAGAATCAGAGCCCAGAAATAAACCCATGTGTATAGTCAGTACTTGACAAGGAAGCCAGGAATGTTCAATGGAGAGAAGATCGTCTCTTCAATAAGTGGTGTTGGGAAAACTGGACATTCACATATAAAAAAATGAAACTAAATCCCTGCCTTACACCATTTATATTAATTATTTCAAAATTGTTTAAGAATTTAAATGTAAAATTAGAAACCATAAAACTGCTAAAAGAAAACGGGAGAAAAAGCTCCTTGACATGGATTTTGACAAGGATTTTTTTGGTTATGATGCCTAAAGAATAAGCAACATGATCAGAAATAGACAAGTGGAATGACATCAAATTAAGCAAAAGAAATGAACAAAATGAAATGACAACCTGTAGAGCAGGAAAAAATATTTGCAAACCATATATCTGATAAGGGCTTCAAATTCAAAATATTTAAAGGACTCTACAACTCAACAGAAAAAATTTAATTAAAAATAAGCAAAGCAGGGATCCCTGGGTGGCGCAGCGGTTTGGCGCCTGCCTTTGGCTCAGGGCGTGATCCTGGAGACCCAGGATCGAATCCCATATCGGTCTCCCGGTGCATGGAGCCTGCTTCTCCCTCTGCCTATGTCTCTGCCTCTCTCTCTCTCTCTCTGTGACTATCATAAACAAATAAATTAAAAAAAAAGAAAATACTTTAAAAAAAAATAAGCAAAGCATCTGAATAGACATTTTTCCAAAGAAGATATACAAGTGGCCAACCAGTACATGGGAAAAAAGTGCTCAACATCACTTATCATCAGGGAAATGCAAATCAAACCACAATGAGAGATCACCCCACACCTGTCAGAATGTCAACCACTGAAAAGACAAGAGATAACAAATGTTGGCGGGGCTGTGGAGAAAGAGGAGCCCTTGTGCCCTGTTGACACAGGGAATGTAAATTGGTGCAGTCACTCTGGAAAACAGAATGGAGGGTACTCAGAAAATTCAAAATAGAAGTACCATATAACCCGGCAATTCTAGTCCTGGGAATATATCCAAAGGAAACAAAAACACTACTTGGAAGAATAATCTGCATCCATAATAATCAAGTCATGGAAATAACCAAAGTGTCCAACAGATAGATGGATGAAGTTGTGGTATATTTACAATGGAATTCTATTCAATCTGTTAAAAAGGAGGAAACCCTGCCATTTGTGACAACATGGATGGGCCTTATAGGCATTATGCTAAGTGAAATCAGCCAGCCAGAGAAAGACAGACACTGTATGATCTTACTCATACATAAAAATTAAAAAAATAAAATAAAATAAAAGCTCAGAAAAAGAGACCAGATTTGTGGTTACCAGAGGCCACAGTTGGGGGCAAGAGGGATTGGATGAAGGTGGTATAAGCTTCCAGCTGTAAGATAAATAAGTACTAGGGATGTAATCTACAGCATGACAGCTATAGTTGTGATATAGAAGAAAATTGTTAAGAGTAGATCCTAAGAGTTCTCATCACAAGGAAAAAAAATTTTTTTTGGTTATCTATATGAGATGATGGGTATTAACAAAACCTACTGTGGTGATCATTTCACAACATACATATGTCAAATCATTATGCTGTATACCTGTGACAGGCTGTAAGTTACTTACATCTCAACAGAACTAGAAACAAAATACAAAAACAAAAAAACCTCAGCAAGATCATGCCTTGAAAGTGAACTCACTCTGTCAAGTGGGTGGCAGGATTGGAAGTAGCGCTACCAGCCTAATTATATTTTTAAAAGACAGTTGTACATTTTTATAAGCCTTATATCATTTCTAAGCAACAGTATGCAAACATTAGAATTCAGTAATTCAAATACTCACCATTTTGAGACAAAAGAAAGGTTAGCCCTTTTCCTGGAGATTTAAAGTTCATTTTGGAAATTCTTTCATTACTTAGAGACTTCTTGATCTTGGGCTTTTACATAAAAAAATCATAAAGCAAAATATGATTTCTGCATCAGTGTGGATTAAAACTAATTTTCTGCATTACAAATAATTATAAAATTATTAACAAGGCCATTCTCTTTAAGCAAAAGAGACTATCTTTGACTATTTTTAACCTGCATAAAATATTGCTATTTGTATCATTAAGGAAATGAAAACAGTTATTATATCCACTAAAACCTTCCTCCCAAGAAACCAAAGATTTGAAAGTCTTCCCTGGAATGTTGGAAAGTGTTTATTGCATAGAGGTAACTGTGTATATACGTTCCAATATTAATGGCATTAATTTCCAGATATAATCTGTTCACATCCACATTTTTGCTTCCAACTAGATCTCAACCCCAGGCTTGTGTCTCCATCTCTGCCCCCTGGGTGTGTCTGATCAGTTACTTTAAGCCTAATGTGTCTAAAACCAGCTCCCTAATTCTGCCCCCAAACTTCCATCCCCCCCACTCCAGCCTTCCCTCATGGCAAATGACAACTGTGTCTTCCAGTCATTCAGGCCAGAAGGCTTTGAATCATCTTGGCCTTCTCTTTCCCTCTCAAACTCCACAGCCTCTGACAAGCCTGCACATAATTCCAAGAGCTTCCTTACTAGTTTGTCAACAGTGAAGCTATAGGGAGCCTACTGATCTCTGCTCTGGGGCCCTTCCGCCTCACTGAGAAGGAAAGCCAGGCCCGCACCATGGCTGGGCACCCTCCTGGTCTGGCCCCGCTGCCCCCACTGAATTCCTGTGTCCTGCCACTCTGGTGTGGCTGCACCTGCTGATCCACTTTTCTTTCAACAATCCAAATACACCCTCATGCCCATGACTTTTGACATGTCTACACCTTGTCTACACCTGTGAAACAATCACCTCGGTCAAGAAAGTGAACATTTCCATCACCCCAAGTTTCCTGTGTCTCTTGGGATTCCCCCCTTTTCTCTCATCCACAGAATACTCTTCCTCCAGATAATCCCATGGTTGCTTCCCCACTTCCTTCACATGTGCTCAAATGTCACTTCATCAGAAGACCTGTCACCACCTCACCCTGTCACTCGACAGCCTGCCTTGTTTTTTACCTTATCACTTGTACCTCGTAAATGTGAGGAGGTGTAGCATTGTGGTAATGGGTGCAAATTCTGGAGTCAGACTGCCTGCATATAGACCCCCCGGCTCTACTAGTTACTGGATCCATGACTATGGGCAGGTTACCTAACCTTTCCATGCCTCAACTCCCTCCTAGAGATGGGAACAGTACCCGAAGGTGGTTTGGGGTGTCAAATGAGCTCCTCCTGGGAAGTGCATGGCACCTGGTAAACACCCCAGGAGTCTTAGTTAGCTATTATTACTGTTCACTTGTCTCCCTCTCCTACTGGAATGTGAAGTCCACGAGAGGACAGGTTTTTGCTTCACTGCAGGTCACTAGCACATAGAAGTGTGTTCATCACACAGTAGGTGAGCAAAACTCGTTAATATTGCAACCAGGTAACTGTTGTTATGTGGTTATAGTTGTACATGCAAACCTCTGATCTCCTTATTTTGCTAAGATCAAGCATGAGTCCCAGCTTGCTTGAAGATGACTTGGTGCTGCCATCCTCCAGATCTGATTCCTGGCTTGTTCCTACACTTGAACTCCTGTTCTGGATGTTCTGAGCAAGGACAAACACATAAGAGGATTTGGAGTTTCCATGGAGACACAAACACGATTTTTAAAAAAGATTTATTGGGGGGATGCCTGTGTGGCTCAGCAGTTGAGCATCTGCCTTTGGCTCAGGGCGTGATCCCTGAGTCCCGGGATCAAGTTCCGCATCGGTCTCCTTGCATGGAGCCTACTTCTCCCTCTGCCTGTGTCTCTCATGAACAAATAAATAAAATCTTTTAAAAAAATATATTTATTGGGGCACCTGGGTGGTTCTAAAATAAGTAAACCTTAATGACTAATTAATTAAAAAATAAAGATTTTATTTATTTATGAGAAAGAGAAAGCACATGTCAGGGTGGAGGGGCAGAAGGAGAAGGAGAAGCAGACTCCCCACTGAGCAGGGAGCCTAATGCAGAGCTCCATCCCAGGACCCAGAGATCATAACCTGAGTCAAAGGCGGACATTTAACCTACTTAGCCACCCAGGTGCCCCCACACACAATTTTAATGAAGTATAATTTACAATTAAAGAGTCGCTCTTGGGATCCCTGGGTGGCGCAGCGGTTTAGTGCCTGCCTTTGGCCCAGGGTGCGATCCTGGAGACCCGGGATCGAATCCCACGTCGGGCTCCCGGTGCATGGAGCCTGCTTCTCCCTCTGCCTGTGTCTCTGCCTCTCTCTCTCTCTCTCTGTGTGTGACTATCATAAATAAATAAAAATTAAAAAAAAAGAAAGAGTCACTCTTTACACAATAAATAATGTGCTTGTGTGCGTAGGTCTGAAGAGTTCCATTGGCCCCCAAGACTCTCCCTGTGGCTCCAAATGAATGACTCAAAACTCAGAAATCCTCTAAGCCTATTTAAGACAGCCTCACCCACGTCTACTTGGTATCAATTTGCCCCAGCAGCTGGATCCTTCAACAGGGTGGCTGACACTGCCCCTACTCCACCAAGGTCTGGCAGTGGGCCTTGAGTCCAGCAGGCCTGTCCTGTGAGCCGGCCACATCCTAAGGGACCCATCTAACATCTCATGCACACTCAGGAGCTGTTTCTTAACATCTTCACTCTGGGACAGGCTCTCCACTCTGGTAAACTCTAGATCATGTAATGAAACATTGCATTCTAGCCCTTCTTGTCCGCCCAATGTGTTGGTTGGCACTCTGACCTTCATCAGGATATCTCTGCTACTGTGGTTTGGAGTTTACGCCCTGGGTCATGACCAAGGACCTAACTTTTTTTTTAAAGATTCTATTTATTTATTCATAAGAGACAGGCAGAGAGGTAGGCAGAGGGAGAAGCAGGCTCTGTGAGGGGAACCCAACCTGGGACTCAATTCTGGGACCATGACCTGAGCTGAGGGCAGACGCTCAACCACTGAGTCACCCAGGCGTCTCCCAAGGACTTAACTTAAATACAATATACTCTTTCAAAATATGAAAGGAAGTCTCAAGTTTTTTCATAAGTCTTAAATTATTTCCTGAAAGGTGACAAAAACCCAAGATAGTTTTGATATTGGTTTAACCATGCCACAATGAAACCATTTCTTGCTCTGTAGATTCTAAGACACCTTTACCTGATTCATCATATAAGGGCTTCCATGTTTGTTTCCAGACAGGTCCTCATTTGGAAAATTTAAATATTCTTTAATCATTTGTTCAGTAACAGAGATGAGTGCGAAGCTTAAGAGAGCTTCAAAGAATTCCAGGAAAACCAGCTGAAACATAAGAAAGTATAAAGGGTCTTATTCATTCTGACATACTCTAAGGTGGACAAGTGAGTCACCTGGGTGTTGGCTTCTTTCTCCAGAGGATGCCACCTCATTCAACACCCACCTATCATGGGTGCATGCCTCTTTGAAATAAGAACTACAATATTTAAAAGATTATGTGCATTCGATTATTAGACTTATAAGCCATTTTCTATTTTGATGGAAACGTTTATTTTATATTAGTTAATTGAGGACATTTTAGAAAGGGTTTCCTTTTTTCTTAAGCTACTTAGACCAGTGGCATCTGAAGTGACAAGTGCAGGTGTTACCCACTTGGTAGCCATGCCCCTCCCGGCTGTGTGCACACCTGACCACGGGCCTGCCTCCACCCGAGCAGCACCTGCAGCAGGGACAGCTTGCTTGGACTTTGATCATTCACCTGTCTCTTGGTCCTGAACCCAGAACCCTGTGAGTCTGAGCTGGAACAGGCTTGCTCATTTGACCGATGGTGCCAGGCCAGCCCCTGCCTGCTGCCAGGGATCTGCTTAGCATCCCTGAAACCTCAGTGTCCTCTAGGCTAACAGTTGGTTGACACCTGTCCAAAGATGGCTGGTAAATGAGACATTTGCTTAGCTCAAGGGCAGGACACTTTTAGTTTCTTATCCCCAAATTTGACTCTTCCTGTGACCCCACCTAACTCTCACTCACTACCCACCAAGCTCATAAACTGTCTTACCACTATGCCAGACCGCACCTCCCAAAGACTTTGCTATTTGCTGAATTGAACCACACTGAGCATCAATTTCTTTGTCTGTAAGATGCATCAGTACCATATACTTTGTCATGAGGATCAGATGAGATCCTGGTGTGAAGTGCCTGTCATCCCACTTGTTGAATCATTAGTGGCTGGTGTTTGTAGCTGTTATCTTAAGTAAAAGCACAGGCCAGTGGGTTCCTGCCCCTACCCAGGCACCCACTGTCACTGGCCTTGAGGTGATACCAAACATCCACTTTGTAAGCATGACCCACAACAAGAAGAATCTTGCTTTCTTACTAGCTGTTCTGCTCATGTCAGTCCTACATCTTCCTCCCCTAGCAGAGAGCAAACTTTGAAGACACAGCACCCCACCTCGCACTGTGGGTGTTCTGTAAACATCAGATGGATAGAAACAGTGCCTACAATTAATAGCTCTAGCCTACTCTGTGTATCCTGGCTTATGATTTTGCCTGTCAGCTTGAGAAAAGCAGCCTAAAGTTTTTGTTCAAAATGGAGTTATTCTTACAGTTTGGATAAGATCTGAAGGGAACTCACAAGCATCGTGAGGTGGAAGTAGCACAGTGGCAGGTGGGGAGCTCACCCAGTGTAGACACTGGAATGACAAAGTCCTTGGGAGACACTGGGATGGGATGAGTATGTTTTACACTTAAGGAGGACATGAATGGGGGGTGAGAGAGCAAAGGGAAGACTGTTATGGGCTGAATTATGTCTCCCAAAAAAGTTGGAGTCCTAACCCCCAGCACCTCAGATATGACCTTATTTAGGGATAATGTTTTTAGAGATCAAGTTAAAATGAGATCATTAGGGTGGGCCCTGATCCAACATGGCCACTGTCCTTATAAGAGGGAAATTGGGACACAGAGACAGACCCATGGCGGGAAGATAATATGAAGAGACCTGGGGAGATGGCCGCCTAACAAGCCAAGGGGAGAGGCCCAGAGCACAGCCTTTCCTACAGCCCCAGAAGGAACCAGCTCTACCTTAACTCAGTGACTACTGGCACTACATTTCTGTTATTTAAGCCCCCACAAAAATGGCGGGGTGGGGCACAGGAAGTTTAAATGTTCTGAGGTAGAAGCAAGATGGGTGCGTCTCAGGAACAGCTTGGAGGCAAGTATGACTCAGTGGTCAGACAAGGACTCAGCAAGGTGGCACCATCCGTGTCTTGAGGGTCTTTACTCCAAGTGAGATGGGAAGCTGGACGGTGTGAGCAGGGGAGTGACCTGGCTGCTGCCCTGGGCAGTGGGAGGATAAGAGATGAATCAGGAAGATTAGTGAGCAGCTTTCTAGGTGATGGTGGGTGGCTCGGCCAGGGCGGAAGCAGTGTGGGTGGTGGGAGGTGCCACATCCTGGATATACTTGAAAGTGGAGCCAACAAGATCTCCTGAAGATTTGAATGTGGCCTATGAGAGGAATCATCGAGACAGGGAGGGGGCCTGACAGCTGGAGGGTGGAGTGCCATCAATACAGGGGTACACAGGGGGAGGATGAGGGTCACAGCTGTAGTTTGGGGTGTGGGACACTCTGGGCTGTTAGAAGCCCAAGAGGCCACTCTGGCTAGGCCGTCTGGAGCTGGAGCGCATGATTTGGGTTACAGATACAAACACTGGCCTTGTCCTCAGAATGATTATGAGACAAAGGGTGGGCGTAGCTAGAGAAAAGGACCCAGGCCTAAGTCTGGGGCACTTGGACAGGATGAGTATAGCAGAAGTCGGAAAGGAACCAGCAGTGAGGGAAGTGGAAGACCAGGGAAAGAGGGGAAGAACATGTTTGAGGTGGGAGACATGGTATTTCAGGTGCCATGGCAACGCCCCCGGGGTAGGTCATCACAGAGTCACTTGTGGCCTGAACGCAAATGGTGTTAGCTGAGTTGGGGGAGCCACACAGATCCCACCCTTTAGGACCTGTCCAGAAGAGGCAAATGCTCAAGGTCAAGGAGTAGATTCCTGGTGGCAGGGGTCGGGTGAGGGGAAATCAGGAGGAAGGATTAACTGGTTTGCACCACTTCCGTTTATAGAAGAAAAGACTGAGCCTGGGGAGGCCGAACTGGCCAAAGCCCTTCCGCAAGGAGTGCTGAAAACTGAAGGCACTTAGACTAAGTCACTAGAGATCCATCAGTGTCTTTGACAGGTTATAGGACTCATCTCCCAGAAAAACACACACGTGTATTAAATTGCTAAATTATCCAAGAAATAGCATCGTACAGATGACCCTTGAACAACACAAGTGTGAAGTGTGTGGGGCCACCGATATGCAGATTTTTTTCTATGCATACAAATGCTGCAAATGTCTTTTCTCTTCCTTATAATTTTCTTAAATTTTTTTTCCTCTAGCTTATTTATTGTAAGAATACAGTATATAAAGCCACCTGGGTGGCTCAGGGCTTGCATGTCTGCCTTGGGCTCAGGTCGTGATCCCAGGGTTCTGGGATCCAGTCCCACATCAGGCTCCTTGTGCAGAGTCTGCTTCTCCCTCTGCTTATGTCTCTGCCTTTCTATGTCTCTCATGAATAAATAAATACAAATCTTAAAAAAAAAATACAGTATATAATACAAAATACATGTTGATTGCCTGTTAATGTTATCTGTAAGGCTTCCAGGCAACAGCAGGCTATTGGTAGTGAAGCATTGAGGGAGTCAAAGTTATACCTGAATTTCTGACTGCGTGGGGGTGTCAGTGTCCCTAACTTGTGTCGTTCAAGGATCCACTGTAGTTTCATATCCTTTTGACTTCATTCACTACTTCTTGACATCTGAAATATTTTTTGTTTTATTAACTCTAGTTTTCTAACAATCAAGGAGATACAGCTATATAGATACACACAGCTATACACACATGTATGTATACACACACATGCATATGGACATTCACGTATTTATGTATGGGGTTAGAATGCTTTTCAGTCAAATCTTGGTTCTTATTTGTATCCAAAGCAGGACAGCCTCAACCATATCTGCACTATTTGTGACAACTCTTTACAAACCTCAAGTTCAAAGTTGCTGTCAACACCGTCATGTATGAAAGGATTATCCTCTGCGATGACCTCCACAAATTTGGTTGCTGTTAATTCTTTATTTATCATTTTAAAGTCCTGCAAAAGAATCCACCAATTAAACCACAATGGCCTGTAATTACTAATAGCTACATATTTTTAGTGTCAATTTATATCCATATGACACTTTAAGGAGATGTTCTAGAAATGAACAGTTCTTTGAAACTGATCCTCTTGAAAAGCATTCTAGATTAACATTGGTATTTACCTCTCTAGACCTTCCCTCATGGGATCCCTGGGTGGTGCAGTGGTTTAGCACCTGCCTTTGGCCCAGGGCGTGATCCTGGAGACCCCGGATCGAATCCCACATCGGGCTCCCGGTGCATGGAGTCTGCTTCTCCCTCTGCCTGTGTCTCTGCCTCCCTCTCTCTCTCTCTCTCTCTCTCTCTCTCTCTCTCTCTGTGACTATTATAAATAAATAAAAATCTAAAAAAAAAGATTTTAGACCTTCCCTAATTCCTCCAAAAAGAAAAGTGTCTTTAGAGGCATAAACAAAGGGCTGAGGGGTTGGAAGAGTAGATGATCCAGATGTGAGTTATCGGCCCAGCTATACAAGTAGGGAAATGGTGCACTGGGGGCCACAGAATCAGGGTGCTGTGGGCACTCAGGAAGGAGACCTCGCTGGAAGTAATGCTGCAGGCCAGGCTGGACACAAGAAGACTCCCTGAAAGTCCAGGTGTAGACCCTGTCCGCATCAACACTGCAAACAGGAGGTTTGCTCTCGGAGATACTGAACCAGAGAGCATTTGGCCCAGGACACACTGTCTCTCCTAAAGTCAGTGCTGCGGAGATTAAGGATTAAGTGAAAGTGCACCTCGCAGGGCCTGGCTCTGTGCTGGCCCACCCTCCTCTCTCCTAAGCTGCGTGCAAACCAGGCTCATAAATTCTACTGGAAGAATCGTACTGACACCATATGAACCCACTGATCCATCTCAGTATCACTCAACGGGAACATTCCTGAGGCGATGCAACACAGAACCACCTGTGGCTTTGTCAGGGGAAGAAACCCAGAATCCAGACAAGCCTCTAACTGTACTGCTTCAGTGGATGTGCGAGGGAAGAGAAGAACATGGTAATGAATTCTGGGAGGATGCCACCAGCCCAAATCGGAAGGCTGACCCATCTAGAGGGACGATGACCTCGTCTCTTCAATATGAGGCCATGGAGAAAGGAGGAAAGTGAACAAATAAACAGCCATACAATACTCCTCCCCCAAACACACATACTTCTAACAAGCTACTTTCCTCTAGTATACACTAGGTCACTGTCCCTTTTCCACACACACACACACACACACACACACACACACACACACGACACTGTTAGACATCCTGAAAGCACTCTATTCCCTATTAGTATTTGACTCATTTTCTCATTTATCTTCCCATGGTGTAAATTAAAACAAAAACTGCCAAGAGTTAGTACAAGGATATTGTAGAACTATCCTATTTTATAAACTATTAGCTTCTTTAAATTACTTTTTGATGAACAAACATTTTTTTAAATGACATCTGCTTCCCCCACCTCATCTTCTCTTACATGGCAAGGTTTCTTACATTAGCAAAGGCACTGAGGCTGCCTGTGCCTTCCCCTCACTGGGAAGCACATGGGGTGGTGCTCCCTCTGCCTCAGGTCCTTCCTCCATTATGGATCCCAGAATTACTCACTTCTTCCCAAAGAGGCTCAGCAAACATTCAACGGCTATGAAGATCCCTGATCTTCACCTCATTGTGTATCACAGCTAGAATACATTGTCTTTCTTTCCCTTTCTTTCTTTCTTTCTTTCTTTCTTTCTTTCTTTCTTTCATTTACTCATTTGAGAGAGAAAGAGTGTGTGTGTGTGTGTGTGTGTGTGTGTGTGTGTGTATAGGGGGAAGGGCAGAGACAGAAGGAGAAGCAGACCCCCCACTGAGCAGGGAGCCTGATGTGGGGCCCAATCTCAGGACCCTATGATCATGACCTGAGTCAAAGGCAGACACCCAACCAACTGAGCTACCCAGGTGCCCCTTTCTTTACTGAAAACCAAAATGCTAGGGTGCTTGGGTAGCTCAGTCAGTTAAGCATCTAACTCTTGATTTCAGCTCAGGTCATGATCACAATGTCGTGAGATTGAGCCCCACATCTCTGCACTGAGCGTGGACCCTGCTTGAGATTCTTTCTCTCCCTCTGCACTTCCCCCTACTTGTGTGCACACAGTCTCTCACTCTTTCTCAAAAAAAAAAAAATAGCCAAAATTCTTTATTAATATAAAACCAGTCTCGATCATGAGTGTTTACTTTCAACATCCAGAGGAAGTGTCGCATCTTCATGGAAGGCTCGTGGGGAGGAGCTGTGTGTGGTCTGCAGTAAAGTGTATAAATCTCCCAGGTCTTGTCAATATAATTCATGGAATAGAGTGTTTGCTGCTGTCCACTGAATAAATTGCCTAAAGACATAATGGAAAGATAAACAGTCAAAAGATGATTACAAAGCTACATTCTGGGGGAGAAACAGTTAATAAATATAATGCTGTTAGTTTTGTATTTACCTTTTACACGGCAGGCATTTGGGTGAATGTTCTCAGTCATCAGTTTGGTAAAACACAGAAAGAGCGATGGGCTTCTGTTTCTGCCAAGACAGATTCAGTCACCCCTCTGTCCAAGAGATAAAACTTAATTCCCTCTTCTCCCTACAGAGTGAACTCAGTAGTTTGCTTCAAATGATGAGCGTACAGAAAGGGAGAAACAATGTATTTATGGTAGAGAATCCTGGCCACCGCCCCTTTAGCCAAATGTTCAGTAACCAAACATTACAGGGTTAACATCACCAGTAATAAGACAATCCAACATCACATACCCCTGATGTGATGGATGTGATGTGATGTGATGTGATGTGATGTGATGTGATGCCAGAGGCAGTTCACCTCCATGTATTCTTTCCCAAAACCCAAGCCTCAGGGAAATGATGAAAACACATCAGCAGACCAAAATCAAAGGATATTTACAACATAACTGACCAGTAGTCTTCCAAAGTGTCAAGGTCATAAAAAAAAGTATAAGAAATTATTACAGGTTGTAGGGACTGAAGATATGGGATAACAAAACGCAAAGAACATGAAAGAACATGGAACAGAAAAGGGACATCAGGGGAAACTTGGAAAACCCAAATAAAGTCTGTGATTTCATTAGTATTAACCAACATTTGTTTCTTCACTACGATAAGTGCTCTGTGGCTGTGCAAGACGTTATTGTTCAGGGAAGCTGAGTGATGGATGGAGAGGAACTCACTGTATTAATATGGCAACACTTCTATAAAACTAAATTTATTTCAAAATAAAAAGTTTTTTTTTTTTTTTAAAAAAGATAAAGTATCCATTTTTCCCTGAGAAAGACAGGAAATTCTAGCCTATGGAAGAGTTGGTGGTGACCATTTCTGAGTAAAATCCTGAGAACAGTATTCAATATGGAAACATAACTCGCATCTGAGGGGTCTTCTAAATTTTAATCTGGTATCTCATGGTTGAGTAGTTAATATTTGTGAAACGTGGGGCACCTGATGAACTCAGAGCCCTGGAAGTAGTACTTACTGGTATTCTTTGTGATGGATGTGGTAAGCCAAGTGCAGGAGGTAATTCAGAAACGTTCTCAAAAGTATTGTTGTAAACGGAGAATGAATTTCTTCAACTGGAATGTCACTATTGGCTAAAATAAAGAAAATTGGAAAGAATGCCTAGTATTTTTTTAAATTGAAGTATAATTGACAATACAACATTGTACTCAAGTGTTGCGACATGATTCACCATATGTTGCAGATTGACCGCCACAATAAGTCTTATTGATATCCTTCACCTACACAGTTACAAAAATTTCTCTTTTATTCTTGCCATGAGGACTTTTAAGATTTACCCTCTTAGCAACTATTCTTTTTTTTTTTTAAGATTCTATTTATTGAGAGAGTGAGTGAGAGAGAGAGAGAGCAGGAGCAGGGGAAGTAGAGGGAGAGGGAGAAGCAGGCTCCCCACTGAGCAGGAAGCCCGACATGGGACTTGATCCCAGGACTCTGAGATCATGACCTGAGCAGAAGGAAGAAGCTTAACTGACAGAGCTACCCAGGCACCCCCTCTTAGAAACTTTCACATATAACACCATATTTTTAACTATAGTCACAGCCTTTGTGACACGTTTATTTTATAGCTGGAAGTTTGTATCTTTTGACTCCCCTTTCACCCATCTCATCCACCCCTCCCCACTCTGGCAACCACCAGCCTGTTCTCTATATCTGTGACCTTCTTGTTTAGGTTCCATTTATAAGTTCAATCATACACTCTTTGTATTTCTCTGTCCGACTTACTTCACCTAGCAAAACACTCTTAAGATCTATCCATATTTGTTGCAAATATCAAGATTTCATTTTTGATGCCTAGTATTTTTTAAAGCCTTCTATTTTTTATTTTGCTCCTGGTATGCAATACAAAGAACTGAGTTTGATGGAGTATCTTTTTTGCTAGTAAATACCAATGAGCAGCATATACACATCCACTTAAAACTTAAGTACCACTCAAAAGATCTCGATCTGGTCACTGCTCAAGAAACTTACAAGATACCGTGTGCCAGTGTTTTTTTCAAAGTGGTCTGAGCCACATGTGATTGATGATTCTAATTTTTTTTAAAGATTTGATTTATTTATTCATGAAGACACACAGAGAGAGGCAGATACACAGGCAGAGGGAGAAGCAGGCTCCATGCAGGGAGCCCGATGTGGGACTTGATCCTGGGACTCCAGGATCATGCTCTGAGCAGAAGGCAGACACTAAACTGCTGAGCCACCCAGGGATCCCGATGATTCTAATTCTAAATAGATTCTAAATCTGTGTCAAACACTTACATTTCAGGTAAATAGGTATTAGTTCTAATATTTTATTTTTCAAGTAGATAATTTGAGGTTTTCAAGGCCTGCTTCCCAGAATTCAACTGTAAGGAGTAAAATCTTCAAAGGTATTAAGTTTATCACATGAACTTTCTCATTTGAAATCAAGCCCAAGCCCAAGACAACCTAAAGTGTTTTCTCGGCTATGACAAGCCCTCCTTAATCCTCTCTGCTTCTGACCTCATGATTTTAGTGGGTTTTACAGATCAGGGGCAGGCAAAGTTATCCGTCAAGAGCCAGACAGTACATATTTTATGCTTTGTAGGCCACACAATCTCTGTCACAACCCCTCAGTTCTGGTATCATAGGACAAAAACAGCCACAGACAGTGCATGAGAAAATGGGCATGGCTGTGTTCCAATAAAACTTTACTTATGGGAACAGGCAGGAGGCTGGATTCAGCCCATAGGCCCTGCTGTAGATAATCTTTCACTGCTGCCATTATTTCACAAAATTGTCTCAAGTACATTTTAAGCACCTTGGGAAGACAACCATGTGTTGATTTCTGGAACACCTCTCCCAAGATCTGTCTTCCTCACTCCCTCCACAATTTCTGACTGGTTTCATGGTGACATGATGTTATACTACCGTTTAAACCAAAAGATGTTGGGGTACCTGGGTGGCTCAGTCAGTTAAGCATCTGACTTCAGGTCAGGGTCTGGGATCAAGCCCCATGTCAAGCCCCGTGTTGGGCTCCAAGCTCAGCAGGAAGTCTGCTTCTCCCTCTGCCCCTCTCCCCACTCATGCTCTCTCTCTCTCTCTCTCTCTCTCTCTCTAATAAATAAATAAATAAAATCTTAATTAAAAAAACACAAAAGATGTGGATCTGGAATACTCACTACTTAAAACCCTGTCCATATCAGCAAGAGTTATATTATGGTGATGAAATTTGCAGTCTTTTAGAAACCTCCAGAAGTGAAGCTTTGTCATCAGGAAGGTATTATCCAGAGAGAGATCACATCCTAGGCTGCTGTAGAAGCAATAGATTCTTCTCAATTCTGTGATATTTCTTAAGACAGCATATTCTACCTACAAAGAAAAAACCATGCATGTCTTAATCTTGCCTAATAAGAACAAAAGCAAAAGAAACAACATGTGTTTTGTAAATTAAATGGGATAACATATGTGAAGTAATAGCATTTAACTCTTATCACTGTAAGAGCTCAACAAATGTTATATTTTCTCCACTCATCTCCAGTTAATAAAATGCATTTTCTGAATAACATTTTTAAAAAGTGCTGTTATCAGTACAATGGAATTGCTTTCTTTTTTTTAATTTTTATTTATTTATGATAGTCACACAGATAGAGAGAGAAGCAGAGACACAGGCAGAGGGAGAAGCAGGCTCCATGCACCAGGAGCCCGACGTGGGATTCGATCCCAGGTCTCCAGGATCATGCCCTGGGCCAAAGGCAGGCGCTAAACCACTGCGCCACCCAGGGATCCCTGGAATTGCTTTCATACTGCTATGTGGTAGCATCCTATTTGAATGGGCAGCAATAAAATCCTCTAGTCTACAAAGCAGTATCTTTCATGAAAACAGACACAAAAATCCTCAAGAAAATAGGAGTATATGAAATCTAGCAATATATAAAACAAATAATAAGTCAACACCAAGTGGGGTTTATCCTGGGATCGCAAGGCTGGTTCAACCAGCTTTGTTGGTTGGTTGGTTGGTGGGTTGGTTGTTTAGTAGACTCCACATCCAACATGGATCCTCATGTGGGGCTGGAATGCACAACCATAAGATCGAGACCTGAGCTGAGATCAAGAGTCGGACACCCAACTGACTGAGACACCCAGCCTTGGTTGATTTAAAACATGCAACTAACATCATACTTCCTGCTGAAAGTCTGAAATAGAAGATACTCACACTCATTACTAACCTCCCTCTCTGTCCCCAATCACCTTCTATAATTTTCCCCAACTCTCAATACCCTTATGCTACCTTGACTTTCCCATACATGTAACCCTGCAGCATATGCAGTGCCCTGTTCTCCAAAACCATTTATGCTCTGCCTCTCCCTCCCAAATGAAATATTCAGGAAATGTGAGGACTGGTGTTTGGGGCCCCCAAGGAGATGGAAGAGTCCCACCTGGGCAGTTGCATTAGGCATCTGATTCTTCTTAGCATTAACCCCTGCTTTTAAAAATTTAATTCAATTGGATAAACATACATAGACTGCCCTATCTAAAGCACTGCTCTAGAGTAAGCACAGAATTTTCTTCATGAAGCTTAAAACCTGGGAAAGACACCATAAGGAAGTGCCACTGGTAGAACAGAGCCATGGAGAATGGACAGGTGGATTCCAAGGAAGTTCCCTAGAGGATGCTGTACTTGAACTGAGCCTCATAGCACAGAAAAAAATGAGAACTTCACAGACATCAGGCCCCCCCAGTGGAAGCTGGGGTGGGGGAAGCAGAGAGGTTGAGGTGCTTTTGGAATTCCAGGAGGACTGCCTGACCTGGATAAAGGGTATCCCTGCTCTCTGCCCCAGTTGCCTCATGGGCAAAGGGGGACAACCACAGTTCCAGCCCCATAGGCTGTTGGGGGGGTTTACCAAAATAAAGGTGTTTGGAAACATGCCCAGCGCATGTTCCTGTGTACATGCTGGCCATTATTACCATGTGAGTGCAGGGTAAGGAGGAGGGAGATTGACAGGGGCAGGTTGGCAAGAGGCTGATATCAGATCCGAGGTGGTTCTGAATACACACTCAGGAACAGGACATGGGTAGCCAAGGCAACTACCTGATGGAAGAGGCCAGAGCTAGAAGGGCAAGAGAGCTTGTCCAGAACCCCTGCTCGAAAAAAGATACTGCATCTTGACAAAATGATCCAATAACAATAACGAATACATATAACAAACACAGCAGATAAGCCCACATGGAGGGACATTCTTCATAGTAAGCGAGCGAGACTCTTCCAAGCTCTGGAGGTCACGGAGTACCATGGAAGGCAGAGGCTCCATCACAGACGGAGGAACTTAAAGAGATGTGACTGCTGCATGCGGCGTGGGGCCTGGGGTGGGATCCTGCGACAGAGAAGGAGCACTGCGAGAAAAAGCGAAATTCAATTAAAATCCATGGCTTAGTTTTGGTGGCAAGCGAAGCCCATGTCTCAGCTTTAGTCTCCAATCTGCAGCGATGGGAGATGCTCATGTGCCAAGGAGCTAGTGGCAGGGATGCAGAAACCTCGCTTGTGCAGCTCTTCTGTAGGGCTCAAGTCCTCTCAAAAGGTTCAGAAAAAAAAAAATAGAAGTTTCCCTAACTAGATTGTAATATGTCTATATTATGAAATACCATGTAACCATTAGACATTTTTAGAGGCATTTCTAAAATGTCAAGTTACAGATTTTTTTCATTTCCTAGGTCCTATTTCTATAATTCAATTTTCTATAAAGAGCATGTGCTTTTATGATCATAAAATAGTATTATTTTTAAACTTGTAGCTGTTTACCTGTTTTGTCATGGGAAGAACTCTAAAGTGGAAAGTGAATGATACATATGTAAACCAAAGAAGAAAGAAAGGGGGGAGAGAGAAAAAAAACTATAAGGATACCACTCCTTTTGGAGTGAATCAATGCATGTTCATTTATTCACCTAAAAATTATATTGTAGGAGAATATTTAATGGCACTGAAGAGCTATGATTAAATATACACACAAAAAAGAGATTATATGAGCAGAATCCTCCAATTCTAATTATGCTTGCTCAGAATAAAACTGGAAAGATGGTCACCAGATTTTGTCTGGGTGGAGATTCTCTTCCATTTTTTTCCTATCTGCATTTTTCTAAATTTTCTACAAGTATCGTGTACTATTTTCATAACTCTTCTTATCTGGATTTTCTAAATTTTCTACAAGTATCATGTACTATTTTCATAACTCTTCTTATCTGCATTTTTCTAAATTTTCTACATGTATCGTGTACTATTTTCATAACAAAGAGAATATCATAGAAGTTTTATTTTAGCTTTTTAAAAAGATTTTATTTATTTACTTGAGAGAGTGAGTGAGAGAAAGAGAGAGAGAGCATGAGGAGGGGGAGCAGCAGGAGAAGCAGACTGCCGCTGAATGGGGAACCCCACGTGGGGCTCAATCCCAGGACCCTAGGATCATGACCTGAGCTGAAGGCAGCCGCTTAACTGACTGAGCCATCCAGGTGCCCCAAGGTTCTTATTTTTAACAAGAATCTGGCAGCAGATGAAGTGAATGATGTCTGTAGCCTGAATTACAACATTGGCCGGGACAAGAAGAGGGGAGGATGGGGGATGGAGAGTCATCATTTTTGAGACCCACAGAACTGGGGCCAGAGGAGACAAGAAAGAGGAAGAGCAAAGGGGCACACACCTTGCAATTTCGAGGTACCACTGGTTCTCTTGTAGCAAGCAATATCTTCAACAATGGTTTCACAGAAGAATCATATCAAACCCCAGTCAAAGCAGGGATCGTGATACTAACATGTAATTTGGTGGATGGGATTTTCCAGATGTTAATCAAATGAAGTCTGCGTACACATAATTTTCCCTGTCTTTTAGGATTTCTAGATTTCTTTTTCTTTAAAGATTTTATTCATTCATTCATGAAAGACAGAGAGACAGAGAAAGAGAGAGAGAGGCAGAGACACAGGCAGAGGGAGAAGCAGGCTCCGCGCCAGGGAGCCCGACGTGGGACTTGATCCTGGGTCTCCAGGATCATGCCCCGGGCCGAAGGCAGGTGCTAAACCACTGAGCCACCCGGGCTGCCCGGATTTCTAGATTTCTAATGATTTTTAGGAGTTTAAAGTTCTTTCGAATCCCAGCAGCCCATAATAATTCACAGCAGAATGTAGTTGGGGTGCCACAGCCCTGGCCTTCAGACCAAAGCTGGAGGTGAGGATAACTTGGGCCTAGTTAATTCACTGAGTCCTTCTGTCTAGGCTTCTGTTTACTCACAAAGCCTCTTCACTAGGGTTGCCTTGCAAATTAAATGGGATGGTACACAAAGCATCTATTGGGCTTATGAAAGACACTCAACACAGGACAGCTACCCTAAGGCTATATTTTCCCAAGACTGTGGAGAGTGTTGATATTTAAGCTTAAAATATAAATGTATAACAATATGAAAGGTTTTTACCTGCTTCTTTTCCTCTGCTTGATCTTTCTCAGGGTACATACTCAGCAGCAAACTGAGATTCAGATCAATGCTTGATCCTAACACAGAATTACTTTCACTGCTATCGAGCTTTCTGATAATTTCTAGCAAATAAAGGCAAATAGAGGGGATAATGGTGAAAAGCAATGTTAAAAGTTGTCAATGTTACCACTGCACCTAGCAAATTAAAATGCTTTTGGAAAAAGAAAATAAAATGCTTTTGGAAGTTAAAAAAATTGTTTTCAATGTTAGGTCAAAATTATTTTCCACCAAAGTGGGATATAAAAGTATTTCAAAAACCTACTAAGAAAGCAGTTTCTCTCCCAGAAACATCTTTAAAAAAAAGATGTATTTATTTATTTTATTTGAGATGGAGCACACAAACAAGCAGGGCAGACGGGCAGAGGGAAAGGGAGAAGCAGACTCCTTGCAGAGCGGGGAGCCTGATCCCAGCCTCAGTCCCAGGACACTGAGATCCTGACCTGAGTCAAAGGCAGACACTCAACTGACTGAGCCACCCAGGTGCACCCCCACAAACAGAAACTTCTGTTTTCTGAAATATTCAGTGTGTCTTGATGAGTAGATTCTATTGATAATTTAAGTTAATTTGCATGCATCTGACAGGTGCACACCCCCTACCAGCACTGATGGAGGATCCAGGGTATTGGCTCTTGATGGAAGACTCTGAAGACAGATCCAGGTGACTTAAGAACTCAACTTCAAGATTTGGAAACTCCACTATGTGGTCATTGGAAAATGCACCGTTATACACACGCCCGTTCTTGAAAGTTAATTGGCCCTGCAGATAGAAAGATTTACAGTTCAGGAAAACCACTGCTAATCTACTTCTGTACCATTTTCAAAGATTTGGAGTTTTGTTTTGGAGTTTTTTGTTTTTAAGGCATGCACTTAGCTCACATAGAATCAGGCTCCTAGATTCTCGAGTCACTGTGTGAATCCTCTCTCTTCCTCCTCCTCCTCCTCTGTCTGTCCCACAACCTCTCCTCAGCTACCTCAAGGTTATAGAAGGTGCCTTATTAAACTATACTAATGACTAGCAGAGTGCCCATCACCAAATAGCAGCTCTCTAGCTATTTGTCCAACTCAGGCCAACAGTCTGATCGAGAGGTAAGTAAATGACCCAAGTCAGCTCAGCCACACTGAAGATATTTGTGGAAAGCTTCTCAGAAAAGAGTTTCTTCTCTCCTTCTACTTAGTGTGGTATGTGGATGTGAAGCCTGGAACCACAGCATCCATCTTGTGGTCATGAGGGAGGGGCAGCCTAAGGGTAAAGCTGACAACATGGTAGCGGACATCATGGGTAAATGGAAGAAAACTCCTGACATCACTGCATTGCTGAATCAAACCAACCCTGAAACCAATTTATTGAAAAAAAGAAAGAAAAACACCAATTTATTCTTTATTGTTTGTGGATGAGTAAGCTAGATTTTCCGTTACTTGTGAACAAAACCACCCTAACACACATATCTACGTACATAACATAAACTAAGTAAATAACTTCTAAATATATAGGATACTGATGTTATGTTGAAAGTTGTTTTAAATTTCATGTAATCATTTTAATAAAACAGTAAGTTATCCTATGCAAAAATGGGTTATGCACTTTACCAAAGAATGACATGCTTTTTATGGTATTCCAGTTGCTTCACAAAATCTTTAAAATGTGCTCTTCACACGTCTGCACTTACCATGCCATGTTTTTTATTGGACACCCATTCTCCTTCATAGATGGCTCCACTGGCATAGTAAAACTTTCCATAGCCATGACGATATCCATTCACAAACTCTCCTATGTATTCATTTCTTAAAGGGTATTGGGAGTTGGGGATTCTCTTTAGAAACCATGAGTGTGTTCCAAAGCCATTCTGAAAACAAAACAAATTTCCATGGGAAATACTCAAAATATTTCCTCTTTTTACCTGAATCCATTTAAAATTCACTCAATAGGGGCACCTGGGTGGCTCAGTCTGTTAAGCTTCCAACTCTTAATTTGGGCTCAGGTCATGATCTCAGGGTCATGAGATGGAACCCCACATCAGGCTATGAGCTCAGCACAGGGTCTGCTTATACCTCTTCCTCCCTCTACTTGCACTTTCTTGCTTTCTAATAAACAAATAAAATCTTTTAAAATTAAAATAAAAGTGGGATCCCTGGGTGGCGCAGCAGTTTGGCGCCTGCCTTTAGCCCAGGGCGCGATCCTGGAGACCCGGGATCGAATCCCACGTCGGGCTCCCGGTGCATGGAACCTGCTTCTCCCTCTGCCTGTGTCTCTGCCTCTCTCTCTCTCTCTCTGTGGCTATCATAAATAAATAAAAATTAAAAAATATTTTAAAAAATTAAAATAAAATTCAGTCAATAGATCAAATACAATGACTCACTTCAAAGGACAAAGAACATGGATTTTAGAGTCACACAGACTTGGGTTCAGCCTCTGTGTCATCTACTTACTAACCAGCCTTTTGACCTAAGGCAAATTATTTAAGCCCTCTGGGTTTCATCCATAAAATGAAAATAACACTTATCCTGCAGGTTGGATAGAAAGACTGAATATAGTATATATAAAATGCCTGACTTGATACTGATAAATCATTACCTTAAATTTTATTTATTTTTAACATACAGCCTCATTAAAAAAAATGCTCCCTCTTCAATCCCACTTAGCAGAGATAACCACTACTTGAGAGTTTGAGAATTCATCTGTATTTTCCCCAGGCACATGCAATTGTATGTACTGAGTCAATGTATTACACATACGTACATAGAACACATAGAAAGACACAATTTTTTCACAATGGGATGACTCTGTATATATCTTCCTAGAACTTCTGGGTATATGCTGAAAAGAATTGAAAGCGAGGAATCAAACAAATACTTGTGCACTCATGTTCATAACAGCATTATTACAATAACCAAAAGGTGGAAGCAACCCAAGTGTTCATCAATGGATGAACACATAAACAAATGGATGATATAAACATACAACAGAATATTATTCAGCCTTAAAAATAAGATGGATAAGATGGATGAACCATGAAGACATGATGCTAAGTGAAATAAACCAGTTGCAAAAGAATAAATACTATATAATTCTATTTATATGAGATATCTAAGGGAATCAGATTCATAGGGGCAGGAAAATAAATGGTGGGCACCAGGGGTGGAGGAGGGGGCTGGGAGAAGGGGTGTGAGTGAGTGATGGGGACAGAGTCCCAACCTGAGGAGATGAAAAGAGTTCTGAAGATGATGGTGGGGGGTGGATGCCCCTAAACTGGACACTTAAAAATGGTTAAGATGATAAATTTCAGTTATGTGTATTTTACCACAATTAAAATTAAAAAGATAAAAAGAAAGCTGGAGTGGCTATATTCACACCAGAGAAAGACTTCAAAGGAAGAGAAATGATCAGGACTAAAGAGGGACATGACAAGATGATAAAAATGGTCAATTTACCCAGAAGACATAACAGTCCTAAACATGTACATGCCTAACAACAGAACTTAAAAATGTATGATGCAAAAAATGATGGATTTAAAAGAAATAGATGAATCTATACTTGGACTCTTCACCACTCTTCTCAGAAATGGGTAGAGGGGATCCCTGGGTGGCTCAGCGGTTTGGCACCTGCCTTGGCCCAGGGCGCGGTCCTGGAGTCCCGGGATCAAGTCCCGCGTCGGGTTCCCGGCGTGGAGCCTGCTTCTCCCTCCTCCTGTGTCTCTGCCTCTCTCTCTCTCTCTCTCTCTCTATGTCTATCATAAATAAATAAATAAATCTTAAAAAAAAAGAAAAAAGAAATGGGCTGAAAAAGTAGACAGAAAATGAGTAATGTGATATGGAAAGCTGAACAATACTACCAGTGTGATCTAATTGGCATCCGCAGAACACTCCGTTCAACAAAAGCAGAAATACATATAACACTTAACAAGACAGACCATATCCTGTGGCCCAAATAAACCACGACATATTTAAAAGAAATGTCATCATATGCAATGAAATGCCAGAACACCTGCACCCCAATGTTTATAGCAGCAATATCCACAATAGCCAAACTGTGGAAGGAGCCTCAGTGTCCATCGAAAGATGAATGGATAAAGAAGATGTAGTCTATGTATACAGTGGAATATTACTCGCCATTAGAAATGACAAATACCAAAAAAAAAAAAAAAAGAAGAAGAAGAAAAGAAAGAAAGAAACAACAAATACCCACCATTTGCTTCGACATGGATGGAACTGGAGGGTATTATGCTGAGTGAAGTCAGTCAGTTGGAGAAGGACAAACATATGGTCTCATTCATTTGGGGAATATAAAAAATAGTGAAATGGAATAAAGGGGAAAGGAGAGAAAATGAGTGGGAAATATATCAGTGAGGGAGACAGAACATGAGAGACTCCTAACTCTGGGAAACGAACAAAGGGTGGTGGAAAGGGAGGTGGGCGGGGGGTGGGGGTGACTGGGTGACAGGCACTGAAGGGGGTACTTGATGGGATGAGCATTGGGTGATATGCTATATGTTGGCAAATTAAACTCTAATAAAAAAAAAGAAATGTCATCATACAAAATATGTACTCTGACCACAGGAGAATTATACCAAAAAATCAGCTACAAAAGGATATTTGGAAAAATCTCCAACTATTTGGAAATTAAATGACATATGTCAAAATAATACACCCAAGAGAAGTCATAGGGAAATTAGAAAATATTTTGAACTGAACAAAAATTAAAATAAATCAGAATTAGTGGGATGCAGGGGCACCTGGGTATCTCAGTGGTTGGCTCAGGTCATGATCTCAGGGTCCTAGGATCTGCCTATGTCTCTGCCTCTCTCTCTTGGTCTCTCAGGAACAAATAAATAATCCTAAAAAAAAAAAGAATTAATGGAATGCTGAGAAAGCAGTGCTAAGAGGAAAAATTTTAGTATTTAATGCTTATGTTTGAAAAGAAGAAATGTCTCAAGTCAATAAAGCTTCCATCCTATAACTCAAGTAAAAGAAGAGAATATTAAACCCAAAGCATGCAGAAGGAAGGTAATAACAAAGAGTAGGTATCAAGTTAAAGACTGGAAAACCCCAAGAGAAAATAAATAAGACTGGCTCTTAGAGAATTTCATGATATGGATACACCTCTAGCAAGACTGAAGAAAACAGAGAAAACATAGATAACTGGTACTGAAGGAAATAGGAAACAACACTATAGATCCCATATAGTATATATTACAAGAATCCTGAGAGACTATTATGAACAACCTTGTGCCAACAAATTTCTATGAAATCTGCAAATTCCTTCAATAATACAAACCTCTAAAACTTACTCAAGAATAAACAGACAGGGGTGCCTGGGTGGCTTAATTGGTTAAGCATCCAACTCTTGGTTTTAGCTCAGGTCGTGATCTCAGGGCCATGAGATTGAGCTGCATGTTGGGCTCTGTGCTGAGTGTGGAGCTGCTTAGGAGGATTCTCTCTCTCTGTCAACTCCCTGTGTCCCACCCACATGCTACTCTCTCTCTCTCTTTAAAAAAGTATAACCTCAAAAAAAAAAGTATAACCTCATTCATTGCAATCAAGTGAGATTTATTCCTATGTTGCCAGGGTGGTTCAATATTCACAAATCAATGTTATACACCACATCAATAGAAGAAAGGATGAGAACTACATTATCATTTCAGTAGGTGCAGAAAAAGCATTTGACAAAGTACAACATCCATTCATGATAAAACCCTCAACAAAGTAGGTTTAGAGGGAACATAGCTCAACATAATAAAGGCCATATGGGGAAAAAAAAATCACAGCTAATATCATCCTTATTGGGGAAAAACAGAGCTTTTCCTTTAGGGCCAGGAACAAGACATACAAGTCCACTCTTACCATGAAAAAGTGAAACATTTGCCATTTGCAGATGACATGATACTCAATATAGAAAACCTGAAAGACTCCACCAAAAAATTGCTAGAACTGATACACAAATTCAGTGAAGTCACAGGACACAAAATCAATCTATAGAAATATGCTGCATTTCTATACACCAATAATGAAGCAGCAGAAAGAGAAAGTCAGAAAACCCATTTACAACTGCAAAAATAATTAGATACCTAAGAATAAATTCAACCAAAGAAGTGAAAGACCTATATTCTAAAAACTATAGAACACTTCTGAAAGAAAAGGAAGAGGCCACAAAGAAATGGAAAGGCATTCCATGCTCATGGATTGGAAGATCAAACACTGGTAAAATGTCTGTATTATCCAAAGCCATCTACACATTTAATGCAATCCCAATCGAGATATCAACAGTATTTTTCACAGAATTAGAAGAATCCTAAAATTTGCATGGATCCATGAAAGACCCCAAATAGCCAAAGCAATCTTGAAAAAGAAAAGCAGAGTTAGAGGCATCACAATTCTGGACTTCAGGTTATATTACAAAGCTGTAGTGATCAAAACAGTTTGGTACCATCACAAAAATAGACACAGATGAATGGAACAGAACAGAAAATCCAGAAAAAAACCCACAGTCATACAGCCAATTAATCTTTTTTTAAAAAAGATTTTATTTTTTCATTCATGAGACACACACACACACACACACAGAGGCAGAGACACAGGCAGAGGGAGAAACAGGCTCCCTGTGGGGAGTCCAATGTAGGACTTGATCCTGGAATCCTAGGATCATATCCTGAGCCAAAGGCAGACACTTAACCACTGAGCCACCCAGGTGTCCCACAGCCAATTAATCTTCAACAAAGCAGGAAAGAACATCCAGTGGAGGAAAAAAATCTCTTCAACAAATGTTGTCAGGAAAACTGGATAGCTATGTGCAAAAGAATGAAAATGGACCACTTTCTTAGATCACCACAAAAATAAATTCAAAATGGATTAAAGACCTAAATGTAAAATCTGAAATCCTAAAAATTCTACAAGAGAACACAGGTAGTAATCTCTTTGACAGCACCCATAGAAAGTTCTTACTAGATAGGTCTCCTGAGGCAAGGGAAACAAAATAAACTATTGGGATTTCATCAAAATAAAAAGCTTTTGCACAGTGAAGAAAACAATCAATAAACTAAAAAATAACCTCCAGAATGGGAGAAGAAATTTGCAAATTACTCATCTGATAAAGGGTTAGTATCCAAAGTATATGCAGAACTTATAAAACTCAACACCCAAAACAAGCCAAATAATCCAGATAAAAAATGGGCAGAACACATGAATAGATATTTTCCCAAAGAAGACATCCAGATGGCCAACAGACATATGAAAAAATGCCCATCACTTATCATCAGGGAAATACAAATCAAAACCACAATGAGGGGATCCCTGGGTGTCTCAGCGGTTTAGCATCACCTTCGGCCCAGAGTGTGATCCTGGAGACCGGGGATCGAGTCCCACATCAGGCTCCCTGCATGGAGCCTGCTTCTCCCTCCGCCTGTGTCTTTTTCTTTCTCTCTCTCCCTCCTCCCCACCATGAATAAATAAATCTTAAAAAAAAAACACAATGAGATATGACCACACACTTGCCAGAACGGCTAAAATCAACAACACAAGAAACAACAGGTGTTGGTGAGGATATGACAAAAAGGAACCTCATGTACAGTTGGTGGGAATGCCAACTGGTGTAGCCACTCTGGAAAACAGTATGGAGTTTCCTCAAAAAATTAAAATTAGAACTGCCCTATGATCCAGCAATCACACTACTAAGTACTTATCTAAAGAATACAGAAACACTACTTCATAGGGATTTGTGCACCCCTGCCCATATTTTTAGCAGCATGATTTACAATAGCCAAATTATAGAAAGAACCCAAATGCCTATCAACTGATGAATGAAGATGTGGTAATTATATACAATGGAATATTATTCAGCCATAAAGAATGAAATTGGGACACCTGGGTGGCTGGCTCAGCAGTTGAGCATCTGCCTTTGGCTCAGGGCATGATCCCGGGGTTCGGGATCAAATCCCACACTGGGCTTCTTGTGGGGAGCCTGCTTCTCCCTCTGCCTGTGTTTCTGCCTCTCTATCTCTCTCTGTCTCTCATGAATAAATAAATAAAAATCTCAAAAAAACACTAATAAAAAAGGGGGGGCAGTCCCAGTGGCTTAGTGGGCAGGGTTAGTGCCTGCCTTCAACCCAGAGCCTGATCCTGGAGACCCGGGATCGAGTCCCACGTCAGGATCCCTGCATGGAGCCTGCTTCTCCCTCTGCCTGTGTCTCTGCCTCTCTCTCTCTCTCATGAATGGATAAATAAAATTTTTTTAAAAAAGAATGAAATCTTGCCATTTGTAACAACATGGATGGAGCTGGAGACTATAATGCTAAGTGAAATAAGTCAAATAGAGAAAGACAAATACCATGATTTCACTCATATGTGGAATTTAAGAAACAAGCAAAGGTGGGGGAAAGACAGAGTCAAAGCAAGAAATGGATTCTTTTTTAAAGATTTTATTTATTTATTCATGAGAGACACATAGAGAGAGGCAGATGCACAGGTAGAGGGAGAGGCAGGCTCCCTGCAGAGCAGAGAGCCTGACGTGGGACTCGATCCCAGAACCCTGGGATCAAGACCTGAGCCGAAGGCAGCCACTTAACTGACTGAGTAGTCAGGCGCCCCTAAAAAAATAAAGAAAGAAAATAAATCAATGTAATTCAACATTAACAACAGACTGGAAAAGAAAAACCACATGATTATCTAACTAGAGGCAGAAAAAAGCATGAGATGGGACCCCTGAGTGGCTCAGCAGTTGAACGGCTGCTTTTGGCTCAGGATGTGATCCCGGAGTCTCAGGATAAGGTCCCACATCAGGCTCCCTGCATGGAGCCTGCTTCTCCCTCTGCCTGTGTCTCTGCCTCTCCCTATGTGTCATGAATAAATAAAATCTTAAAAAAAGAGAAAAAGCATTAGACAAACTTCATATCCATTCATGATAAAAATTATAAGCAAATTAAGATTAGAGAGTTTCCTTGGCCTGATCAAGAACATCCATGAAAACCCCACGGCAAACATCACTCAAGGACCGAGTGCTGTACGCTAGGACTCGGGCAAAGTGCAAGGCTGGCTGCTCTCTCCACTCAGTACCAACCACACCAAGAGGTCTGAGCCAGTGCAAAGCAGGAGAAGAAAAAGCATACAGGTGAGAAAGACAGACAAAGCTTTCTTAGCAAGGCTCCCAATTACCAGATTAATATGCAGTTATTATTAGAAAATCCTAACTATATAAACCATATGAAATTAACCACATCAATAAAGCCTTTCTGTTCTGTGCGGGAAATACATTGCTTCTAAGGTACAAAGAACTGTTTTGGTCCACACGTGAGCTGTGGGAATGATGGATTTGCCAATGCCATGACCTCACTGGTATGTATAAGACCTTCAGAGGAACCTAAATGATAAAATGTACTTAAAAAACAACAAAAAAAGATGGTTTGGACCAGTAAATCATACTTTGGGTTTCTAAATTTCACAGAGCTTAAGTTTTAGGTCACCAGATAATAAATGGAGTGACGCATGCGCTGAAGATCAGTGCCCCCGTGGGGGTGTGTTCCGGTCACACCAGCTGGCACAGTACCTGGATCCCCTTCTCCCACTGACCCGTGTACTCCTCATTGGCTGTCAGCCACCGCATCCTGCCTTCTCCATGGCGCATATTGTTTTCCCACTGACCTTCATATATGTTTCCAGATTTGTAACTGGGACAAGAAAAAAGACGGAAAACAGTCAGTTATTTTACATACTATACTACTTATCTTTAGGGAGACTTTTAAACTTCTCTACAGGCGCCTGGGTAGCTCAGTTGGTGAAGTGTCTGCCTTCGGCTCAGGTAAGGATCTCAGGGTTCTGGGCTCCCTGCTCAGCAGGGAGTCTGCTTTTGCCTCCCTCTCTGCCCCTCATCACTGATCATTCTCTTTCTAGCCTTCTCTCTCTTCCTCAAATAAATAAATACAAATCTTAAAAAAAAACTTCTCTAAACACCTTTGAAAAATCCAACCCTTGTGCCCATACAGTCTTCTTAAATTCAATGGATAGGCACGTGGTCAGTAAAAATAATCATCTTAGGAGTAGGATAAACCACTTTATTAAATCCTCTGATCATTTAATAAGGTGATAAAGTAGATAAGAACAGGGATTTTAAGTCTTTTAAAGCTAACTCCCTATGGAATCATGATTATTTAACATTTCTCCCCCGAATATTCCAGTCCTTAAAATATTTGACTCTATCAGCTTGATCCAAAATCAAAGAAACATGTCAAGAGTCTTCTGAAAACATACAGAAATAGATATCTGTGATTAATGGAGAACAAAGAAAGATGGGTTCTACCTGTGATAAAGTGAAATTGTATTATTAAACCTCACTTAATATAATGTTTCTCTAAGTTTTCCATAGAATGTTTTCATCACTATGGAGATTATATTGGGGTGAATTTAGATATTCCACCCTGCTTATATAGGAAATGTGTTCCCTGGAATTTCTATACCTTATCTTTTTTTTTTTAAGATTTTATTTTATTTTAGAGAAAGAGCACGTGCATGAGCTGGGGTGGAGGAGGGAGAGGGAGACAGAATCTTAAGCAAGCTCCATGCCCAGTGCAGAGCCTGATGTGGGGCCTGATCCCACCACCCCAAGACCATGACCCAAGCCGAAATCAAGAGTTGGTCATTCAACAGACTACGCCATTCAGGTGCCCCTCTGCACCTTATCTTTAAGTCACCTAAGTGAAAATTATTTGGGCCCCCAAACACATGTTTCACCCACACCCCACATGTGGCAGCAGCGATACCTACCATCTTAATCCCCAGCCGTTTTTGATGTTGTGTACCCAGTCCCCCTCGTACCAGGAGGTACCCTCTTGATTGTAATAAATAGAGCCCTAAAACAAATAATATCATTAAAAAATATCAAGCCTCATAAAACAAATGTTTATTAAAGGTAAAGATTAAAAAGTACATGAATTTAAGGAATCTAACCCTGTGGAAGTCAATGTCATACATGGGCAAGACACCTAACCCGTGGTATGTCTCTGTTTTGTAATCAAGGATATGGTAAAGTAGCCATCACGTCACAGATCAATTACTCCCTAATGATGAGGTATCACAGAAAGGTGTGGAATGACCACATCCATTATATTCAGTCTATCCATTCTACTTGGTAACTTTGAGTCAGATGAGTACCTAAACAATCCTGTTCTGTTGTTACCTAAAGTGAGCGGTAGATCCTTCTGTACAAGTAAAGGTCAGTCCCCCTCCCTGCTCTTTTTTTTGAGAGAGAGAGAGGGACGGAGGGAGAGAGAGGGAGTGAGCGAGTGCTTGCACAAGCAGGAGGAAGGTGTAAAAAGGGGAGAGGGAGAGAATCCCAAGCAGGCTCCACCTATACCCAGTGGGAGCCTGACATGGGGCTCGATCTCAGGACCCTGAGATCATGACCTGAGCTGAAATCTAGAGTCAGATGCTTAGATCTGAGCTGAAATCTAGAGTCAGACACTTAACTGACTGAGCCACTCAGGAACCCCATGTCAGTACCCAAACCACTTTTTTTAAAATTTTTATTTATTATTTATGATAGTCACAGAGAGAGAGAGAGAGAGAGAGAGAGAGGCAGAGACACAGGCAGAGGGAGAAGCAGGCTCCATGCACCGGGAGCCCGACGTGGGATTCGATCCCGGGTCTCCAGGATCGCGCCCTGGGCCAAAGGCAGGCGCCAAACTGCTGCACCACCCAGGGATCCCCCAAACCACTTTTGTTCTATCCATTCATCATCATACTTATTTTACTGCCTCTGAGTATAAAGAAAGATGGGTTCTACCTGTGATAAAGTGAAATTGTATTATTTCTGAATATAAGTGACCATGAAGTAACCTTTCTTTGGTGACTCCTCTTAGGGAATGGTACTAGCTACCATGTATTTGGATCTATACCAAATGGCCTCAGATTGCTTGTTTATTCACTGGTTCATCTCACTGCACGTGTGTGTGTGTGTGTGTGTGTGTGTGTGTGTGTGTGTGAGGAAGTGTGCAATTTTTCTCTTTTCTTCCCCATCATCAAGCTGACTTGCTCCTTTGTGCAGCCATCCAGGTGCCATGGTCTAGAAGTCACCACCCCCATCCTAGTCTGAACTGCTATGAGCTGAGAGAGGAGAGAAGAGAAGAGAAGGGAGAGGAGGGGGGGAGGGGAGGGGAGAGGGACGGGGAGGAGGAAAAGAAAACAGAATACAATTGACAGTCTAAATCTGAGCAGAGTGATGATTATAATGGTAGACTCTTTTCTTACATTTTCCAAGAACATGGCTACGGTATTTTATAATCCTATACAGAAGGGAAATAGCAGTGCCAGGAAGAGCAACCTTGACTTAAAAGTGAATATAATGTACATTACCAGAAAGAGTATAAACTGGTCCTGCTGCTGTGGAAAACAGTTTGAAAGTTCCTGACAATGTTAAACACCCAGTTACCATACTCCACTCCTAGGTTTATACGCCAGAGACTGAAAACAAGTACCCCAATACATCCTTACACACCCATTCATAGCCGTGCTAGTCACAGAAGCCAAAAGATGAAACAGCCCAAATACCCATCAAAGGATGAACAGATAAACAGCATGTGGTTCATCCGTACACTGGAGCAGTATAATTCAGTCACCAAAAGGAATTAAGTACCTACAACATGGATGAATCTCAAAAAAACATGATGTTGAGTGAAAGAAGCCAGACATGAAAGGTAATATATTGTAGGGTCTTATTTATAGAAAACAACCAGAATAGATGACCCATAGAGAGAGAAGGCAGACAGGGGCCGCTGGGGTTTGGGATGGGAAATATCTGCTTAGGGTTTTATTTTGGAGTGTTGACAAAAAGGTGCAGGTCTCACAAGGCTACGAGGGCACTATATGCCACGGAACTGCTGACTTTGGAATGGTCAGTTTTGCGTGCTGTGAATTTCACATCAATCAACAATTGAATATACTTTTACAACAGCCCCCCATTTCCCACCCCCTGTATTTGTTCACCCTATCTACGGGCAGAAGTCACGTGGCCGCCTCACCCACCTTCCCATGTCTCTTGCCGTGACACCAGTGGCCGATGTAGGACACAGGGTGTGTGCCACATTTGAACATACCAAATCCCTGCCTCACACCGTGTAGCACTTCTCCTTCATAGGTGCTGCCATCTGGCCACGTGTACACACCATGGTTCATGGGGATGTTCTTCACAAACTCCCCCTAGGATAAGAAAGCTCAGTGAGAAAAAGCAGTGGTGAGACCCCTAATCCCATGGATGGTTTGCAACATCTCCTTGACTACTGCACACTGCTCCTCTCTCTCCTCTGTGGAAACAGTGGAGTATCCTGGCCACCAGCTTCTACCCTCCAACTTCCTTCTCTAACATACCCTGTCCTCTCTCACCTCCCCTCCCCAGAGTGGAAGCCCCAGCAGGATAAAACAGCTGGAAGCTGTGTGTAGACAGGGTTCCAAGAGGCAAATGGGTAACATGAAAAGGTGTTGGTTTTTGTCCTGGCCTTAGGAACTTTAGAGTCTTGGAACCCACCTCAGAGGGGGCTTACTGCCCTGGGTTCCAGTGTTCTCCTCAGGGGACACCAGTGATTAGCCTGGCTTGGTGATCAACTGGTGGAAACTCTTCTTTATGTTTGTGGTTCATCAAAATATTCTGCAGACACATAAGCCAACCACATCTCTGTGGGTGCCTTCTAGAGAATCTGCTCTGCTAGGGGCCAGGATTTCAGCTGAGTGGGCAGCACGCAGTTCCAAGCACCACAGCCCTGAGCCACTGGATTCTCTCTCAGGAACATGAACTCACCAGCCAGCAGAAGAAAGAGGACAGGGTGGCCTGGCCTGACCATGGGCCAGATTGCATGAGGCTAGCTGACCTCCCTGAAGGTACCTTTGTGACAGCCCAAATCCTGTCCATCAACCCTCCTATCTAAGCTGGTATGGAAGGGTCTATGCCTACCGGAAGGATTCCCACCTGAAAGCTTCCAGAAACTCACAGGTTAGAAGGCAGGCTGCTGTGGGGAAAGTTTCCCTGGAGAGGCTGGCCCCAAACCACCAGATCCTCAGGCTCCCCTGAGCCTCTGAGTGCTTGTCTCCCACTGTCCAGCCCCAGTGAGCTGCCCACCTGGCCCACACTTGTCTGTTTCCCTCACTTGGCTGCTACTTGAATATGTACATTACATGCATGTGTCTTCTTCTTTTTTTTTTTTTTAAGATTTTTATTTATTTATTCATGACAGAGAGAGAGAGAGAGAGAGAAAGAGAGAGAGGGAGGCAGAGACACAGGCAGAAGGAGAAGCAGGCTCCATGCAGGGAGCCCGACATGGGACTTGATCACAGGACTCCAGGATCAGGCCCTGGGCCGAAGGCAGGCGCTAAACCACCGAGCCACACAGGGATCCCCCTCTTATTTTCATTACCACTTATAAATGCCATCACTAGCAGCTCTGCAACTGCAATATCTAGAATAGCCTTCCAGCTATTGATTTAAAAAATATATATTTCCGGGATCCCTGGGTGGCGCAGCGGTTTTAGCACCTGCCTTTGGCCCAGGGCGCGATCCTGGAAACCCGAGATCGAATCCCACGTCGGGCTCCCGGTGAATGGAGCCTGCTCCTCCCTCTGCCTGTGTCTCTGCCTCTCTCTCTCTCTCTCTCTCTCTCTCTCTCTCTCTCTCACTATCATAAATAAATTAAATATATATATATATATATATATATATATTTCCTTTAAACCATCAAGATGGGTTGAGACCCACAACCCATCTTCAAAAAAGGAATAAAAGTGGCCAGTAAAAATAGGTGAAGCTGGATGAATGGATACAGTCTGAGCTCCAAAAAAATAAAAGGTACAGAAAAGAATGTATAATGAACTATTTGTATTTGTAAAGAGTAAGAAAGGCCAAGGCATGTGTGCTAATACATGCACAGAACACACAGGGACCTCTAGAATTTACAGATGAAATGGGTAACAATCAACAGAGGAGCCTGTGCAGTAACAAGGCTTTTCGCCTATATTCTCTGGTACTATGTACTTTCTTAAACTCATGTGCTGAATTACTTTTATGAAAGTAGTGGGTTTAACTGTGGGAAGCTGGACATTAAGTTTCATTAATTACAGTTTAAAAACTATTACCTATTACGTGCTTTACCTCATATTTCAGACCATCAGCCCAAACGTAAGTCCCTTGTCCATGCATGAGTCCTTCTGAAAACATACCCTTCAAAACAGAACAACAAACCCTTAGCACCAGTCCTTGATTCTACACAACAGCTGCCACTGTGGTTTTAGTTCTTAGGATGAAGCCTTATCCCCTTTCCATTTGCATGAATATACTTGTCCAAATTCCCCAAAATGTACACCATGCAGTCCTTTGCAGTGGTGAAATGAGTTGTAAATTCACTCTGTGTCATCCTCTCCTAATTAAGCAGTGAAAAATGCTGTAGTTCAAAAGAATTCATACACTTTTGGTTTTGCACTTCCAAATGCAAGGATTTTAAAAAATTATTTAAAAAATTATTTAAAAAATTATTTAAAAAATTATTTAAACTAGACAGACCCAAGTGAAAATTAGCAACTACTCCATTGCTACTTACTAGGATTTATCGGTGTTGGTGTGTCTGTGTCTATGGACATATTCATGTATGTACATGATATACTATTGTCAGTATAGTCCATTTATATTTAGTGTGTAGTGTTAACATATAAAACTAATCACTAAAAACTTAGCACACCTGAATGTCTAAATGCTATCAGAGAAAAGAAAGGTAAGAATACATCCAGTTTTGCCTTAGAATCACCTTGTTAGATGTGGGATGGGTGTTGGGGACACACCCTGAGTAAACAGTGCTCTAACTGGTTCTCAGATTCTACTGTGCTTCAGAGCTGCCTGGGGTTTGTGGAAACACAGATTTTCTGGGCCCACCCCAGAGACTGATTCATTAGCAGGTCTGGGTTGGGGCCCAAGAATTTGCATTTTGAAAAAAATCCCCCAGGTAATGTTGCTTATCCTCTTGACCACGCTTCTCTGGAGAATGACAGCCCTTACTGACCAGCAAGGGTTAATGTGGGCTCACCCCAGGCAGGCTGCCACTGAGCGGTTTTCTAATCATAGGCTGGTTCTTGTTTGTTATTATGGAATTGATGATGGTCACAACCACCAGTGTTTTAACAAATTAGACTGGAAAGGATCACGCTGCATCTACAGGGTAAGGGCAAAGGGTTCAAGAAGTGTTTGGTTTTATTATCTTTAGGGGATGGTGATCTAAATGTGTGACAAACCCGAGGTCTGATGATTTGGGGCCTGGGGCTACAGAGTTATTCTGCTGGATTTGCTGCTCTCACAAATTAAAGGAGATGTAACTTATGAGGATTTTTATTTTTTTTAATTTTTTTAAAAAGATTTTATTTATTCATTCATGATAGAGAGAGAGAGAGAAAGAAAGAGGCAGAGACACAGGCAGAGGGAGAAGCAGGCTCCATGCAGGGAGTCCAATGCAGGACTCGATCCCAGGACCCCAGGATCACACCCTGGGCCAAAGGCAGGTGCTAAACTGCTGAGCCACTCAGGGATCCCCTGATGATGATTTTTAATCAAAATAATTTGAGTCTGAGGAAAATATGGAGAGCTTACAGGGCATGTAGCAGGCAATGGGTGGAGAAAAGATCATCTAGAAACAGAGGGTGTTTGTCCCCACATGTATGGGAAGGGCAAGGCCACTGGGTCCAGCTTGAGCTTTAGGTAACCAAGGCAAACCCTCTGGGGTAGGAGGAGCTGATACTGCTACTTCAGCAGCCTGGGAGGGATTGGCCCATGTAATAAACTGGGTGTCTTGGGCGCATGGATGACTCAGTCAGTTAAGCGTCTGCCTTCGGCTCAGGTCATGATCCTGGGGTCCTGAGATTGAGTTCTGAGTGGAGCTCCCTACTCACCAGCGAGTCTACTTCTCCCTCTGCCCCTCCCCCTGCTCACACACTCTCCTCTCCTCTCTTCTCCTCTTCTCTCTCTCTCTCTCTTTCCCTCTCCTTCTCTCTCAAGTAAGTAAAATCTTAAAAAAAAGAAAGAAAGAAAAGAACTAAGGTTCGTGTTGAAGTATTCACACACCAGGGCTACATTTAGTGCCATGGTGCTGAAAGAAAACTCTGATCAGAATGAACATGACAGCTTATTCCAAAACTGGCAAAGGCCAGATGGGACATTTTAGTATCACTTGGCCATAAAAATGGCATTTTTAGGAGTTTTTATGAGACAGGAATAAGAACATGTCATATGTTTAGTGGGGAAAATAATCAGGGTACTGAAACCCATGCTCTATGACCCCATCCACAAAAATTTGTTCTTATTATAAGCACATTTCTTTGATAATCATGTTCTTATTATAAGCACATGTTTCTTTGTATCATTATTGATGGCAAAAAAATGAAAACACCTTAAAAGTATCTAATAATTATGGTATGTAATGAATAATAAGTCAGAACACTGTGCTATATATATAGTATATATACTTATATATGTTATATAATTAAATATCGTGTATTTATATACAGTATATAATTAAATAATATATAAATAAAATACATTTTATTTTTATAGAGGAAGAAATGGAGGTTAGTGTTTAGATGGGGACAGTGTTTCAGCCTGGAAACATGAAAAGTTCCAGAAATGGATGGTGGGGAGGATTATACCACAATGTGAATGCCCTTAACACTACTAAACTCTACACTTAAAAATCATTACAACAATAAATTTCATATATGTTTTACCACAAAATATTTAAGTTATGAAAAACATGCAGCAATATAGCAAAGTATTCATAAGTGGAAAAAGATTCAAAAGTTTATCTGCCAAACCAATAGGCCCACATAAATGCTGATACTTCCATTCAAGGAACAAAAATGACACACAGCACACCCAAAACATTTCCTGGGAAAGGATGATGATGATACTGGGATTTTCCTCTTCCTTATTTCGTTTAGTCACCTTAATGTTGTATGTACAATAAATACAAATCAAGAAAAGAAAATCTAAAATGATGACTTCAGTTGTATGGAGCCATGTTTTTACTGTAAAAATAGGTCATCAGGATTCGCAATAAAATGAGCAGAAAATACTTCTAATTTCTTCTGAAGAACCAACGAGCTTTTCTTTTTTAAAATATTTTATTTATTTATTCATGAGAGACACAGAGAGGCAGAGACACAGGCAGAGGGAGAAGCAGGCTCCCTGTGGGGAGCCTGATGCAGGACTCAATCCCAGGACCCTGGGATCACGACCTGAATCAAAGGTAGATGCTCAACCACTGAGCCACCCAGGTGCCCCATTAATGGTCTTTTCTGAAAATACTAATCTAAAACTCTCACAGGACATTCTGACCTTCCTCCCAGCCCGTTCCCAAAATGGGTAACTCACGTGGTAGGTGCAACATCCTTGGAAGACTGCAAAGCCTTCTCCCTCATATAGTCCATGGACCTTTTCACCTTCATAGCTACAAAGAAATAAAGCTAAAGGCAATGAGTGGCATAAGCAAATCTAAGTGACAGTTAAATTGACAATTCACATTAGTGAAGAAGTCCAAGTGACATCTCACACTCATTCACTCAATAAACATGCCCCGAGGGTCCCTGTGCCCCTGGTCTGGCGCCGTGAACAAGACAGGAAAGTTCCTGCCCTCGGGAGCTCATAGTTCACTGTAGAGACAGACAACACAAAGGAAACAAACAATTCCAGATCCTGATCAGCTTTTGTGAAAGACGTGATCAGGGAATAAGTAGGAGGAGGCTGCTGTGTACAGGAGGTCAAGGCAGAGGCCTCTCAGAGGATATGAGAGCTGAATTGAGATGTTCAGGTCATGAAACAAACAGCCCTATGAAGAACCCTGGGATGAGGATCCCAGGAAGAGGGAACAGCAAGTGCAAAGTCCCTGAGGCAGTAAAGAACCTGACAGCTCAAGGTCAGCCAACAGAAGGGAGGGTGACCCAGCTGGAACACAGGAGGGCAAGAGGAGAGGCCAGAGGGCCACAGTAAAACCCAGAGCTCTAGGAGGAATCTGGAGAGAGTTCTAAGAAGGGAGTTGGCCAAGGTCAGATTAACATCAGAAGATGTTAGACTCTTCTTTCATAGAAGCCAGACTCTGGCTGGCTGCTATGTGCCAAAGACTGTGTAAAGAGCTAACAGCCAAAGGAAAGAGTGAAGAGGGGTGAAGATGGAAGGTGACAGTTTATTCTGGACAGTGTCCAGAATGATGAAAAAAGTTCTGGAAATTGATAGTGTTGATGGTCACACAATAGGGCGAATACACTTAATGTCACTAAACTGTACACTTAAAATGGTCAAAATAGGAAATTCTATGTGTATTTCTTTAAGCAGGCCCAGAACAGGGCTTGAACTCCTAACCCTGAGATCAAGAACTGAGATTAAGAGTCAGACACTTAACCCACTGAGCCACCCAGGCACTCCCTATGTTAGGTGTATTTTATTAGGATAATGTAGAAAAAAAAAATTTTTAAAGATATATTCTAGACATGGGGCCAGAAGAGTTTGCTGATGTGCTGACTTTGGAGAAGTGGGAGGTTCAGAACAGTGCTCAGATTTTGAGTTCAGAACTGGGTGGATAACATGCAATTCGGGATCTCACTCAGCCCTAAGCTCTGGGGTAAGTGAGGTGAAAAATGATCAGGTGACAGCCATGACCAAACTGGGCTTTGTCCAAGAATCCAAGGAAGATTTGACATTAGAAAGTCTATAAACAAACAAACAAAAAGTCTATAAACACAATTCATAGAAGAATGAAACTGGACCACTTTCCTACACCATACACAAAAACAGACTCAAAATGGATTAAAGATCTAAATGTGAGACCTGAAACCATAAAACTCCTAGAAGAAAACACAGGGAGTAATTTCTTTGTTATCAGCCATATCAACATTTTTCTAGATAGGACTCCTCAGGCAAGGGAAACAAAAGTGAAAATTAGTTATTGGGAGTACATCAAAATAAAAAGCTTTTGCATAGCAAAGGAAACCATCAACAAAACAAGGCAACCTACTGAAGATATTTGCAAATGATATATCCAATAAGGGGCTAACTTATAAAATATATTAAAAATTTATACAACTCAACACCGAAGATACAAATGATCCCATTAAAAAATGGGCAGGGGGGATCCCTGGGTGGCCCAGCAGTTTGGCGCTTGCCTTTGGCCCAGGGCGCGATCCTGGAGATCCCGGATCGAATCCCACGTCGGGCTCCCGGTGCATGGAGCCTGCTTCTCCCTCTGCCTGTGTCTCTGCCTCTCTCTCTCTCTCTCTCTCTCTCTCTCTCTCTCTCTCTGTGACTATCATAAAATAAATTAAAAAAATAAATTTAAAAAAAAATAAATTAAAAAATGGGCAGGGGACCTGAATACACATTTTTCCAAATAAGACATGCAGATGGCCAACAGATGCATGGGAAGATGCTCAACATCACTTGCCATCAGGGAAATGCAAATCAAAACCACAGTGAGATATCATCTCATATCTGTCAGAATGGCTAGACTCAAACCCCCCCCCCCAAAAAAAAAACCCCAAGACACAAGTATTGGTAAGGATGTGGAGAAAAAGGAACCCTCGTGCACTGTTGGTGGGAATATAAATTGGTGCAGCCACCCTGGAAAACCATACGAAGATACCTCAAAAAATTAAAAGTTGAAATACCATATGATCCAACAATTCCACCACTGGATACTTGCTCAAAGGAAATGAAAACACTAATTTGAAAAGATAAATGCACCCCATGTTTATTGCAGCATTACTTACAAGAGCCAAGATTTAGAAGCAACCCAAGTGTCCATCCATAGATGAATGAAAAAAGAAAATGTGGTATATACATAAATACATACACATCTATACAATGGAATGTTGCCTTTTGCAACAATATAGATGGACCTAGAGAGTACTATAAGTGAAATAAGTCAGATAAAGACAAATATCCGATTTCACTTCTAGGTAGAATCTAAAAAAACAAATGAAAAGCAAAAAAAAAACAGACCCATGAATACAGACAACTGATGGTTACCAGAGCAGAAGAAAGGAGGGGAGGTTGGACAACATGGGTGAAGGGGAGAGACAGATACAAGCTTCCAGCTATGGAGTGAGTCCCGGAAATAAAAGGCACAGCATCGGGAATAGTCAATGGCGTGGCAACAGGGCGGTATGGTGACACATCATAGCTACCCTTGTGGGAGCAGAGCATAATGTACAGGGTTGTTGAATCACTGTGTTGTACACTTGAAACTAATGTAACATTGTGTGACCATATTTCAACTAAGAAATAAAAATAAAAGTGACCACTAATATCATTCAAGTGATAAATCTTGACCAAGTACCCACTAGACTTAAGGTCTGATATTCTTGGGTGGGTCTCTGCTGGGACTGAATTTTCCACCTGGTGGAGAAGCTGAGACCTGGAAACAGATTAAGTAATTCATACACATTATATATGTGTGTAGTAGGAAGGAATACATGCTAATACACGTAATAGAAAGTGATAAGTATGATGAAAGCAGTTTTGAGCAAAATTAATTTCTATTGGGAAGAAGCACAGGAAAAGTCTGGAACAGAGGAGTAGATGGTATTTGGTCATTTGGAAACATGGGACAAACACTCCAGCAAAGCTATCTTTGCAAACAAAAGGTAAAAATACAAATGGTATTGTGGGGAGGCGGCTAGCTGGGCTCTAGAGTTTGAGAAGAGAGAGGCAGGCTGAAGTCAGGGCATCAGGCTGGGAGATTTATTCTGTAGATAATGGAAAGGAATCAAAAGTTTCTAAGGGTGTGGTAGCCAGCCTCAAAATGGTTCCCAGTGATTCTCACCTCCCAGTACTCAATATCCTTCTGGAAGCCTTGCCCACCTTGAAGAGGACTGGCCTGTGGGGCCCACTACATTGTTACAGAAATGATAGAGGGATATCTGAGATCAGGTTATAAAAGACATGTGGCTTCCACTCTTGCTCTCTCTTGGGTTACTGTCTGGGGAAGCCAGCTGCCTGGTGATGAGGACACCCAAGTAGCCCTGTGAGGGAGTCTGTGTGATGAGGGGCTGAGGCTTCCCACCAACAGCCATGCCAGGAAGCCGCTGTGAAAGCGGATGGAACAGTCGGCCATGCCTTTAGGTGATGGTAGTCTAGATTTGCATCTTGGCTGAACCTCCAGAAATCCTAACCCAATACTACCCAGCTAAAAGTTGCTTCCAGATTCTTGACCCTCATAAACTGTGTGAGATAATATTTGTCTTAATTATCACGAGCTGACTTAATAGGACAGATAACTAATCCAGGGAGTGATGTAAACAATTAAGAAGGCAAATCTTGGGATCCCTGGGTGGCGCAGCGGTTTGGCGCCTGCCTTTGGCCCAGGGCGCGATCCTGGAGACCCGGGATCGAATCCCACATCGGGCTCCCGGTGCATGGAGCCTGCTTCTCCCTCCGCCTGTGTCTCTGCCTCTCTCTCTCTCTGTGACTGTCATAAATAAATAAAAATTAAAAAAAAAAATAAGAAGGCAAATCTCTATAAGAGGCTCAGGCCTCAGGCTCAGGAGCCTGAAAGCAGGGAAATCTTTATGAAATGAATCCAACAGTCAAGTCAAGAGGTCATGAGGAGGTGGAGTGAGCATAGAGGAAAAAGAAATACACAAACACAGGAGAGGAGGAGGACAGCCTGGAGAGGGAGGAAGAAATCAGCAGAGGGCAGTGGAGAAGCCAATGGCTGGAAGAAATGTAGCAACATGTAGAGGAACCTTCTATGAGTGTATTTTCCTCAGTTAAGAACCTGAGACTAGGGGCGCCTGGGTGGCCCAGGGATTGAGCATCTGCCTTTGGCTCAGGTCATAATCCCGGGGTCCTGGGATAGAGTCCTCTATTGGGCTCCCCATGGGGAACCTGCTTCTCCCTCTGCCTATGTCTCTGCCTCTCATGAATAATAAATAAATAAAATCTTAAAAAAAAAAAAAAAAGAACCTAAGGCTTAGAAAAGTTCAGTGATGGTGCTGATGTTGCAGAGGTGACTCTAATCCAGATCTCATTTCAAGTCCTGCAGTCTTTGCTTTTGGACACAGGGGGTTTGATGATCAGTGGATGATGTCCAGTAGGAAGTTAAGAATTTGAACCTCAAACTCCAGGAGGGAGACCTAGATGTTTACAATCATCTAGGGAGGAAAGGGGCAGGGAAAGCCAAAGTATGAGATTGCGGGGAGAGAGAGAACAGAGAGCATCAAAGTGGTAGAAAGGAGAATATGGAAGATGCAGCCCATTAAAATCACCTTTCAACTATGAGTTTGGTGAGAATGGGTTCTTCATACTGAGTGGCATCTTCATCCTGCTGCTCATCATATTTGGACTCTTTTCGGGGCATTAATTCACTGAGTTGTATGTCCAATGTTGGGACAGCACCAGGGGACATTTCCTGTCTAGGTGTGTTGCCATCTTGTTTGGCAAAGTCTGGATAATCGGAGAGAGAGGAGGGAGAGCGGGCAGACTTATCTCCCTTTTTGTCTGCTCTTTTCTTTTCTTTCACCATTGTCTTTAGAAGTCCTAAAGTTTACTTTACTGTTTCAAGGTGCTGATCAGTTTCATCTGAAAAATAAAAATTACCTCTCTAAATACTTGCAGGTTTCACTTGTAGTTAAACTTCTAGCTTTACAACCCAATGTCATGATCGTTCTCCTCCCAAAGCTTGAAAAATTACAACTATCAAGTACCACCAGTTTATAAAAATATCTCCTTGGTTGTCCCTAAAACTCTTTAAAAAACTGGAACCGCCACTTACCATTTCTTTTAAAATAGTGTTTCAGCAAGAAGGTAAGCTAATACATGAGAAATAGCTAGCTGCTCAATCCCTATGGCCTCATGTTGCAAATTTATACTTTAAAAGCCCATCTCTCACTACATCTGCAGGACTGAGTGCTTAAGAGCTGGATTCAGGCTCCTGCGTTGCACCTTACCAGCTGTGTGCTCTTGAGGTTAATCTCCTTCTGCTTCAGATATCAAATAGAAAGAACAGCACCAGGGCAGCCCAGGTGACTCAGCGGTTTTAGCGCTGCTTTCAGCCCAGGGCCTGATCCTGGAGACCTAGGATCGAGTCCCACGTCAGGCTCCCTGCATGGAGCCTGCTTCTCCCTCTGCCTTTGTCTCTGTCTCTCTCTCTCTCTGTCATGAATAAATAAATAAAATCTAAAAAAAGAATTACATGAAGTGATGCACAAGAAACCCCCGAAAGTATGGAACACACTATCAACGATGGAGTGATTTTTTTTTTTAAGATTTTTTTACTTATTTATTCATGATAGACATAGAGAGAGGCAGAGACACAGGAGGAAGGATAAGCAGGCTCCATGCTGGGAGCCCGACGCGGGACTCAACTCCGGGACTCCAGGATCGCGCCTGGGGCCAGAGGCAGGCTCTAAACTGCTGAGCCACCCAGGGATCCCCCGATGGAGTGATTCTTATGTCACTTTCGTTTTTGAACTTGAAGTCATTGGCTGCCTAATCCCTATGCCAGACTGAGTGCCTCCCATGCCAGAAAACAAATGGCATATTTGCCCAAAGTCATAGAACTGGGGGGCAGATCCCCAAAGCCATAGTTTTCATGGCCCCCCAAACTGGCCCCATTGAAAGGATCACATGCAGTCGAACAAGCAGGACACACAGATGAGTCCTGGGGTGAAGGTCAAGGTCTAGTCTCCCCTCACACCCTGAGGGGTGCAGTGAGCTCCCCATACCCTTCACTGCTTGGATGGTATCCTTTGGACACCCCACCTGCCACCTCAACCCACCCGGGGTTGCTCTCACCAACATGATCCTGTTTTTCTTTCTTTCAAAGCCCCATTATTCTCTCCAGGGAGGCCCAGGTGAGCCTTTGCTATAGATAGGCTTTCTAGTCCTGTCAATGAATTCCGACCTACAAATACGGCAAATCTTGTTTCTCCTGGCATTTTCCCCACTAACTTTGATGTTCTGTTCTCCCTGGTGTGAGGTCGTATTATCGTGATTTATTCCTTCATCAGGCAGCGAAAAAGGAGCGCTCGTTCTCTGAGTCTGGGGTGCCCCGCACCTCCCGCCCACCGCACCCGCTCAGGCCCTTGGGGCTGCGTCCGCCTGGCTAAAGAAGAGCCGGACCTGGCCGTCACGTCTGTAGTGGCGCACGCAGGACCACCGGCAGGGCGCTCACCTGGCTGCCAGACCTCGGCGAGGAGGTGCAGCGCGGAACTCGGAGCGTCCAGACTCCGGCAGGTCTCCAGGCAACTGCGGGCCCCGCCCCCGCCCAGTCCTTAAAGGGACCGCCGGCTGAGAAGTGGCTGAGCCTCAGGCCTTAGCCCTTCCGATCAATCGATCAATCGGGAAGGCCAGGTGGCAATCTGGAGCTGGACGCACCGGACCCAGGTTTTCCCCAGCTCTGCCAATTGCCGCATGGCCTTGCAGCCTTTATCTTCACCATAACACAAGAATTCAGGCGCTTTTCCATTGCCCTAAACAAATTACCCAGAAATTAAAAGGCTTAAAGCAACACAAACTTGTTATTTTAGGATTTTAAGTTAGAAGTCCACCTGGGCTGGTTCCTTTGGGCGGCTCTGGAGGAGAATCTATTTCTTTGCCTTTTCCATCCTTTAGAACCGCTTTCCTACATCTTCTGTATCAGCTGAGAAAGGGTCTCCCAACTTCTAAGTCACCAGCTAGATTGGGCCAACCCAGCCAATCCAGGGTATTTGCCCCATTTCATGACCCCTCCCTCAACCACATCTTCAGAGCCTCCTCTGGCCATTTAGGTCACATATTTGAGGGTTCACAGATTAGGACATGGCAGTCTTGGAGGTGGGAGAGGGGTGGTGTCTCCTAGACCCTAATTGGCAGAGTTCTTGAAATTATCAAATGAGATCCTGTCCAAGGGCACAGAGGCATACTGCCTGACACCTGACAATAACTCGATTGTCTCCTTACATCTACAGAATTCTAAGTCTGCAAATGGAAGCTGGGAGGGAGGGTGAGCACGGGGCGGTGGTCCACACTGGTCACTGGTCAGACAGCTGTCTGGGTCCACAGAGGGCACTTTGATTTCTGTCTCTGCCCCAGTTCAAATGGGATGAGATTCCATGAAAAACTATTTGACCGAATTTCTGCTCTGTTCAGTACCACTCAGGACCAGTAACAAGTACATCCTGCAATTCACACCTCACAGAAATGAAACCACAGCATTAAAGTTATGGGAAAAAAAAATCAATCTTTTATTTCCCCTTGCCTAGGACAATGCTTTGCCACCCGGGCTGCACTGGGGAACATTTAAAAATAGTGAACCCAGGCCCCACCTGGGCCATTTCCTTCCAGTTGGGCAGGGAATCCCCCTTAGGTTTTGTTTTCTTCTTTTTTTATTTTTTAAATTTGAGTTAGGGTTGAGGACCACTAACCCAAAAGGACCATAATTTTATGAAATTAAACCATTATGAATTTAATCATATTATGGGCTGAAAGCTGCAAACTAAAATAGCCTAGGCCATAGCAGCAGAAGCCTGAGTGACTTTCAAGACGTGCTTCCTATGTTTGTGATGTGCTCTTGCCTGTATATGCACACACATTCAAGTGCAGAACAAAAAACATTGCAAGCAATGCTCCATGTGGTTTGAAGAGGTTCTCAAGATCACTTCTGATGGATCTGGTCATTTTTTTTTTTTTTTTAAACAGCAGGCTAATTTGCAAACAAGTGGCTAGCTAAAACCCTGCTTTTGAAAACAGAAAAATCTGCAATAAAATGTATAGTTCTATAAAATGAGAAATGCTGTCAGTTTTGAGAAATGACATCCAGGTTGGCAATGTGTCTCATGGTTGGCCTTCCGTGGGGACAGTTCCAAGGATGGTCCATCTCGCCCATGTGGGTAATCAGCTTCTTCATCTCACTTGTATTAAGAGCAGTTCCAATCATTACCTGATTAGGAGACAATGATTTAAAGCTTTACTGGTTTTGGTTAGAATAGCAATTCTTCAGTAGCATTTTTCTCTGAAACAAAGATGGGCAAGATTACAACTCAGAAACTACGTTCCCTGAAAAACCTTACCCAAGGAATCCTACCTACCCTCTACAATCTCAGGCCCCCACCTTTTTGGAAAATCCAGTCCATCCGTAGCTCCTGCAGAGCACCACATGTCTGTTAGAGACACCAACCGAACCTGTCTAGGACCCAACCAGTCTCAGTGGCTCCACTACTGCCTACAACCACTGCCCTGACCTTTCACCTCAGCAACTGCAGGGTTACCAACAGGCCTCCCTGCTGCTCCTTTCCACCTGTTCTCCACTCAGCAGTGAGCAATTCCTTTAAAAGGCATGTCAGGGGCGGGGCTCAGTCAGTGAAGCGGTGAAGGCTTTGCCTTAAGCTCAGGTCATGATCCCAAGGTCTTGGAATCAAGCCCCAAGTCAGATCCCTGCTCATCGGGGAGTCTGCTTCTCCCTCTTCCTCTGTCTCACCCCCCTCCCTGCTCATGCTTGCAAACGTATTCTTAAATGAATAAATAAAAATCTTAAAAAAAACAACAAAACACATGTCAGATCCCATAGATCACGTGGCTCACCTTCTCACCTGGAGAAAAGCCCACGTGCGTCCCCTGATCTGGCCCCCACTGGCCCTAGTGCCTGCACCTACAAGCACACATCCCTCCCTGCCCCACTCCAGGACACTGGCACTCCCTCTTCTCTCACACAGGTGCACTAAGCAGGCACCTGCCTCAGGAGTTTGGCACTGGCTATGCCCTCTGCCAGGATACTCTGTTCCCAGATAGTTGCACATCTCACTTCCCCTTCCTTCAGGCTTTTATCCCTGCCTACTCTTGGGAGCACTTCCTGTCTGGTCTTCTGTGGCCCTCACCCTGCTGGTCTCCACAGCACTTATCTCTGACATATACATGCAGATGAGAAGGCTCCACAGGAACAAAGAAACTGACGGCCTTGAGAAACAAGGAGAGACAGTGAGAGACGATAAGCCCAAGCCTCTGGTCCCTTTCCTTCTTCCACGCAGGATATGCAGCAGGACTCTGCCACATTGGTGGCAGGTAAGACCAGGAGGTAAGTTAGACCGCAGGTAAGTTAACAGAGAAACAAGACCAGTATCAGCCAGGGGGCCATGCCTGAGTGCCTGGGAGAGGCTACCTCAGTAGGGTATTCCAGGAGAGCCCAAGGACAGGATGGGGCCTGGTATGTGAGGGAGCTACATGAGGCAGCAAATGCAAAGGCTGGAGGAGGGCTGGTGCAGCCGTGGACCTGGAAGTGGCCTGTGTGGCTGGAACTGAAGGAGCGGATGGGCCCCTCAGGGTGCAGCAGAGGGGAGCCCACCTTGGCCAGCGACTGTGCTGACGGGAGGACACAGAGAGCCACAGTACAACGGGCCTGCCAGGGTGTGGAGGGAAGGGGCAACTGGGGGCACCAGAGAGCTGAGTCACGTTCAGACAGGATTCTGAGATGCCTGGCTATTAGCACAGGTCCATCTGCTCTGCCCCCATTCACCATGAGATCTGGGCAGCAGTATTAGGTCTTCATCAGAGAAAGACCTGTGGCTGGCAGTCAGACCCGAGAACCCTGCCTTGAGTAACTTCATGCAATCCCAAGGCTTTAAAGTTTTGTCTCCAGCACTGACATTTCCCCTGAGCTCTGATTCATTAATCAGACCATTTTTAAGACACCTCCACTTATAGCCTGATGGGACCTCAAACACAGCATGTCTAAAATAGCTTTTAAGGCCACCCACACCCCACCCCCCAAAATGTGAGCAAGCTATTGTTTCCAGAGGTGGTGCCATCCACCTTCTGGCGCCCCCAGCAACAAAGGCTGCCAGGTTCCCACCAGGATTGTGTGGCCCCGTGTGGGTCCCTGGATCGAAACACTCTGCTCGCATTCTGGCCCTGCTCCAAGTCACGTGGGGAGACTCTGGCTTGGTTCAAACAATCTCCTATCTTTGCACTCGCTGTTTCTTGTTTGGAGTGTTAGTTCAGATGCACCAGCCTCGGACAGCCCTTCCCTGGCCAACATCTCAACTGCTCACGCAGGTTTCCATGGCCACTCCCCCAGCCCCATGTTTTAACTTCTTTCCCAAACCTATTACTGCTGGAAGTTGTCACTATTTTTGCTTAGGTCTTTCCCTCCCCACCAAACTGAAAGCTCTGCAAGCACCAAGACCTCATCCTTTTTGTCACCTATGTCCCCAGCACCTGAATGAGGTGGGCCACATAGTCAGGGCTCAGAGAGAATCTGATGAAGGGAGGCCATCCTGGGTGCTCCCAGGGGCTGGGTAGTTCAGATGCACCTAGTTTACTTTGACACCAGGCTGATCACCACCTGCTGCCATCACCTCCAGGACAACCTGAATGGCAGCAGAGCACCAGGGTGCCCTGCGAGGAGCCCGCTGATAGAAGGACTTGCAAAGCCCCGTGCAGCAGCAGAGCTCATCTGCCCATGTTACTCCCATAAGGTCCACAGATGAACTATGTGCCTAGATAGCTCACCACTCTGGGATCTGCAAAAGCTCTAACAGAGCCAGCTGCCTGACGGAAGTAGAGAAGGAGCAGTGATTATGGGTCAGAGGTCAGAGATATGGCGGGCTTGTTCAGCGTACAGGGTACAGTGGTGCAGAGGCACGTGTTACATACGACGACCCAGGGCAGTCACAGCCACCACCACCAACAACGCTGCCTGGTTGTGGGCCGGCCTGGGAGCTGCTGCCACCACAAGGCTGAGTAGGGCCTCCAAGTCCCAGCAGATGAACCATCTTTACTTACAGACTTCCGACAGGCTCTGGAGGCAAACATCTGCCTGACACGGGAAGGACGGCACATAACCCCAGGACTGTCACTCAGCATAAAGATCAGTTCATCGATGTCCTGGGGTCCAAAGGTCCAGTTTTTGCTAGTTGGCAAGGAAATCAACTTAGCTCTTTCAGTGACTGGAGCTAAAAGAATAAAATTGGGAGAAGAATCTGTGATTTGAAGAGCACATTTCACCTGAGTGCTACCTCTAATAACGAACGCCAGAAGAGGGGAAAGAAGCGAAATGCTATTTGGGGGAATCCATGTCTGCCTCTAATAAAATACACTGATCTGCAGAACCTCAGGGACTGTTCCAGACACTGACAGAACGCACTCTAAAGTCCTAATAACTCACCTCCTTCGTCGATAACAAAATCAAAGCCATTCTTTCTGAATATTTCCAGGTTTTCTATTAGAATAGCTTCATTGACAGCAGTTAAGTTGAGAGTCTGGGGTCTGTAAGGACAGAGAGAGGAGATTCAAGCCCAATTTCAAAGTCAAACAGTTAGCTATAAGGCAGAAGTGAAACTCAACAGTGCATACTTTTCTGAATTCCTTTCAAAAAGCAACACGAGTAGCGATACTTCCTTGAGCTACGTGCCCTTCCTATCACATAACTGCTCGAGAATTCCCCTTTTATCATTTTATTAAAGTTAAAATGTCCACAGAAGTAGCCAACTTTCCCCAATCTGTCACCCCACCGCAATGACCTCGTGCTTCTCTGAATCCGCTCCTTAAAGATAAAGGTAGAACATGAAGGTGCTACTTTTCCTTCCTGTGTTACATTACAGCATCTGAAAGCAGATAAAGATGCTGCAACATTTCTCTCTCCATCTGTCCACAATCCATCCACTATTCTCCCGGATTCACCAAGCACTTAATCGGAGAGACACTGATAAGGGCAGGAGGTAGGATGGTGCACACATACATATGCCCAGTCTCTGCCCTTATGGAGTAAGAGACCAGTGGGGAAGAAGGCCATGGATCCAGCAAACTATTATTACAAAGCATGCTGCCAATCAGGAGGAAGAGACACCCAGAACCATAAGAGCACAGAGCAAGTGAGACCAACCTGGAGACAGGGGTCAGGGAAGGTGTCTCTGAGGAAGAAGCCTCTGAGCTGAGATCTGGGGGTGGGTCGGCAGTTATCAGGTAATGGACAGAGGGATGAGTGCAGAGACAAACATTCTAGGCAGGGAAAAGTCTGTGCAAAGGCCCAAGGATGGATCACTGATATTCCCAGAGCAACAAAAAAGATCTACTTCGTTTTCCTTAATGGCCACAGGAAATCATCAGGCCTATCAAGGTTTTGAAAAAGAAAGATGGCCAGTGTGCCTCAAGCACGGAGAACAAGGAGGTGAGGGCATAGGGAGGGCCAGACCATGTGGGGCCTGGTAGGAAAGGATTGACCTATGCTCTTTAACCTTGAAATATGGTCCATTTGGGACCCCACATGGCCTGTGATTACCTGGGCCGACCTGAAAGGCCACAAATGAGACCTTATCTATGCAAAATGGCTAAAAACTAAATGACCTCTATAAAAAGGGCAGGAATGATCCAGTAGGATATAGTAGCTTTTTCTTTTTAAGATTTTATTTATTTATTTATTTATTTATTTATTTATTTATTTATTTAGAGAAATCAAAATCCCTCCTTGAGTGGGAGGAGGGGGCAGGGAGAGATTCTTCAAGCAGACCCCCCCACTGAGCACAGAGCCCACCTTGGGGCTCAATCTTACAACCCTGAGATCAAGACTTGAGCCAAAACCAAGAGTCAGACACTTAACCAACTGTGCCACTCAAGTACCCTGATAAAGCAGCTTACTGAATGTCTTTAGTGTTACCACTTTCACCTGCTGAAAATAAATAGAATTCAACCATCCATTGGAAACAGAGTACTCCGTAGACTCAGTGTATTTCCCCAGCTGAGTGACTATTGTAGTAGAACATTTCTACATGCCGGGATCTAAGTTGGGATCTGAGTTTATTTCTCTATGTCGCTGAATTTCCCAAATGAAAATCCAGGACCTCTTCTTCTAACTTGGCTTTAAGAAAAGACTTCTGGTTTACATGATACAACCTCCCACCACCTTATACAGCAGTCAGTGTAAAACAGGCAGATTGGCAAAGTGGAGGAAAAACACCAAATTCTGCAGTGACTAACTGAACTTGGTGACCTAGTCTAGCTGAGGACCAACACACAGGCAGTGCCACCTTCCTGAACACATAAAATAATATAATAAACTGACACACAACATACCATAAATTGCCCTTCATCGAAAAGATTTTCTGGCCAACCAGAAAAGGTAAAAGACTTGATACTTAACACATTAGCAGGGCACCTGAGTGGCTCAGTAAGTTAAGTATCTGCCTTCAGCTCAGGTCGTGATTCCAGGGTTCTGGGATGGAGTCCCACACCGGGCTCCCTGCTCAGCGAGGAGCCTGCTTCTGCCTCTCTCTCTCCCCCCATTCATGTGCATGCTCTTTCTCTCCCCAGTAGATAAATAAAATCTTAAAAAAAAAAAAAAAGAATACATTAGCTATATGAACTTGGGAAAGTTAACTGCTGTGTTTACGTGCCTAAGTGAGATCACCTGTGAAGTGCTGACGGGAATATCAGCTACCTCGTAGGTGTGGGAGTAAATGAGTTAATGAGTGTAAATGCATTTCAACAGTACCTGACACGTAACAAGCATTCAGTAAATGGCAGGTGTGGGACGCCTGAATGGCTCAGTGGTTGAGCGTCTGCCTTCTGCCTTCGTCTCAGGGCGTGATCCCAGTCCCAGGATCAAGTTCCACACAGGCTCTCTGCAAGGAGCCTGCTTCTCCCTCTGCCTGTGTCTCTGCCTCTCCTTATGTATGTCTCTCATGAATAAATAAATAAAATCTTTAAAAAAAATAATTAAGTAAATGACAGGTATGACTATTATTATGTAAAAAGTATAAAAATCTGCCGCAGGGATGCTTGTGGCTAAAAAAACAGACACATACACATTAAGTTCTTAGGTCTTAAACTTGAGGGGTGAAACTATACTGAGAAATCTGAATGGTAAAGCAAACTCACGCTATGAGCCTCTGGCCTTGGAGGACTGTGTGCTGCTGCAGCATCTCAAAGTTGTACTTCTCATCCGTGGCGTGCTGGTCCACTATGAAGATGTCTGCCTTCAGTTTGGTGATTATAAATCCCAAGTTAAACTGACCGATAATCTCCATTTCTGCGAACATTGTTTTACTGCGTGTAGAAAAGGTTCATTATGAGACATTTTAACTGTGAAAGATTACTTTTCTGATCATGAAACAAATACAAAAACAAAGTCCCTAATAATCCCACTTTCTGAAGATAACATTGTTCATTCATCCAGCTCCCCAGACATGGCGTTAGTTACTAATGCTCATTTGCCATACATCCTTCCAGACCTTTGTCTACACATGTTTTAAACAAAAATGTAATCCTAATTCTTCATGCTGTTCTACTCCCATCACTTAACACAATGCATCTTAGGCGCTCTTTCAGACCCGTGTATACAGATCTTTCATTCTTTTCAATGGCCACGTAGGAACTCACTGTGTGGATGTACCATAACTTGTCTGACAAATTCTGTACTAAAAGACATTTCAATGGTTTCCATTTTGAGTAATACAAACAACACTGCAACAAAAGTTAATGGACATAAATCCGCTCTATTCTGGGAGCATTTCTGTGCCATAATCTCTGGATGCAGAATTATGTACGTACATTTTTTTTACTTGGATAGATCTGCAGAAGTTTGCCCTCCCAACAGTGTGTAAGACTACCTTTTCACCAACCCTGGGTTACCAATCCTTCTAGATAGATAAATGCTACGCTCACCAACAGGTTCTACGGTGGGTGGCTTCAAAATCTAATTCCACTAGTGATGGTGTGCATCAGTGTAGATGAGAGATTGATACCACCAATGATCTTCACGTGACAAACTGACATTGCCATTCTACACACCACACAACTAAATTTTGTGAAGATGGGTTTTGTGAAGTGGCCAAGAGGATAAACCCTGTGGCCACAGGACACGAGACTCCGTCAGAGCTTCCATGGAAGCACCCTGGTTTCCAGACGGTGCCTGGAACGGACACCTGAGCTAGTCCTTTCTGTAAGTGCTCTGGGGCACCAAGGAAGGTCCCTCCCACACCACAGCAGCCACCTCAGCTCCCAGGGGACTTGCTCTGGTTGGTGCTTCACCAGTCAACCACAGGTGATGGTCTAACAGTGACGTCTCTATGTGCCACGGGTTACTGACCTCCCATTTCCTGTTGGCAAACTGCTCAGCACTGAGCTCAAGTCCAAGGTAGGATCAAACCAATCTCCAAACCCTGTCTTGAGGGTGTCTCTCCCAGGACCATTCCTGGTAGTAATTCTACATCAGAGTCCAATCAAGACACAAAAACCACACCAGTGATTTGGGCAGGGAAAATTCATAACAAAGTACTGGAAACTAGTATAAGGTGATTAATTTGCTAAGAAACACAGGAGTAACAGAGGAGGCAGTTCCTATGTCCAGGGATGAGGGAGCACATCCAGAGAAGTAACTCCTAGAAAAGCACCCATCCCCCCCTCCCTGGCTGAGCTTTAGACCTGTAGCCCACTGGGTAAAAATAAGTCTGCTAAGTCGGCTGGAGCAAAGGAGTGAGCAATGCTAGGCCTGCTGCTGGCAGCTGGCTTTAAAGAGGAAAAGACAAGGGCAGCCAAGAAGCAAGGGAGAAGCTGGGCCCCAAGTCTTGCAGTGTCCCTCCAGCGCCCCCTACTGACAAAGTCTAGCAGTGCACCAGGAGAAAGGCTTACATGGCCCAGCCTCCAGGGTTTGCAAAGCAGGGCAAAGTACAGTGGATTTGAACTGACGGGCAACACCTGGCGAAGTGGCACGAATGCCAGATCCCTGCTCTGATTCTGGGCTCTGGCTCTCAGGTGGATTCCCCACGAGAAGAGCCTGTACCAGCCTGAAGACTCAGGAATTCTGTCTGAAGGTGTATCTCCCACCATAAACTAAAAGATAGAGCTTTACAACTTGATATATCTAGTTATGACTCAAAATATAAACACAAAAGCTGGCAAACACGACCACAGTGCTTTTAATTACTGCATCATCTTTTGCCCCGAGTGGGTCTCAGGAGAATGCCATCGGCAGAACCATAGCTCAGAACCAAGAGCCAACCAGCAGCTGTGCACTGAAGGCCAAAGGCTGACAGCAGGCCCACTGTGGATCAGGGTTTCTCAGAGTGACCACTTGGGGGGAGGTGGTTACCGATCAAAAACGCAGATTCCTGGGCCCCACACCCACCATCAACCAGATCTATTAAGCAGAATCTCCTGGAGGCTGGCCCTAGGTTCTGCTTTTCGAACAAGCTTCCGCAATAATCTTATGTGACGATAAATTCAAGAACCATGACAACAGGTGATCGATGGATATTTGTTGAATTAAAATCACTATTTTTAGGGGCACTGGGGTGGCTCAGTTGGTTAAGGTCTGCCTTTGGCTCAGGTCATGATCTCAGGGTCCTGGGATTGAGCACCATGTCGGACTCCCTGCTTCTCCGTCTCTGCCCCTCTCTTTGCTTGTGCACATGCTCGCTCGCTCTCTCTCAAATAAAATAAAATCTTTTTAAAAAATCACTATTTTTTAAAATTACAATTGATTTCACCCACTGAGAGAGCTAGAGGAGTCCAAGGAGGAAGCATAATTGGTTTTCATTTGTAGCACCTTACAGGTCTTTCCTCATCAAGCACCTGTTCCATGATTGTGTGTGATTGGGGAGCCTGGCTCACCACTGCATCCCTCAGAGTTCACAGGCCCCAGATCCCATCTCCATTAATCACACACACTTTAAAGGAATTACTTCCCGAAAACCCTTCTCAGTATAAGTTAGGCATGGATATCAAGGGAAATATATAATGCTTGCTATTGGAGAATTCATAGTCCAAGTTAAGCAAAGTCTGTGTGGTCCAGACTAAAAATGCCACAAAATTTCCATGTAATTACTGAGTTGGACTATGTACAGGACACAGTACTTTTTAGTACCTGCTCAGGCAAATCGTACATGATGTTTAAAAAGATAAAAGTTACATATTTCAAGAGGAGTGATCATTTTTAGAAGTCACCATATTGTATGCAATTAATGTCAACAAAGTGGTGATGACCAGTATTTTCTATTGTCAGTATTATTAATAGTTTTCTTTAAATTGACTCCCTCCATTACTTAGCCCTACCCTAAGTAATCTTCCGGAATCCACAGGCTTGATAATGCATTATAATTTTTGCTAATAAATCAATAACAGGAAAGAGCAATGTCTCCCACAACCACCATGAATTCAGCGCAGGAAGGAGGTGCTGTGAGCTGGAAACCTTTAACAAAGAAGTGAGGTCAGGGTCAAGGAGGTGATTAACGTGGACCAGTGGCAAAGAGGTGCTAAGAAAATCTAAGGAAATAATGCTTGAAAGGCTTCACAGATAAAGACCGCTTTAAAGAAAATCAATTTGTCGCATGTGAGAGGCAATGAGAAGAAGGTGGTGAATGGAAAGAGCACCAAGGACGCACCAGTGAGGTTAATTAATGACAAAGCCGTGGAGAGATGGGCTCCAAAATGAGAATCTTTGAGAAGGAGCACTGAGAGGGCAGAGAGAAAGGGGCCTGGGGGAGGAAGAGAGAGGAGCTCAGGTGAGTTTGGCATTGGGGTGCCTCATGCCGGCAGTGGAGGGAAGGCCCCCAGGTAGGTCCATCCATCTGTCCAGCAGCTAGAGGATGGGACGCTGGAACCAAGGAGGAGCCACAGCTGCACTCTGAGCCAGAAGAGGGGAGGCGCAGAACAGAGGACACCCCCAAGAGCAAAAGTAGAGGCTGGAAGGATCAGCCTTGCTCCCTGGCCATGGCTCTCTGACACGAACACAAACAGTTCTGAGAAAGATCTTTACCTTATCTCCTTTCTTAGTTCATCTTCCGCAGCCTGGTTTTCTCCAGGGCAAATCTTGGCCCTGAACTTCCTACAGTTCTGCTCGCCTTCTCTTTGCTGTCCCTGCTGCCTCAACTGCTTTATCTGTTTAGCTAGGGAGCGCATAGAAAAGGCAAGGGGCACTACTTTCTTATTGATCTTAACAGCCACATCAACCTGAGACGCTGGCGTGTTCCGAGTCTTCACCAGCCCTGGGTGGGCATCAGAATTTAGAGGCGTTCCATCTTTTTTAAAACGCTTTGTGTTTGAGAAGGACATGTCAGCAGGCTGAGGCGAGACTCGACATGTCTGGCCACCATCCTCATGGTCGAGCTGGCCTCCAGCATCAGCAGGGTGATGGTCGATCTCAGGTGACGCTGCACTTCCTTGTGAAAGCCTGTCCTCAGGGGCGCAAGCAGCAGACACCCCGCCAGAGTGACTGCCTGCTTCTGGGGCGCTCAGCCCTTCCCCCAGGCCACCTGACAGGTGACTGGGCCCGGATTCCTGTTCTATGTCTACCCTGTTACTGTGGCCACAGGGGCCCTCATCCAAATGTCTCACCACCTCCTGAGGGCCACATGAGTTGGTGTCAGGGATGGGCCTCGGGGTGCAGGGGGAGTGCAAAGCGCCGGGCAACTGTATGTGCCTTTTCTGTCTTGGGGAGATCTGCCTTGATTCAGGGGTCTGGGGGCCCCGAGACCTGTTCTCTGTTGTGTGCCGAAGAGAAAAGTTCTCTCTCAGTCTGGAGATGGTCACAGCCCTTTTCTCTTCTCCTTCGGTCCTGAACAAAGCAGGACTATCCTGTTTTTCTGCCAGGGGCTTGTCCATTTCTGCCTGATGCGTTTTTATTACGTGACCTGAGTAGATACAAACAGAAGAGTATCAGGGGCTGCAATGAAATGGAATCAGAGGCTATTTCCACTGGAGCAGGCACTGCACAGAGGCACAGATCGAAAAGACGAAGATGGTTCCACGTTCGATGTAAAGGACATATGACTCAAAACCACAGTATCGAAGCTACTAGATACCAGCATGGGTAAAAACTTAAGAAACAACACAAGTTCCCAGGGACTAGGATCAAAAGGAAGGTTTAAACACCGCTGGTGGAGAGATGCCTGAGTGGTTCAGCGGTTAAGCATTTGCCTTCAGCTCAGGGTGTGATCCCAGGTCCGGGATCAAGTCTCACATCAGGCTCCCCGAGAGGAGCCTGCTTATGTCTCTGCCTCTCTCTGTGTCTCTCATGAATAAATAAAAAAATCTTTAAGAAATATAAAAATAGGGACACCTGGGTGGCTCAGAGGTTGAATGGCTGCCTTTGGTTCAGGGTGCGATCCCAGAGTCCCAGGATCAAGTCCCGCATCAGGCTCCCCTCAAGGAGCCTTCTTCTCACTCTGCCTGTGTCTCTGCCTGTCTCTCTCTCTGTGTGTGTGTGTGTGTGTGTGTGTGTGTGTCATGAATAAATAAAATCTTAAAAAAATAAATAATAAAATAAATAAAATAAATACCGCTGTTGGTAGTGCCATGGGTACAATTGCTTTGGAAAACCCACTGGGAAGAGCTCCTGAATCTAAACACGATGCAGGCCTGAGACCTGGCACTCCTGTCAGAAAGGGCACCCAAACCCACCAAAGCCACAGACAGGTGTCCATGGCTGTTCTAATCACGACAGCCCAATCCCAGAAGCAACCCAACTGTCCACAGATGGTGGCATTTAAATACAAGGGAATGCTGCTCAGGAAGGAAGGCATCAGCTGCCCCACGTAATGTGGATGAGCCTCACAAGATACTGAAAGAAACAAATCCAAAAGAGCCTACATACTAGATGGCTTCAAGTTAAAAGCAGATAAAAAGAACCTGTGGTTTCAGAAGTCAGGAGGGGATCCCTGGGTGGCTCAGCGGTTTGGCCCCTGCCTTCGGCCCAGGGCGTGGTCCTGGAGTTCCAGGATCAAGTCCTACATTGGGCTCCCTGCAGGGAGCCTGCTTCTCCCTCTGCCTGTGTCTCTGCAACCCCACCCGGCTCTCATAAATAATAAAAATCTTAAAAAAAAAAAAAAAGTCAGGAAAATGGTCACCACCAGGGGGCAGTGTAAGGAAAGGAGTACCAGGCTGGTTTATGGGTGGGTGCTACGTCTTGACCTCAGGGCTCATACATTCGTGTTTATTTCTGAATTCAGTAAAATGGCTGAAAGGGGGTCTTAGTTACAACACTGTGTGCTTAGGATGCCCTGATATTTTGAGCAGATTCTCTTTATAGGGTGGCCTCTGGCAAAGTATCTGTGAGTGGGCTCAGAGATGCCACCCTGGCCCACTTCGATGAAGATGTGTATGTGACTCACCACCCTCCACCCCATCTCCACGCACATCCATATCGCCCCATACCAAGAGCAAGCAAGGCTGACAGGGGCTCACCGTGTCCAAAACAAAGTTCCAGCACTATCAGAGCTTCTGTGCTCCTGCCCCACCCCACCCCTCTGGAGCTTCACCTCCACCTTATTCCCAGATTATCAGAATGAGAGCCTGCACCCATCTTCCAAATCCACCTCTCTTCACCCCTGCAGTGATAGGGAATGCCAGGATGGAGCTGCTCTGTATCCCTGCCCTCCCTTAAACTCCTAAATTACAGCTTCTCCTCTATCTTCAGTTTATAAAGCCTCATCCCCAAACCATCTCCTCTCACTGGGAGCAATATGCATTTGTCAACTTAGCTTCCCACCAAACTCTAGTTCAGCTCCCTCAACAGCTCTGGTCTTAGCTCTTGGAGGACACAATGATGGGCACCCACCACCCGCCTCCCTGCACATACAGACATGGAGATTGGACGGGTTGGCCCACAGAAGACAGTATGAACCCTAAGGAGCAGATGTGGGCAACAGGGGAGGTAATGGCCAACTCTTCCCTCTGCCACGGAAGACAGCTGGAGCTCAACCCTGGTCCTCCTTCCGGATGCCCCAGCTGTACTTGGTTTGGATAAAAAAGAACCACACTGGGGCTCCTGGGTGGCTCAGTGGCTGAGCATCTGCCTTTGGCTCAGGTCATGATCCTGAGGTCCTAGGATTGAGTCCCGCATTGGGCTCCCTGTGGGGAGTCTGCTTCTCCCTCTACCTGTGTCTCTGCCCCTCTCTCTGTGTCTCTCATGAATAAATAAATCTTAAAAAAAAAAAAAAGAATTAAACTACATAAACAACTGATCATGTGTGACCAGGCAGTAAAATAATGACTGTGCGTATTATTATTACAGATGCTGGATCAGCTTGTGGCAATGCTCATTCCAACACGCCACCCAGTGAAGATGGCACAGGGGTAACGTAGGAAATGGCACAATGAGGGCCTCAGAAATTCCCCACTTCATCAAAGAAATGGGAAAACAGGCAAAAGTGGTCAGAAGTGACTTTCTCAGAACTCTGGAAATGAACAAAAGGCTTGTAGCAATCAGCAGTGTTTATTAAAGAAAAACGGTTGAGTCTCGATAAGAACACATTCCTGTATGTGCCAAACACGCCTGCCAATCCTCTCGTTAATCAGACTTCCTTACATCTGCAGCTCTACACTATTGAGTGCGACCCATTCTGTCTAAAAGAAGAGGATTAGGGGATCCCTGGGTGGCTCAGCGGTTTGGCGCCTGCCTTTGGCCCAGGGCGCAATCCTGGAGTCCCGGGATCGAGTCCTGCAGAGGGCTCCCTGTGGAGCGCTCCCTGCTTCTCCCTCTGTCTGTGTCTCTGCCTCTCTCTCTCTCTCTATCATAAATAAATAAATAAATAAATAAATAAATAAATAAATAAATAAATAAATAAATAAATAAATAAATAAATAAATCTTTAAAAAAAATAAAAAAATAAAAGAAGAGGATTGGCACATTACATTTTGTTCCATGTAAAAAAAAAACTTGACTTCATGGGATGCTTGGGTAGCTCAGTATTAAGCATCTGCCTTCAGCTCAGGTCAAGATCTCCGGGTCCTGGGATCAAGTCTCACATCAGGCTCCCTGCTCAGGGGGGAATCAGCTTGTCCCTTTCTCTTTGTCCCTCTCCCAGCTCCTGCTCTCTCAATAAATAAAATCTTAAAAAACAAAAATTTACCTCAGAAAAAAATAAGGAAAAGTATCACAATAGCTGTGAGTTTTAGAAGCTGTCCATACACTGTATTTTTCTTACCTTCAATATCCAACAATGGTTGCCGAGAGACAGTGAGTTTGTTGACGTCGCTATCAAACATTGCTATCAAAGACGTCTTTAAAACTGCCAACAAAAGCTTCTCCTCTTGTAGTAAAATTTGCCGTTTATCTGGGGTAACATTGATATCAATACATTCTAAGACAAAAAAAGGAAAAGGATAGTCCTTATGTTTAAAATCACCTTTAATAGTAGAAATTACCCCATCTTATTCACTTGCAGTTACCAAAGCACTATTAAAAACATTGCAGGGTCCAGGTTAATATTTATAAACTAAAACATTAGCTCTTTCAAAGAAATAAGAAAAAGATGGACGATTTATTAAATGGACAGGATATGCAAGTATTTGGATAATTAGCAAAAAAAAATAAGAAGCAAATAAACACATGAAAACATATGATAGAAAAGGTAACTGCAAGGTAAAAAAAAGGTCCTCCTATCATGCACTGAATTTAGTTAAAAATGATACTAGCCAGTATACCACTAGTAGATGTATGAATTAGTACAGCATGATCATAGTCATGGACACAGTAATTCTAGTTCTAGAAATGTATCTTAAAGGAATAACCAAAGATATAGGTAACAATTTAATTATAAGGATAGTATTTAAATTTCTAAAAACTGAAGACAGCTTAAATTAAGGCTAAGAATTTAAAAGCTTAAGCTATGAGGCACCTGGGTGGCTCAATTGATTAGGTGTCTGACTCCTGGATTTGGCTCAGGATATGATCTCAGGGTTATGGGACTGAACCCTGCATCAGGCTCCACGCTCAGTGGGAGTCTGCTTGGATATTCTCTGCTTCTGCCCCTCCCTACCCCACCTGCATATGTGTGCTCTCTCTCTCTCAAATAAGTCTTAAAAAAAAAAAAAAAAGTTGGGCAGCCCAGGTGGCTCAGCGGTTTAGCGCCGCCTTCAGCCCAGGGCGTGATCCTGGAGTCCCGGGATCGAGTCCCACATCGGGCTCCCTGCATGGAGCCTGCTTCTCCCTCTGCCTGTGTCTCTGCCTCTCTCTCTCTCCTCTCCAAGTGTATTCTCATGGAAAAAGAAATAAAATCTTAAAAAAAAAAAAAGTTGAAGATACATCTGTATGTTGAAATATAAGAAATACCGCTATTTAAATCATGTTTCTCAGTAATTTTTTTTTAAGATTTATTTATTTATTCATGAGAGACACAGACTGAGAGAGAGAAGTAGAGACACAGACAGAGGGAGAAGCAGGCTCCTCACAGGGAGCCTGATGCAGGACTTGATCCCGGATCCCAGGATCATGACCTGAGCCAAAGGCAGATGCTCAACCTCTGAGCCACCCAGGCGTCCCTGTTTGAGTAATTTTTAATGACATAGTAAAAAAAAAAAAAATTCATATAAAAGGATAAAGCGCTTGATACAAACTTACTCAAAATTATTTTCTCCCTGCAAAGAATATGAGCAGGTACATATATCGTTACCTATTTTTTTTAAAGTGTGCACATATTTCTAAGTGCCTAGAAAAAAATACTAGGTAACAATAAGCCAGAATTTCCCCAATCATAAGAAAAACATCCATTATTTTTAAAAGGAGGGAGAACATTTAGTTTGCTTCCTACTTTGGATGCCAGGAAAGAGTCACATTTTTCTGATAATACAATAACCTGGTCTCAAGTAGAAAAGGCTGCATAAAAAGTAAGTCTATGAAATAAAATTAAAAGTCTATAAGAAAAAGAAAAAAACATTAACTGTTGCTACAAAAGTCTCTTTCCAGTCATATCAGGGCTTTATAATTTCATTTTACTCTTTTAGGGGTAAGTCACTAATGTGACAGAGAGTTCAGTGGAACTTACCTGAATCAACAGAAATGTTAAGAACAATGAATGGATACTGATGTCGATTATACATGTGATAGACCTCATTCACGAGTCTGGAGACCTAAGTACAAAACAAAGATCAAAAAAGAACCTGTAAAAAAAAAAAAAAAAGAACCTGTCCCCCAACAAGTTGTTCCAACTAGAAGGATGTATTTGAACAGCTTTATCAAGGGGGGCCTGCCATAAACTATGCATATTCAAAGTATGCAGTTTGATAAGTTCACTATCAAGGCCAGTAGGATTACAATCAAGATCATCAATATATCGATTGCCCAAAGAAGTTTTCTCATGTGCCTTTAAGGAATAGTTTTAATCATCAACCCTTAAAAGTGAATCTTTTTCTAATCCAAAGATGCTTTTGAAGAATTATCAAAAGATGCAGGGGCAGTCCATTTATTTATTTCTTGGTTATGTTATTTGACCCTGGTATCATTAACATACTGTAGGTGCACCTGAAATGATCATTAAACACACACTAATGCACACAGAAATGTATTTATATGACTTCCTAAAATGATTATTAAACGGGGTCAAAGATAAACTATAAAATCATACCATCTACAATCCAGTGGAAAATGCAGAGGTTGAACATCTGACAGATGAAAGTCATTTTAAAGTATCACCTGAAAACAACCTGTGACATTGTACCAATGTAGCTGAAGAAGCAAAATCAAAACTAAACCATTAACACCCACATAACTCCATTAGGACAACCAGAGGCAGAAGATACCATAGCCCTTATTTTCCTGGAAAATGGACAAAAGAAGAAAATACGAAGCATATCCACACATGTCACTCTAGACTGAAGAGTCTAGAAGATGGTAAATGTTTTGATATGCTTGCTTTCTACAAAGAGTGATAATTTCTATGTGATAAATACGTTGGATATCAATGTGTGTATACACATGCATCACTGAAACAACCATGTAATGGGATTCTTTAAATGGCTGAAATAAGATAATTCCTTAAAGCCAGGTTTCTGAGTCAAAGTCCTACGTTCCATGTAAATTGTCATGAGACCTTATTAGATAAATGAATAAGATTAAAAGTTAAAGGCAAAAAAGAAAAAAATGAATAAAAAAAATCTTTAGATACCTTTGCTGGGTCACAAGGCCGCCGATTGATGAAAAAAAACTGTCTGTCTGTTGAACTTCTTCCAACACCATGAGCACAGTGAGAGATGAAGCCCGAGATGCTGTCCGATGTTCACAGGGTAAGGGCAGGATTCCAGAATGAAAGGAGTTAGTAACACATCAGAAAAGACGTTCTCAAAGTAAAAACAAAATAAAAACAGAATTCCTAGTCATGTACTAAATATTAACATGTCAGTTAATGTGTATCTGTATTCCATTCTGATAAATCACAAAAACACGGACCTTCCAGAATGTTCTACAGCTCCTGCAAATCCAGCACCAGCAACGCAGTGGGTTGAAAAGGGATTTGCTTCAGCTCTCCTCTCACACTTGTCCTATTAAATTCTTGGCCTCCACGCAAGGAGTGACTTTCATCTCAGACTCACATTCTGGAATCTTCAAGCTGACCATACTTGTTGTCCAGGGAGTCCAACGACTTGTATTCACAATTTCTGTCCACATTCCTTGCCCTTTTAAAATCTGCTATCAGCAAGCTCCTGCCTACTAAAGTGTTGTGAAAGTGCTTCTTACTCTACCTGTAAACTACCTCAGGGATATGCGCACTTCTCTAAGAACAGTATGTTAATGTAAAGAAATGTGTCCCCACCTTTCATTTCAGGCATAAAAGCCAAAGGCAAGTGCAGGGACAATGAGCAACATGGGCTGTCCCAGGACCAATCCCAAGTAGGGAAAACTGCCAATTTTTCTTACAGTTAGAGTAATGATGCTGGACAAGATGCTGGGTAAGGCATAAATTAAAGAGCACAGCCTCTATTACACTCTGCTGAATCCTCATAAAGCGCAACATACACATAAATTAAAAGTTATTCTAATTGGTTACTAAACAAGGTCTTCACTACAAAGGCAAATTCAATAGGAAACTCCCTACAATGCACCAAGGACCCAAAATATTGAATGAACTAATTAATTTTTTTTGTTGTTGTTGAGTTTTTTATTATTCAAATAACTAATCAGGAACAGTTGAACAGATTATCCAAACCAGTTTTGGTAGCCTGTGAGTATATGGCTAACAATAATCCTTTGGGTGGGCACTGAGCACTCTTTCTTGATAGTGAGGATCTTCAACAGCACCAAGAAGACTGAAGAATTCAAAGTTCTAGAAATTCTCATTTTTAACCAATCTTCTTCTGTCTTTTCTCTAGTGAAGTCTTCCATTGCAAATAGATCATCTTCAGTGTCTTCCAGTCAAGGGAAACCACACAGTCATCAGGCATCAAAGATTCCATTGGAACTCCAGGGGATCCAAAAAGCTTTACTAGTTGAAAGGCAAACACTTGTGATAATGGCAGCTCAAGGGAATCAAAGCCCTTTACAGAAGTCCTCTTTCTGGGACACCTGGGTGGCTCAGTCAGTTGAGCATCTGCCTTCAGCTTAGGTCACGATCCTGGGGTCCTGGGATCGAGTCCTGCATCGGGTTCACTGCTCAGTGGGGAGTCTACTTCTTTCTACCCCGTTCATGCTCTCTCTCTCAAATAAAATCTTAAAAAAAAATCCTCCTTCTCAGCAGTAATAATGCCTACAATTTTATAATGAATGTAAACTATAAGCCTTGGGGCGCCTCACTGACTCAGTAGGCAGAGCATGTGTTTCTTGATCTTGGGGTTTTCAGTTTGAGCTGCCATGCAGCATAGACTTGACTTAAAAATAAAAAAAAAACTAAATAAATTTAAATTTTTTTAAATTTAAAAATTAAAAAAAAAATTTAAGCCTTAAAATCATTATCTTTAAAAACAAAAAAAGTTTGATTGCAATTTTCTGTCAATCCCCTCCACCCCCTGGCAGTAAGGTAGTAATTGACTCACTGAAACCGTGAATGCAGAACATCAGCGTGGTTCAACCCATACTCTTCACAAACGGAGTCACTAGGGGGCAGCTGAACAAAAGGAATGAGGCTTTGCAGCTGAAAGAAACAAGATGCAGTTAATTCCTAACACAAACAGGATGAACCTAACTTCAGAAAGGAAGATCTAGAATGAGGGTTTGGTGTGTTTTTTTAACCTGGTCAGGCTACTCACATTAAGAGCACAAAGAATCTCTAACAGCTCCATCTGGCAGTAAGAATAATTGTGATTTTTTTTTTATTAGAGAGATGAACGGCTTGAGCTTGTACTTATTCATAACCAATACACTGCCCACAACATACTTTTTCAGATAGATTAAAGGAGTGTTTTCTTCTCTGGAAGAATAAAATAAAAAAATCCTTCAGCTTTCAACATTAATTTTTGTGATAAGTACCTAACTCAAAAATCAATTATTGGGGGCACTTAGCTGGCTCTGTCCATAGAGCATGTGACTCTTGATCTCGGGCATGTAAGTTCGAGCCCCATGTTGGGAGTAGAGCTTACTTAAAAATAAAAATCTTTAAAAAAAAGAAAATCGATCACTGGGTTTTATTCTCTATTCTTTGGAAAGGACAATGGAAACCTGCCCTAATAACTAGAGCTATAATAAAATGTTTCTTAAATAATGGGCTACCACTACCTGTTTCTGCCCAAACACCGATCCAATATTTTCCTTTACGCTGGAGCTTCCACTTGTGCATACCACCAGCTGCCGTCTTCCTTGTCCAACCTGATTGCTGCAACTGATACGGATGCCCGCTGAAATGATGCAGTATGCATGTAAGACCTGGACCATTTTGGCATACTCCTGCATAAAAAACACAAATGTGAGACTCAGTATTACTTTAAACCTAAAAGAATCAAAAATTTTTTTAAAAGATATTAATTTGAGAAAGAGAGTGAGAGAGCACATAAGCAGGGAGGAGAGGGAGAAACAGACTCCCCGATGAGCAGGGAGCCCAACTCGGGGCTCGGTCCCAGGACCCTGAGATCAGGACCAGAGCCAAAGGCAGACAGGTAACTGACTGAGTCACCTAGCTGCCCTTTTTAAAAAGATATTTTATTTACTTATAATCCTACAAGAATTACATGATTCAAGTTAAAACATCCAATTCAATGTTCTCATATCAGCACACGAATAAGGCCAATTGCTCCTGACAGAATGAGCCATACGCCTCTGTACTGGGTAAAAGAACTCACAGGCTTAGTTAGGTTCCTAGCCACACTTCTCTTGTGTCCACATGCACTGCTAGAATTTTATTTTTATTTATTTTTATTTTTAGAGAGAGAGAGAGCATGAGTGGGGGGCAGGGGAGGGAGAGAGGAAGGAGTAGATGGAAAGGGAGAAAGAATCTCAAGAAGACTCCCCACTGACCATGGAGCCTGACCCTGGGCTGGATCCCACGACCCTGAGATCATGACCTGAATCAAGAGTCAGACATTCAACTAACAGCTGAAATCAAGAGTCAGACATTCAACTAACAGAGCCGCCCAGGTAATCCACGCCTGCTACTGTAAAAATCAAAAAGTGCATTCCCTTAGACTTTATAATCCTTCCTCTAGAAATTTATCCTTACAGAAAGACTGGCACAAACAATCAAAGACATATTACAAAAATGTTCACTGGAACAATCTGTAATTGTGGAAAATTAAAAAGCACCTAAGCTACCATCAACAAGGAACTAATTATGGGTTATCTATATCATAGTAGAATGATAAAGAATAAAGTAATGAGTCAGCCAAAAAAGATACCTAAAGGTATCTTTTATACCTTTATAAAGGTTATAAAGGTTATAATAACCTTTTTTTTAATATTTTATTTATTTATTCATGAGAGACACACAGAGAGAGTCAGAGACACAGGCAGAGGGAGAAACAGGCTCCAAGCAGGGAGCCGGACGTGGGACTTGATCCCAGGTCTCCAGGATCAGGCCCTGGGCTGAAGGTGGCGCTAAACCGTTGAGCCACCCGGGCTGCCCGATTTATAATATACTAATTTTTTTTTAAGATTTTATTTATTTATTCATGAGAGACACACATAGAGAGAGACAGAGACATAGGCAGAGGGAGAAGCAGGTTCCATGCAAGAAGCCCAATGTGGGACTCGATCCCAGGACTCCAGGATCATGCCCTAAGCTAAAGGCAGAGGCTCAACCACTGAGCCACCCAGGCGTTCCTATGATGCTAACTGTTAAAGAAAAATATCAAAACATATACATAAAGATTCTATATATCTGTATACAGGTTTGGATATACACCAAACTCTGGGAAGACAGCAGAGCCAAGATCAACCTTCTACCACATATAATTCTACATTACTTAAACGTTTCATAATTTGTATTGCTTGATTTCATTATATTAATTAATTAATTAATCAATCTTGAAATTGTTTTTCAAGATTTATAAAGACATGAAACTGAAAGGAGTCTGGAGAGACATACATTCAATCCATCAACAATGGTCATCTCTGGTAAGTACGAGTTCTTTATTGCTCTAATTTCTGAGGCACTGATTTTTTTTTACCATGAGATACAGAAAAAAAAATTTTAATTTTTCTATACAAAATTTTTTTTCTCTTTTAAATAAAAAAGAAAAAAATGTTTAAGTCTTGCCTGTAATAAATACATATTTTTGTAAAATTTCATAGTTATAACCAGCACAAATTGCTTTACAAGAAAGTTTTTTTAGCTGCATATGTTTAAGTAACTTTTTGATTATGAAAAAATATATGTACAAAATAGAAAAGCACAAGCAGACAGCAAAAGACAGAGACAAGCACACCTCCTTGGACAACCACTGATAACAATCACACAAGAATCACATGTCTTCTCCTCCAGACTTCTTTCTATACATATTGAGGCCAGCTGCTTTGTCTTTATAAAACTGTAATTGTATGTAGTAGTTATATACATATACACATACTCACATACACATTTATGCATATTTTATAACTGTTTTTTAAGCACAATTATATAACATTTAGCTACCTCATTTTCATTCAAATTCACAAAAGTTGTAATAGTTCATTTTTCAGGAAACCAAGAAAAATAATCTTATTAAAAACTACAGATGGGGGCACCTGGGTGGCTCTGTCGGTTCAGTTTCCAATTCTTGATTTCAGTTCAGGTTGTGATCTCAGGGTCGTGAGATTGAGCCCTACATTAGGCTCCCCACTCAGTACAGAGTCTGCTCAAGATTCTCTCCCTTCCTTTCCTTCTCCCCTCCCCCTGCTCATGCACAAGCTCTAAGTAAATAAAATATTTAATAAAAACAAACCCCTACAGATCAAATTTAAAAAGTTACTTCTTAACCCATTCCCACATTAGAACACTTACTAAATATTCTTTATAATTATTTTTTTCAAGAAAAGAAAAGAAATGATCCTGAAATTCAGTCTTTGCTGGGGAAACAGCAAACCAAGCACTTCCCAAAAAAATTCAGGGAAGAGAGTTCACTGAAGAGTTAACTTCAGTTTACTTCCAGTGGGAGATCTTTTACTACATATGTACATTACACTACCAAGGCTCTGGGAAGCTGGGGTTCTGGATTTACTGTACCTTCTTAATATTCCTTTGAAATTCCTTATGACGCACAGGGAGTGTATAAAATAGCTGCTGTACGCTAACGGTTGTCCCTCTGGGTCGTGGATGGGGCGTTTTCTGGACAATTTTCCCATTGTGATCAAATACCAGCCGAGTTCCGACCTTTGCAGATGTGTGGCAGGTAGAAATAGTCACGTCACTGTGAGAGACAGCAGGCACGATTGGGTCAGAAACTCATAGGTGCCGGGCACTATTTTCTTACTTGTGTTCTCTAAAACCCCTCCTGAAAATAGCTGATCTCTCTAAGATAATCCAAGAAAGTTTCTATGAGTGAATGATCATCAGAGAATCTAAGGCTTGGCACCTAACAGAGAGTTTTATAAATGTTGTTTTGATAAAAGCTTTGATATTTGTTTTTTTGGTTAAACTGCAAAATAAAAGATCTCAAAGCTTCTTTTTCTTTTTTTTTTTTAAAGATTTTATTTATTTATTCATAGACACAGAGAGAAAGAGGCAGAGACACAGGCAGAGGGAGAAGTAGGCTCCATGCAGGGAGCCCGACGTGGGACTCGATCCTGGGTCCCCAGGATCACACCCCAGGCTGCAGGGGGCGCCAAACCGCTGCGCCACCAGGGCTGCCCAAAGATCTCAAAGCTTATACATTAATGAATAAAGATTTATTTCTCAGTTTTATTCCTATTGTTCTAACAAAATGTTTCACAAGGGTCCAAAAAATATTATAGTTCCAATATATAAATAATTATTCATAAAAATTTAAAATTGTTATATATAATAAGAGCTTTGGTTAAATATTTTCCTAAACGTTGAAATGCATTAATACCAACATGTATATAATTTATGGTTTATGTGCTATTTTGACATTTTAACAAGGGCAATGATTTTTTTTCCAAGACTATTTACTTAGCTTCATTGCTTACATTTCAGAAGTATCATCACTTAGATTGGCAGTAAGATAAAATGGAATGTGGAAGTTAGAAGTTGAGGCGTTCAGGATGGAAAAGTATAAGCAATGATTCTAATCTCTTTGTTTTCATTTTCAGAGAGATTTTTATAAGAAGTCAAGTTAGCGGACAAAATATTTTATCACCTCAGTGCACAAAGTGAGCTCAGAGCTTCCCCTCGAAAGCCAAAAGTTTCCACCTGAGTTAGGTCAGCAAAGTCTTGAATCTTAGAAGTGTGATGTTTCAGAGCTGAAAGACAGGAGCACAGAAAGACCCAAGATGTCTCAAGTGACATACCCTGAATATAGACAACCTACCAAAGTAACTGTTTTTTAAAAAGTCATTTTTGTGTTTCTTAAGATAGTGTTACTCAAAGCTTTGAAATACTTTGTCCAAATATTTTTAAAAGGATTAGAAAAATTCAACTTACTTAAGCCTTCAAAGTTTTCTTCTTTGACTCCGCATCCATTGTCTGAAACTTCAATGAAATCCACCCCATAGTCTTTAAGCTTTAGATCTAAAAAGTTTAACATATTAATTTCTCAAAGAACAGATCCATGGAAAAGCCTGTATACTGACAGTATTTATAACTTACCTAATGCAAAGGTAAGTCCTAACTATACTTACTTAAATGTACTATCGTCATTTTGTGTGTTTCATTCATTTTTTTTAAAAGGCCTTCCTGGCAATTTATTAAACCAGATGAAAGTTTTGTTTTTCTTTCTTTTCTTCCTTCCTACCTTTCTTTCAAAAAGGTAATTTTAACATAGTCATTAAAGAGAATAGGCTCTGGAATCAGACTTCCTGGGATCATAAATATGATCTTAGCTTTATAACCTCAAAAAAAGTAAATTCCCATGCCTGCATTTTCTTATTTGTAAAACAGATATAATAACAACAATGATAACTGCTATCTCATAAGGTTGTTCTGCAGATGAAAAATACCTGTGAGGCACATTAGTTAAAACACAATAAAAGTTAACTGCTTTTTATCATTACTACTACTTACCTAAGTATTAGGTACATGAGAGATGATTAAGTTTAAAAGCTAAAATTTCTCAGTATATCTACATTTGATTGTCTCATTACAATCACGAGTGTTTCTTGAATAAAATAGTATAAAGTGAGGGTTCCCTGCGGCGTAAAACTCTCCCAAACTTACCAATATTAGTGGCTCCAGCATCCACACTATTTTCTACCAACTCCTTCACAGCAGTACTTAGACTCAGTACCACTTGTCCAGAACAAATCTGATGGACTGACTTCCGATCGATAGGTTTGATGGCCTTAGCAAGTTCTGTACTAAAGACATCAGTTACAAGAAACAAAGCAAGTATACATTTATGTATTTTCATCCTGGTTTTAACTGCAGTAAATGATTCAATTCTGTTAAGAGCTAATGGGTCTGATGTATTCATTTATTATATTAATGAATCCACTGATTACACTCATAAATATAAATGCTGACCTACAACCCTTATACATCTGTAAAAATCTTCTGAATAGATACTTTAATGCAATGGATATTTAGAAATTTAATTATACTGGGATCTACATGGAGGAGACACATGTACCATTCAGCCTATGGGTAAATAATCTTTGGCGACAATGGGATCTTCTTCTGAAAAGTGAAAGCAACACTTCTCACACGTTTTGAAAACCCAACAGTATGGTGGGAAATACAGTGTTCATGTGAAAATAAAAAGCCATCTTAGAAAGTGGGTGGCTCAGTGGTTGAGCATCTGCCTTTCGCTCAGATTATGATCCCAGGATCCTGGGATGGAGTCTTGCATCAGGCTCCCAGCAGGGAGCGTGCTGCTCTCTCTGCCTATGTCAGCCTGCCTCTCTCTGTGTCTCTCGTGAATAAATAAATAAAATCTTAAAAAAAAAAAAAAAAAGGAACTAAGTACCCATTATATAACCATTTCCACAGGAGCCTTTGAATCTCCCCTCCAAATCCAGGCTGCCAGCTGCTGCCTTAGCAAAAACACCCAAAATTCTTGATGTACCTACTTTAGGAGTTTTGCAACCAATTTGCTTCTACTTTCTCCCTGTTCCAATCCACCCTCCGCTACCACCAAAAAAAAGTCACTTAATTTACATAATTACTTAATTTAATTAAACAAGCTTTAGGGGGGAAAAAATCTACTAGCATCCCACTGTTTGCTAACTGAAAATCTAGTCATGTGAAAAACTGGATCCCAGTCTACTTTTCTCTCACTCTCTGCAATCCTCTGTTCACCAATTCCCCTATGTTCTAGTCATAGCAAACTGTTTCCTGAATATCACAAGCTCTTTTAAACACTGCACGTTGTCTATACAGGTCTAAATCGTTCCCCTCTTCCTCCTCTGCCTGGCAAACTCCTGCTCATCCCAAGAACGTATTCCTTGCATCCGTTAGTTTAGCAATTTCTTGTAAGGGTCTTAACTGATAATGTGGGTATAACAGAACCCAGGCGCCTCCCTGAGAGAGAAATCTTTGGGTCCTCTCCCACAACTTCTAACACATAGCAGACCCTCAGTAAACCCTTGTAAAACAAGCAACATCTTTACTCTTTGTTCCACCTTGCAAAAAAATTTCACTCGGGTTTCTCTTAAATATGAAAACCCCAGATGACAACATAAGGTGGAAAGAAGTTTTTCTGACACTTTATTTGGGAACACACCCCAAGCTGCCAATTCACTTCGGATACTTATTTTGAGCACGGGGGATGAGACATTGAAACGCGGACAGTGACCTGGGGTTCGGGACCCTGAAACTCCCTCCGAATCGGGTTATTAGCCAGAAATGACACACTCAAGGAGATGCAAAAGTTCTGCTTTTCTAAAACCTGTGCTGCTATGCAAATTAGCATGTGCCTTGAAGCCTCCCCAAAATAACATCAATTTTCAAAAAAGAAAGAACGAACGAATGAAAGAAAGAGAAAGAAAGAAAAGAGCGAGAAACCAGGTAGAAGGGAAATGAATTCAATCTCCGGGGATGTCGCGCTGCCTGGGAGCGGGCCGGATCCCCGCGACGACCTCGACCGCACAGTGTCCCCCCAAAGGGCCCCCGCGCGGGCTCGCCTAGCACCGCGGTCTCCTTCCCCTCCCTTCAGGGAGTCTGGAACGCCGTGGGCCTCAGGAACGGCGACCGCGAAGGGACACCGCACGCACCGCTCACCTCGGCCCTTCGGCTCGCTCCATGGATCCAGAATCCGACCCGCCTCCTGGACTCGGGACAGTTCCCGCTGCCGCTCCCACGGAGGCTCCGCCTCCCTGCCTCCCATTGGTTGCCTCCGGCACTGTGCCCCGCCCCTTCCGGATGGGGCAGCCGACGCTTCCCACCCCTCCTTCTTGCCGATTGGTTGTGCAAAGAGTCGAGGCCGCGACGTCCAAAGCACGCGGGCCAATCAGACCGCACGGACTGCGCTTTCCTGAACGGCCGCAGCCGGAGCGGAAAGGTGGTCGCGGTCTCTCGTGGTCTCGGGCGGTTTTTAAGCGTTCGTGCCCCCCGCTTGCCACGTTCCGTCTTTTGGCTCCCACGATGTCAATGTACCAGGTAAAGCCCTATCATGGGGGCAGCGCATCACTCCGTGTAGAGCTTCCCACCTGCATGTACCGGCTCCCCAACGTGCACGGCAGGACAGGCAGCCCCGCGCCGGACGCAGGCCACGTGCAGGTAGGAGCGTGCGGCCCCGCCCCGCCCCCACTCGTCCTGAGTGTACATTTTTCCACCCCGTCTAGTGCGCAAGCGCTTAGTTTCATCCGCCCGCCTTCCTGCCAGTGCGCAGGCGCTTACCTCTCATCGGCCCGCCTTCTGCCCAGGGCGCAGGCGCCGTGGCCGGGTCGTTGGGGTTGAAGGACTGTGGGCCTGGGGTCAGACCTGGTCGCCTGCCCCCCCCCGCCCCCGCTTTCATGCTTCCGCCAGTTTCGCGTTCCACTTGTGTCTATTAAAAGTTCTATTCCTCTTGTATCTATTTCGTTTTCCACTTACGGCTCCTAAAGCTTTTTTGCTACCAGATTGTGGCCACAGAAATATAAGCAGCACGTAAATGCTCATTTTTAGGAATTCTAAAGCGAACCTCGCTGTCACCGCTGCTACTCAGGGTAACAGGACGTTGTCTGCACCCTGCTGTGTGGGGCTGCCTCCCCGACCTGGCTCCCGTGGCGTCGGCGGGGCGGGGCGGTTGAGCTTCGGTGCTGTGCGCGGAGGGGCGGGTTGCATCGGGGCTGCGGTCGGCAGGCGCACCTGTGCACGAGCAGGCCTGGGGTGTGCACCGGCGCTGGGGAGGGGAGGTGGACTGTCATCGTTTGGGCTCGGTAAACCGCTTTCCGGAGCGGCCTGTCTGCAGGTGTGTGTGCCTGGGCCGTGAGCACTGAATTCCTGGTTCTTGCACCCTCCCCAAAGCTGGTGGGTGGACCGTGGGAGCTTGATGTGGTTTTTAGCTCAGGTTTTTCAGACTTCTGCATCAGCGGATCGCCTTGTCGTGTTGGCTGGCCATTTTGGCACGCTCTCTTGTAAAGCGTCTGCCCAGGCCTTTCGGGTTTTTTGTTAGCAGCAGATACCCATCTTAGGTTTCCAGCAGGAGGAACCTTCTGTCCATTCGGGCTGAAGATGAGTGAACGGGTAACTTTTATAGTCCTTTCCCGTGGAGTGTTATTCTTCACTTTGTTTTAAGTAGGCTCCAAGCCTCGTGTGGAGCTCAATGCAGGGCTTCAACTCACAACTCTGTAGATCATGACCTGAGCCAAGATCAAGAATCCAGGAGGCTTAACTGCCTGCGCCAACCATGCGCCCCTCCTTCACTTTCTCTTAATAGCCTTCTGCCTATATGGGAAGGCAAACGGTTGGGTTAGTTGGAAAACAAGGACACAATTGTCTCACCAGAGAGCTAAGATGGAAATAGCACCATGATCCAGTGTGGCTCAACTGGACAGTCCCACTGAACTGAAAAGAAAACCCAGACTCAGAGTTGGAAGTGTCACAGCTCATTTGAGATCAAGTCTTTTTTTTTTTTTTTTTTTGGTGTGCTGCTAACTTCCTTGGACTTTCAGCTGTGAACTTCTAAGACACCTAGATCCTCTTGATTAGCAGATCATAATAATATAGACCAATAATTAGAAATCAAGCATATTAAAGGCAAATAGCAGCAGAAAGAATAAACTGCTTCTAAAATACATATAAAACAAATGGATAGACATGTGCCATGTCACAATCTCATCTCAACAGGAAAACTAGCTAACAAACAAGGTTAAAGGTACATGTAAAGCAGATCTTGAGTATTTCCTCATTCCTCACATCCAGAGGAGTGAAATCAGCCTGTGCTGGGCTTCCAGTCACAGGACACATTACGAATGTACTATTTGTTTCAGGCACTGTTTTCTGTGTTGACCGGGACATGGAACCCAGTAGGTGCTTCTTTGCCCTGGTTCATCAGGGAGCTTCCTGCCACTTGTAGAATTGAGCAAGGTAATGCACACACACAATGCACAAATCAGGCTGGTTGGAAGTGATTGGAATGCTACTTGAGGACTATCATTGAGGAATGGAAGGATATTACACACTAGTAGCCCTATTCATCAGACACCTTGCATTCACTTATTTCCATCAAAACATAATTATTTAATTGGTGCACTCAAGTCTTTATACCTCTTTACCCACAGGTCAATCATCTTACATATCTTTGCTATTTGATCAAAAACAAGAGCCACAAAAGAAAAAATAAAAAACAAAAAAAAGAAAACAAAAACAAGAGCCAGGCTAGCGGAGATGAGAAAGTGCAGATGAGGCTCTTGGAGAAGATGGAGAAGTGTCCCAGATAGAAAAGAATAAACAAAAGCTGTGTGGCAGGGGGGGCATGGTGTGTTTAGGGACCCAAAGGACAGCACAGGGGAGCCATATGTGAGAGGAGGTAGCCAGAGGACAAGTCATATGAGCTATTTCTTAAGCCAGGTTCAGGGCTTTGCTTTTTAGCTAAAGCCTTAGAAGTTAACACAGAGGTGGGGTAATGGAGTTGACATTTGTTATAATCTCTGGCTGCCATCTTAGGGATGAATTGGAGGGGTGACCACAGTGGGAACAAGGTGGACACAGGCCAAGTGAAAGTGGTGTCTTGAACTTGGGCAGTGACAGCCGAGGCAAGCTTAGAAGCCAGTGGATTCCAGAAAATGAACAGCATCTGGTGATGAATTCAGTCTGTGAGAGGGCAGTGTTACAAGTGACTATGGGAGGAAAAAAAGTTCCCAAGAAAGTGAGGCTTACCAGCACACAAATACAATATATCATGAGTGCATATTTATAGTCCTGGTCCTTGCCACATGGATTGTTTTGTCTGGTTATGAGCATTTTCTTCTTAACACATTCTTTCTGCTCAAAATGGATTATCCTTTATAAGATCTTATGAATCTGGAAATAGGTTATACAGTGTGACTTTATTGAGAGGGTTCTTATTGCTTTTTTCTTTTTAAAGACTTTATGTATTTATTCATGAAAGACACACAGAGAGAATGGCAGAGACACAGGCAGAGGGAGAAGCAGGTTCCATGCAGGGAGCCTGATGTGGGACTCCATCCTGGGTCTCCAGGATCAGGCCCTGAGCTGAAGGCGGCACTAAACTGCTGAGCCACCCGGGCTGCCCCATTGTTAATGCTTTTTAAAGTGAGTCTGTAGAGATTTGAGATTGCTTCCTCAGCAGATGTTATTGGTTACTTACTGTGTTGCAGTCACTATACCAGGCAAGAAAGATGCAAAGATTCATTGAACTAAGGACGAAAGCATTCCATACTTAGGAAGTTTTACGTTTCAGCAGTGAAAATGGTCTGGATGACTCTAAGATAAGAGTGCCAATATCCCCTTGAGAATGGGGCGGGGAAATGATCAACTGACTCCACGGACATACCTTTCATTTTCCTTTCTATTAGTATAAATTGCTGAGTTACATTCTCATTGCACTTCCCCATCTTTTTCTCTTTGTTAAATAAGCAAAGTAATGTGAACTGATTTGACATTAAAAATAACAATTATTTGTGTTCATTTTTTTTTTTAAGATTTTGTTTATTTATTCATGAGAGACACAGAGGCAGAGACACAGGCAGAGTGAGAAGAAGACTCCCTGCAAGGAAGCATGATGTGGGACTCTGGGATCACGACCTGACCTGAAGGCAGATGCTCAACTGCTGAGCCACCCAGGCATCCCTGTTTGTGTTCATTTTCCATCCTCTGTTCTTAGATTACCTGAACTAGGAGTCCTACAATTTCGAAATGGCTTTTGATCATGTTTTTTGTTTTAAAGCATTTGTGGATCACTTTGCAGGACCTATTGGACTATGGGAAAAACGAGATGGTTCTGCTTCTTCATTTTAATGTCTTCTCACAGTTGGGGGGTTTGATAAATTCATGGAACTCAGTAGAAGAAAAGCAATCAAATTGAAACACTGCTGTGATGTTAGAGGAAATTAACATTCTGGTGTTGGTTTATTTAGGAAGAGTCTGACCCATCTCTCCAAGCTCTCGAGTCCCGCCAAGATGATATTTTAAAACGTCTGTACGAATTGAAAGCTGCAGTTGATGGCCTCTCCAAGATGATTCAGACACCAGATGCAGATGTGGACGTAACCAACATAATACAGGCTGATGAGCCTGCTGCTTTCTCGACCGGCACATTGGATTTAAATTCGGTGCTCGGAAAGGTGAGTTCATCTGGAGAGCTAAAGAACATCAGCGTCCTAGGTGGTGATTTGTGCTGGAAAATTGTGCTCATGTGATTCAAGCTTTGGTTTTCTAGTTCTCAAAGGCAATACAAAGGTCATGTTCTTTTTTCCTCCCCTAAATGATTGTGCCTTACCACAGAACAGATTCGTGAGCTATGAGTGAAGCCAAAGCAAGTTCTAAAGCCGCTTGACTTGTCAGACCTGGTGGAGAAGAGCTAAGAGGATCTATAGGCAGGGATAGGAGTTGAGTTACAGGTCCCTACCATTCCAGTGTGGGATGCAGGCCAGAGGTAGGATGTCACTCCAGCAATTTTCCAAGCCTAGAGAAACAGACCTGTGTCAGCTTGGTGCTTCTCAGGTTCAGCAAGTCCATCCTGACTCAGAGTAGCCTGAAACTCAGAGCGTTGGTCACCCAGGCACAGTCTCATGAGGCAAACGTCTTTTGCTGCATTGTTTGCAGTCTTAGAATTAAGTTGCATCTGCTACCTTTAAAGAGCTTCAGGAAATGTAGGTGACCGGCTGACTTGCAAAAAAGAATGTCTTATTTCTAAGTGGTATTTATTGAGAGTACAAAAGGGTTTGTCCCAGGAATCCCTGCTAATTCTGTCCTCTGGAATTGGTGGTAGAAGTGGTACTGCATGAAGCCCTAACGGGGAGGCGAGGTTGCAGTGTCTCCCAGGTGACTTCGGTTCCTCTGCACTTAGGTTCTTGGATTGTTGAGTACATTTGCCCACACCAAGGACCTATAGACCTGGCCAGACCCCCCAGGGAGCCAGTCTAGATGAAGAGTCAATGATACCATACAGCTATGCCAGTGTCTGGGGGCTGGGAAGCCTTGCTGAGGCACATGGTGCTTATGATGAATTTTGATACCTCAGAAGGCACAGCATCAAATGATACTACACTCAGAGGATTGCAAAGCATTTATCACAGGTTGATGTGATGGGCTTCGGGGAGGAGTGGTATGACTCTTAGCCAGATTGTGGCAGGCTGCATACAGAAAGCCAAGGAATTTGAATTTGGCCTTCATTGTATTACAGGAGTTTGTTCGTTATTAAGAGTGAACATATAAAATAAAGTCTGCATCTAAGAAGGCAGTATGTTTTAGCCCTTTAGTTAATACTTAGTTTTTTAGATGTTGCCTGCTTGCCATCATCAATGACATTTTGAGCCAAGGCCCTTATTGGGGGGACTCTTCACTGACATGTAACTCACACACCAATTGACATAGAAACTATCCTGTCAGGTGGTCTGGTATTAGAAAGATTTGGTAAAGTGATTGCATGTGTGATTTTTTTGATTTTTTATTTTTAAATAACTTAAGAACAAGTAGTATCATTCTTAATGTGTTGTTTTACTAACTTAACAATGAAGTCAACCTTATAGTTTTTGGGGGCCAGCAGGGCAGAGGTTGAGGGGTTGGAGTGGGTTTGCATCCCTGTTCCACTTCTCACTGAGTTCCCTGAGCTCAGCCAGGTTATTGCCTCCCCAGGACGAGCTTCCTCAGCTGTGAGATGGGGTGATAGTGGGACTGTCTTCATGGAAGTTGAAGATTTAGTTAAATAACCCTGCTTAGGCCCTAAGAACAGCACCAGGTACAAGTCCACACACTCAAATGTCTATGTTACTGTTTGGGTTTTCTCCCTCAGGATTACGGGGCTCTGAAAGACATCGTGATCAATGCAAACCCTGCCTCCCCTCCCCTGTCCCTGCTCGTGCTGCACAGGCTGCTGTGTGACCACTACAGGGTCCTGTCCACCGTCCACACACACTCTGCAGTCAAGAGCGTGCCAGAAAACCTCCTGAAGTGCTTTGGCGAGCAGACTAAAAACCAGCCCCGTCACGAGTATCAGCTGGGTTTTACTCTGATTTGGAAGAATGGTAAGCAGAGGGCACTAGGCTGGGTTCGTACACTCTGGAATGAGGCGTGCCCTGTGACTTTAATCAGATGCATCAAGGGGCCAGGACCATGACGTTCTTCAGCTACTTGCTGTCGGTCAAATTCCCTGAAGTTTAGCAAGCACATGGGGTAGTTCTGGAAAAGGAGCACAGATAAACCTTGATGCAAAGATGCCCTCCTCCCTCCAGAAAGGTTAGGATCTCCAAGAGCGGTTTGGGGGGATCCTGCTGGGCAGCTAGAGCAGGAAGGTAAGGGCTGTCCTAGCCATCTTCACCTCACATTTCCAAACTTATCACAGGGACATCGATGTTACCTTTTCAAAAGGCCTGAAAAAGGTGGCAGGCTGTCCTTTCTTCATCATCCCGCTGCTGTATGCCTCTCCTGGTTACATTTATCCCAGGGGGTAGTGTGTTAGCACCATTCATCCAGGAACACCTAAGCTACTCCAGCTCCACGTAAAGAGCCATTGTGAGGGTAGACTGAGTTCCCAGCTTGGGAGGTGGGACTCCTGGTTTCCAGTCCTCATCCTGCAAATTCTCCGGCACAGGGCTTAGAATAGATGGTCTGAGGTCACCCTTCTAGCTTGAGAATGGTTATAATCAAATACCAGAAATGGTTACTTTTTTTAACTTAAAGAGTTTGCATTCTGTAAACATCTGGTTTAAACTTTCTTGAATCATACACGTTTTGGAGACAGACAAATGTGATATTGAAAATACTTTCCCTTGCCACCAGTTTCCAGTTAGAGACTCCCCTCTCCCTGTTGCTCAGGCACTTCCTCTGGGTGGCAGGGGGCTCTTGTTACATGGTGTGCTTTTTCCCTTCCAGTGCCGAAGACTCAGATGAAGTTCAGCGTCCAAACAATGTGTCCCATCGAAGGAGAAGGGAACATTGCACGTTTTTTGTTCTCTCTGTTTGGCCAGAAGCAGAATGCTGTAAATTTGACCCTCATAGATAGCTGGGTAGATATAGCTATCTTTCAGCTGAAAGAGGGAAGCAGTAAAGAAAAAGCTGCTGTGTTCCGCTCCATGAACTCTGCTCTTGGGAAGAGCCCCTGGCTTGTTGGGAATGAACTCACTGTGGCAGATGTTGTGTTATGGTCTGTGCTCCAGCAGACGGGAGGCTGCAACGTGACAGTGCCAGCCAATGTGCAGAAGTGGATGAGGGCATGTGAGAACCTGGCCCCTTTCAACACTGCCCTCAAGCTCCTTAAGTGAAGTTTAATAACTGTATAAAAGGTTGACTTCGAGAATGGTGCTGTTTCACGTGTATTGTGGGTAAAGGAACTTGTACTAAAATCGGTCTATCTGGGCCAGTTGCCTAGAATCAATAAAGGCATCAAATAATTTGTGGGTTTTCATTTTATTTTAAAATTCAGCCACATCACGTGCCATATACCATGACAACTGCCAGCTATGTGGCAGGCATTTTTTGAGATACAAAAATGAACATACCCCATCGGGGCCTTTGGGAAACATAGATTGGTGGGGAGTCGAGTGCTAAATAAAGGGGAACGCCATGGAAACACACAACAGTACCAGGGGGAAAGCAGGAACTCCTACCAGAGCTACTTTGAGATGATTTAGATGATTTGGAGGCAAGCAGCACAAGGCTTAGAAAGGGCATGATTTTTGGAGTGACACCAAGCTGAAGGTGAAGAGAACAAAGAGGTTGGATGATGATGCTAGGAAGCTAAAGTTGCATCTTAGAGGCAGCAGGGAGCCAGCAGGAGCTTCTGAGCCAGGGAGTGAACTGATCAGATGTCCTTCTGGTAACTAACTGGCAGCAGCATCGTGGAAGGGTGAGGAAGACTGGCAGCCATCAAAACAAACAGTCCAGCCATCGTGCAGGCCTGGGCTTGGCTGTGATGGTGCAGGGGTGCATACCTCAATCTGTGAGGTAAAACATTCTAGAGGAGGACTGGATGGTCAACAGGCAGAGTTCAAAGGAGAAAGAATGGAGGATACTGTCTAAATTGCTCCTTCCAGAGACAGGACAGACAGTAATATTAAAAATTAGGAGTTTGTAGGACAGGAGAAAGGAAAAGGCAAAATAGGTTTAGTTTAGAGCAGCTTCGTTCAAAGTGCTAGATCATAACAATTCCTTTTAGGAAATAGCGATTTGAGGGAACTTCTACAACTTTAATAAGTCTTGTACAGGGTCACTAGATACAATTATATCATCTATACCCTAACAAAGACTGAAATGTACATTCCAGTTGACAATTTAAAGAATTAGAAGTCCACATTCACATTTACAGAGCTTAATTAAGGCAGGACGGGCACACTCCCATCCTTCATGTCATCCTTGGCCCCTTTGTCCTGAGAAAGGAGACTCAGCTGCTTCTTTAGTTCTTCTATTTCTTTTTCTTGCTCTAGTATTTTCATCTGTAGGGTGAGGTTAACCTGTCAAGAGAAAATTTTAAGTTCTATTAAAATGGCCTCTTCCACTTTAAATATACAGGCATACCTCCCTCTGCATGGTATGCCTGAATTCCAGTCACTGCAGCTAGTGAAGCAGCACCAGCATCAGGTCACCACAGTTCTCTCACTGTCAGCACCTCAGCCCACGATGCACATCACAACGAGGGGCCAGTCACCACTTTAGTCCCTGCGCACACCCTGGCCACGTGTGTACTGGTGATAAATCCACATGACATTTAAAAAAAATAATTGACAGATGAAACTGGCCAACAAAGATGGAAGTGCAGTGAGCAAATGCAAAATAATGATGCTGAAGGTGGAATCAAATTGCACCCACAAAATGTTGGAGGAGAAACAGGCAGCCATGGGGGTGCTGCTCCCACCACCACCAGACAGATGCGGTGTGCAGCCCCAGGACTGGGCGGAGAGGAGTTAACATAAATGAGGAAAAGGACGAAGGTGTCCCAGAGAAAGTGATACCAGCAAAATTCACATTGGAAGAACTCTGGGAGCTATCTCACTCACAACTTCGAAAGTCCAAAAGATGAAATCTTGGCCCCTGATCCAAGCTTAGGAGTATACAGTTCACCGAGGCCCAGAAAAGGCACTCCATATCCGGAGTTCTATGGTGAGATGCAGGTAGGCACTATTCAAACCATTCCTGAACACATTAATTCTTCATTATAGTACACTAAATACTAGTTTTATAACTTTCTTTGTTTCCATGTGCATCTGCAACTGAGTTTTAATGTTTTGAAAACATTTGTAAGGGTCACGGGACAATCGTAACTTCCCATGAATTACTAAGATCCCCTTGCATGGTTTGATCTCAGCATGGTCGTTTTCACAGTCCTGTACCAACAACCACACAAACCACAGACTGCTTGTACAAGTTTTCTCTATATAGGTACGTATAGACTATTTTATAAATTCAGCAAGAGAAATACCATAAATGCCACCTAACTACGGTCTCTAATAGCTAACAGAACTGGGGGTTAGAAAATCCCTTCTGTGGGATAAATTTAATCAACACATCTGCTGTTCCCAAAGACTCAGAAAAGTACTATACCTACCTGTTTACTATTCAAGCTAGTAAAATTCACCATTTTACCTGAAACTTAGCCTTAAACAGAAAATAAAACAGTGGAATAGTTTACCACAAATAGGTCCCAGACTATGTGCGTCAGAATGATTGCTGCCCCTTCTCCCCACAGACTTCCTTAAATAGGTCAGAGCAGCCGGGAGGGCCTAGAGACTGCACTCTGAGGACCAATGCATCTAACACAATGCTGTTCACACACTGGAGGTAAACCACTTGGGGATGTTATTAAATGCAGATTGTGATGTGATATGTCTGGAGTGGAGCCCAAGGCCCTGTACTTCTCATCAGCCAGCAGGTAACGCTGATGCTGCTGGTGCAAGGACCATGCTTGGGGTAGCAGAGCACTAGAGAATCTGAATGCATCTTTGAATAAGCTTTTGATAAATCTTAGAAAGTTTCTGGAGGAACAGAATGGATGAATCACATTTCTAGTACATGTAGGCTGGAGATGGTACTTGGCACTGTGGCTACAGTCTGGAAAGAGGAAGGAAGGGACTGCCCTGGGGCGATCCCACATCACAGGACTGAAAACCAGAATCACACACTTGCATGCTAAAGGATCGCAGGCTGAGGCAGTCTATGCCACCCTCATTCCAGCTCCCTACAAGATTTCCTCCTTTTACCCTTTGGCATGTGCCCCCTTTGACTAGGAGATAAAAGGTTATGTTTATAAAAAGTTATATCGTAGTTGGAAAACCAAAGCCTTTTGACTTAGCAAGATGAAGCTAGAAAGTAGAGCCTATAATTGCAATTTTTAGACAGACAGTTGGTCACCTTGCTTACTTGGACTCTGAAGAGTGTGCTACTCAGAACTCTGAGAATGAGTTTAATCTGGTTTCCATAAACGTTTTCTAAGCTCAACTGTTCCTCATGAAATTGGATTCACAATTTAAATTCTACTTTAAGCTTCATACTTTCCCCAGTATTAAAAATACACATATATACAAGAACTCCTGGCTGGCTCAGTCAGTGGAGCAGGTGATTCTTGATCTCAGGTTTGTGATTTTAGGTGCAGAGATCACTTTATAAAAGAAAAAAAGAGGGACACCTGGGTGGCTCAGTGGTTGAGTGTCTGCCTTTGGCATAGGGCATGATCCCAGTATCCTGGGATCGAGTCCCACATCAGGCTCCCCACAGGGAGCGTGCTTCTCCCTCTGCCTATGTCTCTGCCTCTCTCATGAATAATAAAATCTTGAAAAAAAAAAAAAGAAATACGTTACATACATTTCCAGAATTTTGGAAAAGTTCACTTTGCAGCAGCTGAAGAGCAGATGGTCTCTGAGATGCATTCCTTCTAGTTAAGTGCTGGATGTACTTGGCTTGCACAGGACACCTCTTACTGAGGGAGTCAGGTATCTGACCACTTCTTAAACCTGTTAAAATGTGTACTCGCTCCATTTCTGTTCCAAATGGCTGAAAGAGCTCTAGCAGGATCACACCCAAGCTGTACATATCTGACTGGAAAAAGAAGGGGAGAGGTAATTTAGTAGTGAAACACAAAGGGAGACTAACATCTCCATTTCAGTGTACCATCCTCTCAAACACAAGATGATTTCTAAGACAGGACGATTCATAGACCCTATGACGCAGGGAACATGGTGGCCAAACTTACCCCCTCAGAGAAGCAGGTGTCTGCCACCTGGATTTACAGCCCTGGGGAGAGCTGATATGGTCACAATCTCTTCAACACCACAAAGGGACATCCACAGGCACAAAGGATGGCCAACCAGGTAAGGGGCAGGGAGAACTCCCACTACTCCCCTGAAAATTCAGGCGTGGAGCAGCCTGAGCGAGAGATGTGAGCTCACACATGCTGGTGCCAGTTCCAGGGCTCGGGTTCCCTGTGGCCTGCCTCATCTCCCCTCTACCTCCATACACAGGCATCTAGTAGAGTTTAAGAAACTAAAAAAAATTGTTCCTTTTCCTGAAATCATCTCTTAAGAAAGGTCTTTATCAGACAGGATTTGAGGAAGAGCTATGGATTTTTTTTCCTGGCAGTTCATGCCCAGTCTGAAAAAAGCTGAATGATTCGTCAAAAGGAAGAAAATGTACTAGGCTGTTATTCTGAGGAAAGGATTTACTTTAATAATTTCTTCAAGGAACCAAATGAATTAAAACTTTTCATTATCTTCACTCTTCAAAGGGAGTCAAGTGCCACACTTCCCCAGAGCACTTATAGCATGTATTTATGAAAACAGAAGAAAGGCAGACTGAAAAGGCTTCTATAAATTCTAGCTTCCTGAGGTGAATTGTGACATTTTAAAAAGGAAAGCTCATTTCAAAAATAATTTCTGACACCCACGGATTTAGAAGTGGTAAAGTAGCCCGTAAATCAGTCAGATTCAGGTAAAAATTGAGGTTTCCTGTTAACCGCAGTTTGACATAACACAAAACCTCCCCTATTCTGTTATCTCCAAAGACACCTCTACACAAGAAATAACACTGCATTTACTGTGCTCTTTGTTATTTATGACAGCAGAGAAAGTCCAGCAAAGGGGGGAAGAGCAGCAAATACCTTGGCGTCATAGTCGGATCCTTCCAACTGCTCGGGTGAAGCGTACAGACAAGTACCCACTCTGGAAGTGTGTGTGGGTGGCCCTGTAATTTGAAGAGCCAAACATTAAATAAACATGGTAGAGTTCACACTGTCTACACTGCAGAACATAGAGCCTAAACAGGGCAGTGTAGGGAATGATGGCTCTTTTTTGTCTTTACCTCATTTTTGCTATTAAGTTTTTATAAGTCTCTGAATACTGACAAGTTCAACCGTGTTTCTTTTTGTCTTAATGCCAAGAAAAAAGAAAGAAGAAAGAAAGGGAAAGAAAGAAACAAGAGAAAAGAACTGGTTCTTTTACTTAAACTTACTCTTCCCATCTCTACTGATCCAGTCTGTGTTCTTTTGAATGATGTCTGTGCAGGCCAGACCAAAGTCTCCTATTTTTACTTGCTGATCAGGGCCATGAAGAAAAATATTTCTTGGCTGTAAGTAAACAGAACTCCTTGGTGTTCTTAAAACAGTAAAAATGTGTAGACATTAAGAGTTTTCAACTGACAAGCAAGTAGCCCCTCAAAAATAAAAAATCAGAGCAGTGGTTCTAAAACTAGGCTGCACATTAGAATCATCAGGGAGCTTTAAGAAAAAAACCACCAATGTCCAAGCCATGCCACAGACCAATAAAATCAGAATTATTGGGTGTGGACATAGGCAGCAATATTATTTAAGTCCCCATGTTACTCCACGTTTGAGAACCACTAACACACAGCACACCTTGTACACAAGTGCTCCTCAGCCCTGACTGGGCATCAGAATCCTCCAAGAGGCTTTTAAAAACTACTGTCCCCTCCAACAAGTCAAAGACTGATTTATTTTTTATTTAATTTTTTTTAAAGATTTATTTATTTATTCATGACAGACACACAGAGAGAGGCAGAGACACAGGCAGAGGGAGAAGCAGGCTCTTCGTAAGAGCCCGATGAGGGACTCGATCAAGGATCCCGGGAAAACGACCTGAGCCGAAGGTAGCCGCCCAACCACTAAGCCACCCAGGCGTCCGTGATTTTTTTATTATTTTTTTTATTTTTATTTATTTATTTATTTATTTATGATAGTCACACAGAGAGAGAGAGAGAGAGAGAGAGAGAGAGAGAGAGAGAGAGAGAGGCATAGACACAGGCAGAGGGAGAAGCAGGCTCCATGCACTGGGAGCCCGACGTGGGATTCGATCCCAGGTCTCCAGGATCGCGCCCTGGGCCAAAGGCAGGCGCTAAACCGCTGCGTCACCCAGGGATCCCTGATTTTTTTTTTTTAAGTGAGAAAACTTTGATATTTTTTAGAAGCTCCTAGATGATGCTTTTATGTCAGCCAGAGTTAGGGGCAACTAGGTCACACTATGAAGGTACCCATTTAGCTCTATTTAAGCAACCGAGGCCAACCCAAAATTTCTCCCAATGGAACTAAACCTGTGCCATTGAAAACCTGTACCCACACTGGGCAAAGAGGGGATTGCCACTCAAAATGAAAACATAGGGCAGCCCAGGTGGCTCAGAGGTTTAGCGCCACCTTCAGCCCAGGGTGTAATCCTGGAGACCTGGGATTGAGTCCCATGTCAGGTTCCCTGCATGGGGCTGCTTCTCCCTCTGCCTGTGTCTCTGCCTCTCTCTCTCTGTGTCTGTCATGAATAAATAAATAAAATCTTTAAAAAAATAAAATAAGGGATTCCTGGGTGGCACAGGGGTTTGGCGCCTGCCTTTGGCCTAGGCTCCCTACACGGAGCCTACATCAGGCTCCCTACATGGAGCCTGCTTCTCCCTCTGCCTATGTCTCTGCCTCTCTCTCTCTATCGTGAATAAATAAAATCTTAAAAAAAGATTAAAAATAAAATAAAATATATTTAGGTTAAAAATTGGGTTTTCTTACTTTAGATGTAATTTTAATTTTTGACTTTCAGTATAAATTCCTGTTTTAGCTCTTTAAGCTCTGTTTTTTTTTTTTAATAGCTGAATGGAAGAGAGCACAGAAATAATCTTAGGTGTAAGGTGATAATTTGGGTGTGTTTTTGTGATTGAGTCAAGTCCAAAACACTATGCTTCTATTTGGCACTGTAGGACCTGGGAACAAAGCTTGAAATAGTTCGCTCTAAGATAAAAACAAATCATGTTCACAGCTACAATTCTCACCGCTCTAGAACAATTCTAGAATGGAACTGAAGGGATCATAATGAGACTCCAACAAATCAATTCTGTCACAAGTGTCCCCTGAACTTCCAAGTCCCCACTCTTACATTTTGCTCATGGGAAACATAACCAGGAGAGGCAGCAGGGAGCTGGCTGCAGAGGGCACCAAGCCCCCAGAAGAAGGCCCACCTGCGGCGCTCCACACCAAGCTCTATGAGGCCATCATGAGGGAGGACTGCTCGGCAATCCAGGCGCTCCTGAGGAGCCACCCAGTCAACCAGCCTATGACCATCCTGGCCAACTCCATCAACTACCGAGTACTTCTGAACCAGGTACCCCCCCCCCTCTGCTCTGTCACCTGTCAGGAAAAGTCACGCTGCTTTGCGAGGCCCACCACTGAGGTCCTCAGAGCTCCTGGCAGCCCCCACCATGCCCACCCCAGGACAGTTCACTCCACACACCATGCACCTCCATTCCCAGTGCCACTCGCAGGCTGACATGCAGAAAGGCCAGAAACCACTTGGTTGGCGGAACATTAACATCATCCTCTCAGATACACCAATGGCCATTACATCTGTATGAAGGAATTATTCTTCCCCTTTTTTACATATGACTTTTCATTTTCTAAATTTTTATACAATGATTATTACCTTTAAATTTTTTTTTCCCAAAAGTCACCGTCTCCTTTACCCTGCCTTCTTCTCTTATCCTTTCTGAGGAAAGGAAATCCTTTCCTGAGAAAGGAAGCTATGCTGTAAAAGTCACTACTTAGTATATATGTATTTTAAGAACTGGCATAAACAGCTTTGCTAATCATAGAAGACATGCTGTGTTATCTTTGAAACCCTGGAAATGCAGGTTTTACTACTGATACTATGACTTTGGCAAAGCCTTAAAAACCATAAAACCTACTTGTCAATCACCCTGTGGGTTAATTTAAGGACACAGTGACTTAGTTGCATTTACCATTAATTTTACACTATGAGCTCTCCACAAGAATCAGCTTCGAAAGCTTTATGTAAGTTATTTCTGCTGCACTGGTAAATTTGCATTTATGTAAAACACAGATTTTATAATAAGAATCTCACTAGTTTGGGGTCTTTTAAAATAGTCAAAAAGAAAACTTCAACACATTTGAGGAACTAAATACACTTATTTCCTCTGGAATAGCAGGCTGACACAATGATTTCTTCTCACTGCACAGGGCTACTTATAACATAGTCTGCTTTCTCCCTCAAAGCAGACACAGTCCATCATCCCCATTCATCTGGCTGTCGAATTCTGCAAGGCACAAAGTTTGCTTTGTTTGTTAGAACATGGGGCTGACCCAGAAGTAAGGTGAGTTAACTCAACAGCAATCAGATCTAAATGAGGATATGCATGATTTAGATGTTACTCTCCCCAGTCATGTCTGGACTCATCCATTCTTCGGGGGCTATGGACTACAAAATACCATAACCATGTCTCGAATGAACCAATTTCTTTACTGACTAGATGAGATACTCTGAAAAACTGGCAGTAATCTAGGAACACAAACCAGTCTGCCCACTTCAAGCATCCTGAGAATTAAGTGCTCAGCAGTGATGATGTGGAAAACACATGAAGTCCTGGTCACAGCCCTCAGGGAGTTAGTTTAAAACCCTTAGTTAGGTATGGAAAATAAGTAAACAGAAATAGACAATGGATTTTCTTTTTACTACCCACTGTAAGAATACACTTCACGATAAAGAAATTATCTCATTCACCAACACATCTTCACCACCTTAAATGACTGCCTGACACTAGTGCCAATAAATACTATCTTAATGAATGGAAGAATCACATGGTATAAACAATCAACTTCTTGCCCCCATAACATTAACAGAAAGTAAAGCCCTAAATGCTCAACATGCTCCAGAATTGCTCCTTGACCTGTCTGGCTCAAACGACCCTCTCCCCCACCCCATACAGCCCTGCCTAGCTCTGCAGATGCTCTTCCAGTCCTCCATGACTGGATGTCACCAATGTACCTCCTCCTCCACAAGGACTCCTCAGTACACCCTTTCCAACCCTTCCAACCACAAGCCGGCCCTGTGGGGCCCTCATACCTCTTAGAACTTTGCCCATTTGCAAAACTGACCTAGTTATTTAAGTATGTTTAATGTCTTTTATGCTAGACCATCAGCCCTGCAAAAGCAGGGACTCTGTGCTATTTTACCATATCCCGAGCACGGTGCCTTACGCTAAATAAATATACACAAACTGAAAATCATTTTCAAATTTTAGTAGAGCAGTCAGATGTTTATAATAAACAAAACTGAAACTGCTATAGACAGCTAGGACCCTCCATGCTGTGATGCAAACCACCCCATCCCTCGAAATGCTGTGATATCCCAAGAAACACAGATTTTCAAACACCTCTTTAAAGTAGTTGAGGGGAAGTACTTTCAATAAATGTCACCTTCTTAAGCACTAATTCTTAGTGTAGAACCGTTTCCATGGTGAATACAGTATAATTTGCGATTAATAACTATTCTAGGGACACAAGAGGCCTTACCACACTTCACCTGATGTTACTGCACTGGCCAATCATTTCTACCACACGGACAAAACCGGGGAACAGAATCCAAAGGATCCTGACAGACATTCAGAATAATGCTATGATGTGTCTCCGCATTTTGTGTGAACACGGAGCTCAAGTCAACGCTCAAGTAGACAACAGCAACAAACATTCACCCCTCCACCTGGCCATAACCTATGGGACCTATTCAGTTCTCTCTATTTTAGTCCAAAATGGTGCCTATGTCAATGCCATTAACGAATCCAGCATGACACCCCTTCACATGGCTGCCAACATCCTGAATAAGGAGATGATGGAAATGCTGATAGCCTGTGGCGCAAACGTTAACTGTGCCGTCTCCTCCACAGGGAATACAGCCCTCAAGCTGGCAGTGTGCACTGCATCCAGCAAAGCCGGCCGACTGCTGGCAGCAGGGGTAAGCTGCATCCGTTTGCTGCTAATTCATGGAGCCAAAGTAAATGCCCGGGACCATGAAGGTCAAACAGCTATCCATGAGGCATGTTTTGGAGGCAGAAAGGCAATAATCAATCTCCTGCTTGAATTTGAAGCAAACGTTAACATATTAACAAGAAACGGGGAGTCTCCGATATACATGTACCTCCAGCGAAGTTCCAACATCAGGGACACAGGGCTTCTCGCCAAGCTACTTTACCGCTCTTATCCTTTAAGACTAACCAATAACCAAGGGAGTCTACCTGCAGGAATCATGCTGCCAGAATTCCACCTCTTAAGGGAAAACCTAATAAAGTTATCTCAAAAACCCTTATCCCTAGAGGACATCTGTAAAAGAAACATCAGAAATATTTACGGTGAGAAATACAAACAACACTTAAAGCAACTTCTCCCAGTGCAGATCTGGAACTCACTATATGGTTATTATGACTTAGCTTACCTCTTGATATAGGAGCCCAAAGTTTCACCAGCCACAGAATTTCAGTAACTCACACAGCATTTTCTGGCTAGACTCATACACAGAAAACACTTAACTCATCATCATGTACATCCCAGATGTACAAACTGGTTCTTAAACTTTTTTCAAAAAATAAAATGATTTGCACGTTAACTTTTTGTTCCCAAATATTTCTTTAAAGACATTTTCGACAATTTCTTTGTTCAAAAAATAAGCAAATTAAAACTCTTCTGCCAAAGAAGTAGATCTATTTTCTTTCTTTTTTTTTCTATCTATCTATCTATCTATCTATCTATCTATCTATCTATTTATTTATGATAGTCACAGAGAGAAAGAAAGAGAGGCAGAGACACAGGCAGAGGGAGAAGCAGGCTCCATGCACTGGCAGCCCGATGTGGGATTCGATCCCGGGTCTCCAGGATCACGCCCTGGGCCAAAGGCAGGCGCCAAACCACTGTGCCACCCAGGGATCCCTATTTTCTTTCTTGATACAAGGTCTTTTGTAGATTAAAAACTGGAATAATCGTAATTTTTTAAATAGCAGAAAAAAATTTCCCATGTTAAATTTCCTTTAAGATACATAATTGTAGAAACAGATTTTACCTCTAAGGCTGCTATAACATGAGGATTTTTGACAGCATTAAATACATTTAACATCATCTACTATATGAGTACTCTAAGCATACTCACTACCTGAAACACACTACTAATCCTCCACAGAGAATTTTCAAATGCCCAAAGATCACTGCCTTAAAATTCAATCAAAAGTTCCAGACTCTGGCGCAGCGGTTTGGCGCCTGCCTTTGGCCCAGGGCGCGATCCTGGAGACCCGGGATCGAATCCCACATCAGGCTCCCGGTGCATGGAGCCTGCTTCTCCCTCTGCCTGTATCTCTGCCTCTCTCTCTCTCTCTCTCTCTGTGACTATCATAAAAAAAAAAAAAAAAAAGTTCCAGACTCATGGGATGAGGATTTATACAAAAATAATGATAACCCTCTAAGTAAATGAAAGAGGACACATAATTTCATTTAACTCAGTGAAGCAACACCACGTCCTCAACTAGCCTCCCCACTTACCTTCAGATCTCTGTGTACGATTCCCATGTTATGTATGTAAAATACACCTTCCACCAGTTCTTGAAAAATCTTTGTTGCAACACTCGCCATGACATAAGGACCTTGAAATAAGAAAGGAAGTTTTATTTCTCTGTCTTTTTTATTCATCAACATCTAAACATTACCTAGTTCTAAACACATTAAATACATTAACATAGTTCAGATTTGCAACAGTCAATATTCCAAAATGGTGAAATATAAGCAACAAGAGCTATTTCAGTTTACAAAGAAACCATCACAAACTAGTGCCCTAGTGAATAGATTTGGTGTCACTAAGTTCACCCAGAGCCCCTGTATTAATCAGTGTGTAAACCATTCTCAGGCATAAAATGGCTGGATTAAATTAGGTTTAAATCTCCTTTAAACCTTTGACACTCTGGGGTTTAACACTAATAAATCTAGTGTCCTAAGTCTACTGTGTATTAAAGACTTACAAATAATGAAATTTTTAAGAAAAGATACACTATGTTAGCACAAAGAGTGAGCTCCCATTATGTGGGAAGATTTGGAATGCTGCATTTTCCAAAAATGACTGACGAATGAAAAATGAAGTATACTGGGGGAAAAAGCAAATGTTTTAATTCATCTATTAACATGATGATACAACAGACTTTAAGGGTAGGAAAGTTTTGGGATCCCTGGGTGGCTCAGTGGTTTAGCGCCTGCCTTTGGCCCAGGGTGTGATCCTGGAGTCTCGTGTCGGGCTCCCTGCATGGAGCCTGCTTCTCCCTCTGCCTGTGTCTCTGCCTCTCTCTCTGGGTCTCTCATGAATAAATAAATAAAATCTAAAAAAAAAAAAAAAAAAACAGACTACTTGTTGCTTGTTGGAATGATCTTAGATCTACAGAAAAACTGAGACCATGGGGCAGCCCGGGTGGCTTAGCAGTCTAGTGCTGCCTTCAGCCCAGGACCTGATCCTGGAGACCCAGGATCGAGTCCCACATCAGGCCCCCTGCATGGAGCCTGCTTCTCCCTCTGCCTGTGTCTCTGCCTCTCTCTCTCTTGTCTCTCATGAATAAATAAATAAAATCTTAAAAAAAAAAAAAAAAAACTGACGCCATAGTATGGTTCCCACTTACACCCCACCCAGTTTCCCATTATTAACACTTATACTGGTAAAATACACCTGTCACAGTTAATGCACCAAGATTGGGACAAGTTCACCATTTATTCAGGCTTCCCTAGTTTTTATCTAACGTCCTTTCTCTTTTCTAGGATCCCATCCAGGATACCGTATTACATTAGTTGTCAGGTCTGCGGTCTGTGACAGTTCTTCACTTTTCCTGTTTATGAGGACCCTGACAGTTTTGAGAAACACTGGTCAGATAATTCATAGAAGGTACCTAGGTTGGGATTTGTCTGATGTTTTTTTACAATTAGACTAGCATTATGGATTCTGGGGAGAAAGACCCAGAGATACAATGCTCTTCTCATCACACCTTCTCAAGGTCACACAATATGAACAGTTTTCACTGCTGATGCTGACCTTGAATACCAGCCACAGTCACCCCAGACAACATCATGGTGGTTGGCTTTCTCCACCTGTTTTCTCTTACTCTGTCTTATCAACATCTTTTTTAAAGCTCCCCAGGTGATTCTAATGTATGGCACAAGCTGAGGACCAGTGTTAAATAATTTTAAAAATTACTAACCTAACAGAGTATTTCTGTAGTTAGAGATCTACAGGGGAAGATAGGAGATCTGGGTCTTAAGAAAGAGAAACTTTTCACCACCTATCCTTCTATAAGAGTTTCTTCAAAGGTGTCTTTTTGCAAGAGTATCACATTGTCAGATTTAAAAAATAAAATATTTAAATTTCTCCCTTAAAAATTCTTGGAACGCCTGGATGGCTCAGCAGTTGAGCATCTGCCTTTGGCTCAGGGTGTGATCCCGGGTCCGGGGATTGAGTCCTGCATCGGGCTTCCTGCATGGAGCCTGCTTCTCCCTCTGCCTGTGTTTCTGCCTCCCTCTCTCTCTCTCTCTCTCTCTCTGTGCATGTGTCTCTCATGAATAAACAGAATCTTAAAAAAAAAAAATTCTTTTTCTGCCCCAATCATTAACCTAAATTCTAGCACATTACTGCTTAGACACCCATAAATATATCTCTATCTCAGAGAAAATTAACTTCCAAATGCCTGTATGTTCTTGAGAATGTTGAAATAAGCACAACTGTTCGTTTTAAAAAGGTGACTTTTTCCCTGAGTCTAAAGCACCTGGAGGTAGTTCCTACTTCAGAAGATCCGCCTGTGTCTCCACCTCCCAGCCCCGTGTTTAGAGATCCATCTGGTACTCACATGCAGATTCGTCCACATACTGCCGACCCCGCTGGTTTCTCTCCACTATCCAGTCCCACAGGGAGAGCTCGCACAGCTGCATCTGGATGTGCAGCATCAAGTGGTACTGCACCTGGGGGACGACACAGCTGGCTCCCACCTTTGCACGACTTGCTCGCATTATTCATTTAGTCAATAGGTACTCACTTGCCTCCTAAGGCAGAGCAGGGGGCTAAGTGCTCAGGAAAGAGACGACAAACACATGTCTGCCTGAGAAGCCCAAAGTCTCGCGAAAGAGACAGAGGAATAAAGGAACGCCTAAAATGGCGAGTCAGAATCTGAGTGGGCAGGGGGAGGCCCAGCTGCAGAATGGGACAAGCTCCTGAATGTGACACTAAGGCAGTGGCACTGAAACAACTGGGTCGGCTCGCCACACAACCAGTTTCTAAAGCTAAGACACAGCATCAAGAGGTCAGCTGTGCGGCAGGCACTCTACTGCTCTCTGTATACCCCAAAGTAGATGCACATTTTTGGAGGCTTTGCTGTGTCCATAAATAATTTGTTCAAACAAGAGGTAAGCAAAATTTAAGCTCTCTATAGTGCATTTAGACACCAAGGAAAGTTTCCCACATGTAGTCCAGACTAACAGAATGGTTCTGATGAAAAGTCCCTCAAACCCAACTCTTGTGTACTCAGATGACCCTGTTCAAAGCTTTGTCTCCTAAAAAGTGCATGCACAGAGCCACATACTCCTGCGCAGTAAGAATTAGTTCTGCGTGCACATATACAGATAGCACATACAGTTCTGTAATCCCAGCATGCCAGATTATACTGAGACCCTGTTAGCGTTCAAGGTTTTTAACACTAAGACTCCACACTGGTGCAAGTATGTGACAGTCTCACTAGCACATGGGTGTGACCCTTATTGATAGTGTCCTGAAAATGGACCTGCTGATCTCTCTTCCCCTCTCTCCTAAAGTCACGTTCCAAAATACAAAAGATCTTTATGCATAAATATTGTATAGCAGGAGGCGAACACACAACAGAAACATGTGAGCGATGTTTCCAACTCCAGGGGGCACAAATGATCAGATCTAGACAGAACCAGAAAAGGCTTAGCAGGCATTAAATTAAGTAAAGGAGGGCAAAACCCAACACAAGGGCCAAGGCCAGGGGGACAAGGAGGGGAGAGACTGACAAAGACAGATGAAGAGTGAGGGATAGAGGGGACAGGGGGGAGGTCACATCCTAGGCATGGTCCTCCACATCATAACTATTTGAGCATCAAATCATCAGTAGGTTCTGGTAAAGTGATCTACCTCTGTCTGCCCCAACAAACTTAAGTTTTCAGAAGATTCCCCAGTGGATGTGAAATTCTCTTCTAAGTCGGAATGATGCCTAAGTGGCAGCTGATGTTCAATAATTGAGCTGGAAGGCAAATCAGCCAAACCATTTCTTTGGAGAAAACTGGGTGATTCAAATTCACTGGTGTCTCTGGGGATTAAACTGGTGCTGTAGTTCACCAATCTATTATTCCGATTTTCAATGCCAGATTTTCCTAAGGACTTGTCTTTTCCTGAGGTGAACTCGGCGAAGATAATGGATGTGCTGTTACTTTCATCATTTTTAACATGTTGATTTCTGGAGGGGGGAAAAAAACAGTAAAGATAAAAATCAATGTAAAAAAAGATCAAGAGGGGATTCCTGGGTGGCTCAGCGGTTTAGCCCCTGCCTGTGGCCCAGGGTGTGATCCTGGAGTCCCGGGATCAAGTCCCGCGTCAGGCTCCCGGCATGGAGCCTGCTTCTCCCTCCTCCTGTGTCTCTGCCTCTCTCTCTCTATCATAAACAAATAAATAAATCTTAAAAAAAAAAAAAATCAAGAATAACTCAGCTATCCCTTCAAACCTACATATATGGGCAGCCCCGGTGGCGCAGCGGTTTAGCGCCGCCTGCAGCCCAGGGTGTGATCCTGGAGACCCTGGATGGAGTCCCACGTCAGGCTCTCTGCATGGTGCCTGCTTCTCCCTCTGCCTGTGTCTCTGCCTCTCTCTCTCATGAATAAACAAATAAAGAAATCTTAAAAAAAAAAAAAAAAACTACATATACCTCACTGATAAACACTGGAAGCAAATGGTATCAAATCTCTCTAGCAGCAGCATTTATTGAAAACACTAGCAGGAAACACTTGAGAGGAAGAAATCATTTATCATTTTCTAATGAAAATGATGAAAAAGACAAAACTCAGTGCAGGGGACCGGTTATACCTAACTTGTCAAACTACACACCGATTCACATACCTGTCACCCTCCTCATCAGAGATCACTTCCAGAGATGGCAGCTGAATAGAAATTCGATCTGCAAAAGGAAACAAACAAAAATAACACATCTTCAGGCAGCTTAGCTTTCTAATGTATGATCAAAGAGCTAAAATAACACCAAAGGAGACCACAAGTCTAAAAATGTTAATACTTTCTGGCAAAATGCAATATAACAAGGTCATTCAAATGCCTGGCACATTTTAGGAACCATAGAAACAGACCAGTTCAACTATGCCAGGGGAGCAAACTTTCCATAGTGGGCCTGAGAGTAACTGTTGCAGGTTTTGTGGGCCCCAAAGGACTCTGCACCATAACTGAGTTCAGCTGTTGTAGTGCAAAAGCAGCCACAGACAATACACAAATGAATGAGCCTATGTCCTATCCTAACACACTTTATTCGCTGACGTGAAATTTGATTTCATATAGCTTTCACAAAATATTCTTTTGATTCTTCTTTAAACTACTTAAACATGTAAGAAAATACTCTCAGCTTGGGGATGCACCAAAACAGGGGCAGGCCGGTTTGGCCCATAGGCCACAGTTGGCCAAGCCTTCAGCTATATCATCTATAACTGCTTACCTTGTGCGTGGGTCATGTGAACATGTTCTATCCAAGCAGTGTGATAGCCTACTATGTTAGGATGCTGAAGGCCTGCCAGCACCTTCACTTCCCGTAGTACCTAAAGAGGAAACGAACGCACTTAACGCACTTATATCCAGCTTTTACTGACAACTTGTTAAATGTGTACGGTATCAAAATGCTACGTGTTCCAGAGCAAAACGGTAAAAATCCAACTGAACAAAGAATCTAAACTACATTAAAATAATCAGAATATTTCTGAGAGGCAAATGGAATTATTACAGCAACAAAATAACTTATATGCATCTAGTGCTTTACACTTTTCAGAGCCTATTTATATTCATTCTCTCATTTTATTCCTCCTAGTAAGTCCAGAGCTTGCTTCAGCACACATATACTACTACTAGCAAGTCCAGTCCTGCTGTCACCACTATGTCAAGGACAAGAGACTAGGTCATTTATTTGTCCAGGACCACAGAACATGTCAGGGGGAGACCATAACCTGAACTGAGCTCCTATTTTTTCTAACAAGCTACACTGTATACTTTCTTTAAAGGTTAATTTCCCCAGCAATGATCCTGAAATGTGGTCAGAAGCGTCTATTCAAAATTAAGTCAACAGGCACCTGGGTGGCTCAGTCACTTAAGCATCCAACTCTTGATCTCAGCTTAGGTGATCAAGCCCCACATTGGACTCTGTGCTGAGCATGGAGTCTACCTGGGATTCTGTGTCTCTTTCTCCTGCTGTCCCGGCACCCCATTCACACTCTCACTCTCTTAAGCTCTCTCAAAAAGAAATTTTTTTATTAAAAATTAAGTCAAATAAAAATTTGGTTTTGATGTTTGCTTTTGTATAGCCCACTCTTAGTAAACTTAGCGATCCACAACACCTAATATTTGCCAAATATACACACATACATAACTCTTTCAAAAGAACCTACTCAATTACTTAAAATAAATACACTTAAAAAATCATACCTTCATACAATCTGTTTTAGTTGCACCATTAATCAGGATTTTTTTAATTGCATAATACTGACCATCTAATTTATTCCTGACCTAAAAAGTAGAAGGAAAGAAAAAGTATTTGTGCCATTAAATTCAACTGAATGGAGCAAATTAGTCCAACCTGAGCTTAAGATCCAAACTAGCTAAAAAGGTGAATTTAAATGAAAGACCAGGGTCTTTAATATGGTCAGGGAAGTCGACCAGTCAGCTCAACTAGAAGCTTCCAAACTACAAAAAAAAAAAAAAAGAAGAAGAAGAAGAAGAAGAAGAAGCTTCCAAACTGCAGAGTCTCCAACCCCTAGAGACTCTAGGTCTGAAAAATGGGAAAGTCCCCCCCCACAAAAAAAAAACAAAAAAACCACATGAAGCTCAAAATACAAATGCACAACTTTCTTTAGTGATATATTTTTAAGTAAATCAATGTGGTTTCCAAAATCTGCCTAAACCACCAATGTGGTTAGGAAAAAGTTAAAACCTGCCCACTTACTTATAAATGACAAATTTTAAGGAAAAGTAAATATACATCCTTTCTAGGAACTTCCCCTTGGAGCACTTTAAATAGTAATCACGAGAACAGCTTCTCAAAACACATTTATTCAGGGTAGGAGGTCAAAAGGGATCTGTGGAAAACAACCTTGTACACTCTTCCGTATCCACCTTTGCCTAAGACAGCAAGCTCTTCAAATTCATTTAGGTAACGTGAAGTTTGTGCTTCAAAGGCTATTTCCCTTGATCTAAAAGTGAAATACAAACAACCAATCAATTTTAAAGCATGAGAGAACCATGTGCCCACCGTATCACTAACCTATCAAACCTTACTAATCAATAAGTTGTGATTTGAAAAGAGGAGTCAAAATTTTTCATTCTCTAGGAAGAAAACTATTTGCTAAGCAAATTGACAGGTAATAAAGATAGCAAGGGGAAAAAACAGATGCCAAAGGGATTGTTAATCAAATAATCAAGTATACTACCAGTAATTAGTATTCTAATTAGAAATTATCAGTTTTATTATTTATTTTAATTCAATTAGCTAACATATGGTACATCATTAGTTTCAGATGTAGTTTCCAATAATCCATCAGTTGCGTATAACATCCAGTGATCATCACATCACGTGCCCCTCCTTAATGCCCGTCACCCAGTTTCCCCATCCCCTTTCTCTCCAGGAATTATCAATGTTTTAAAGCAGGAGTCCTAAGGATAACTAACATGCTGATTAGCTGAGCTCAGTAATAAATTTACTTGTATTTCTTAATGAGAGGGCACCTGGGTGTCACAGTCAGTTAAGCATCTGTCTTCAGCTCAGGGCATGATCTCAGCAGGGAGTCTGCTTCTCCCTCTCCCTCTGCTCCTCCCCTGTTTGGGCTTGCATGTGCACACACTTTCTTTTTTTTTTTTTTTTTTTTTTTTTTTTTTAATTTATGATAGTCACAGAGAGAGAGAGAGAGGCAGAGACACAGGCAGAGGGAGAAGCAGGCTCCATGCACCGGGAGCCCGATGTGGGATTCGATCCCGGGTCTCCAGGATCGCGCCCTGGGCCAAAGGCAGGCGCCAAACCGCTGCGCCACCCAGGGATCCCACACACTTTCTTTAAAACATAAATTCTTTCAAAAAATTCTTAACGATAAACTATTAGGGATCCCTGGGTGGCGCAGCGGTTTAGCGCCTGCCTTTGGCCCAGGGTGCGATCCTGGAGACTCAGGATCGAATCCCACGTCGGGCTCCCGGTGCATGGAGCCTGCTTCTCCCTCTGCCTGTGTCTCTGCCTCTCTCTTTCTCTCTCTGTGTGACTATCATAAATAAATTTTAAAAAATTTTTTAAAAATGATAAACTATTAATGAATTACAGATTTTAAACTAGCATTTCCTACATATAGCCAAAATTTAGTGTTGTTCCCCTGACAGAGACTGGGTATCAGTGCTCTGAATTAAGGACAGGGCCTATGGAATCCACACAGAATGGGGGAGTGGCATAAGGGGGAGGGGAACGAGAAATAAAGTAAATCTTAGAGCAGTAATCAATTTCTGAGAATAAAGCTTTTAAAATTTTCATAAACTACCCTAACTACATTATTTTTAACCCCAAAACTAATTTCTGATTAATTCAGAATCAGTTCTTAACCTTAATTTCTTTCAGCACAATCACAGATGTATCTAACACGTACCTGATCTTCTGGGTATGAGAATTATCTTCACAAGGATCCTAAAATCAGAAAATTCCTTTTAAAATTTCCATTTTAGGCAAATTTCATGGAATGAGGACTCTAACAAAATTCAGTGTCACATTAATAATCCCAAATATTCAAATAATACTTAAAAAAAGAAAAACATTCTGGCTTTTTCAATATCACCTAGAGGTTTACAATTGAAAATGTTTGTCTTAGCCAAAAGATCACTACTAAAAAAGGTAGATTCTTGCCATCCACTGATAAGGCTGAGAACTTACCAAAGAGCTCTGTCAGCAAATAATTCTGACTTCACCTTCAAAATATATGCAGAAATAGACCACTTCTCACACCTCCACTGCTACCACCCAATCCAAGTCACCATCACCTCTTGCCTGTATGATGCCTGTCTCCCTGCCTTGGCCTTTTATTTCCTCCGTCTATTCTCAACACAGTAGTTGCAGTGGTCCATTAAAATATAAATCAGAACACCTCATTCCTTGGCTCAAAATCCTGTAAAGCTTCGCACTTGACTCTGAGTTAAAAACCAAAGATGTTATGATGGTCTCAAGATCCTCCACCATTTGCCCATCCCAATGCCCTTTGCTTCCCTACCTTTCCCACACGCTCCTCCTACTTACTCTCCTCCAGCCATATGGCTGCCAGGCAGCTTCCCAAACACACCAAGCACACTGCTACCCCAGGAACGACTGTCCCTCTGCCTACAATGCTTTCCTCCAGATTGGAGCATGGCTCGTACTCTCAACTGCAGCTCCTGATTTCAGTAACTGGACACCCTGCCACACATTTTCTAAGCTCCTTCTCCACTTTATGTTTCTCCTTAACACTTACCACCATGCAACACTCCCTTTATTTTTATAGATTTTTAGGTTTCTATTGCTGACTGCCCCCCGATCAGAACATAAGCTAAAAAAAAATAAAAAATAAGCTCCATGAGAGCAGGTGCTTTTATCTGTTGTCTATTTTGTTTGCTGCTTGAATCCCAGCTCCTACAACACAGCCTAGCACACAGTATTCATTCAATAAATATTTGTTGAATAAACAAATTAAGGTCAACATTTTCATAAACCTGCATATAACTAGGATTTCATAATGCTTTAAAATACAGTTCTCCTGAAATTAAAATGCTTTTGTCATACACAAAGTTTGTATTTTAGTGCTTACCTGACGAACTCTCTCTTTAGCAGATCTCATTAAATGAGTAATAGCTCTGTTGTGATGTAGCCTCAATGAGCTAAACTCATCACTACAGGTGAAAGAAGACAGCAGCCCCATTTTGATAAAGGTCTGGCAAAGCACTAGAAAAAGAATATGGACATAATCAGAAAGGCCTTCAATAAAATGGCAATTTTAAAGAGACTAGAGAACAACACCCTTTATTTAAAAAAAAAAAAAAAAGTGGGGCACCTGGGTGGCTCAGTTAAGCATCTGCCTTTGGCTCAGGTCATGATCCTGGGGTCTGGGATGGAGCTCCAAGTTGGGCTCCCTGCTCAATGGGGAGCCTGCAGCTCCCTCTCCCACTGCCCCTCCCCTCCCCCTAACCGTGTGTATGCATGCACGCACACACTCTCAATAATAAACAAAATCTTGAAAAAAAAAAAAAAAGAAAAACCTCTGTAAGAAAAAAGTTATGTTTATACATATTATAATTTGGGGATTAACCCTCCAATAGAGAAGGAACAGTCGGTACTCTGGGTGATCAGGGGCACATCTAGAATTACCTATTTGATACAGAGAAGTCATTTGTTTACCATGCCTGGTCAGCTGGTAAAGCACAAAGCTGTTTTTAAAAAGGCAAGAAAAAAAATGTAGACTTACTAGTCTCCCAACATTCAAACACATCACCTTTTGTTGACAGGCAATGAAGTAAGAACAAAGGCAACAGTGAAAACATGATTAGAACTGACAACAAAAGTGACTTATTGTTTTCAACTGTGGACTGATGATCTCTAACCAACAAGGAGTACAAAGGGATGTGCGCAGACCAAATACTAGGGGAAAGTCAAGTCTGAAGTCACAACACCAAGCTGCTCAGAAAAAGAAGTTTCTACAGAAGTGCTTGGCTTTTATTTATTCAAGGAATACAGATACCATGGAGAATATTTTTTTTTTTTTTTTTTTTTGAGCACTAGGCCAGAGGTCTTAGGTGACCTGTCGGTCAAAGCCTGGTGCATGCTAGTCTGGTCAGGAGCCAAACCTGTCAGAGGACTTTCTTTAGTAGCTGGTTAGCTCTGACTTGTTAGCAACATACAAGTAGTTAATTGTGGGGTTACCATTTTGGCACTCCCCCCTCCACAGAGCTCTGTAGGCTCCTAAGGAGGAATAGAGATGTTACGTGGCACCTGATACTATAGTGACCCATTATAAACGGGCAAGGTCCTGGTAGTGTTACTGTGGAGTAAGCTCAGGCAACACACAGGAGCCAGAGGGAATCCAAGAATATTCTTTCTATATGGGTAACTTCATTAGATTATCCATTAGTTGAATAACATCAAAAACATTTTAGATATACTTTGTTTAAAAGTTCGGTCACTAAGGAGAGCACAGGACGTAATGAGCACTGAGTTTTATATAAGACTGATGAATCACAGAACTCTACCTCTAAAATTAATAATATACTACGTGTTAACTAACTGAAATTAATTTTAAAAACTTTTTTAAAAAGAATAAGCAAAAATACAATTAGGAAGAATATGTTACAAAATTCTAATGATATAAAATTAGGTTAAATAAAGTGGGTAAAATAATTTACATAAGTAAACAAATAAATAAAAGTTCAGTCACCTACAAAGAAATCCAAAAATATCTTAAAATCAACAAGATTCAGATTTGCTTTAATTAGGAGCCAGATTACTACCCAAAAATCATTACAATCTGCTTTTCTATACAATGAGCTCAATACAATAATGCCCAGCTACCTGCGTTCTGGAACCTACAAGAACACCAGTTTTATACACTTGTATATTTCCCACGTCCCATCAAGTTCATCAAAACACCAATCTACCTTTAAAATATTACTCTCTAAGGTCACATAAAGGTAGCTCTACGTTTGAGGATTTCTAACACTAAATAACACTTGGAAAGACTTTTTTGGTAAAAGATTCTTAGAATCTGTGGTTGGAGCTATTAAAGAGGCCATAATGTTCTCAGTGAGCTGGACCAAAAACAACATGATCCATAATTCTGCTCATGTCTATGCATGCTCAAGTTTCTCATATACGTAACATATGGCAGGAATAAAAATAAACATTTCAAATACTGTGGTATAATAAAAAACATATTTGGTCTGGTTTCCTGAAACTCACATAGCTTCTAAAATTCTTGTGATTTCCCAAGGGCTGGGGGTACTAGGAGCATCTTTTGTTCTAATATTTGGTCTTTGACTTTAGTTCCTGACACAAGAACTTCTAAGACCCTTGTAATCTCCAGTAATAACAGTGTTTTTTGTATGCTAATGAGATGACTGGGGATCCCCAAGAGAACTTCAAAGGGGGACTTGTCACCAGAAAGACCAAGCCATGATTAGAAGCTTGGAGTTTTCAGCTCCACCCCTCCATTCTCCAGGGAGAAAAGGGCTGGAGATGGAGTTAAAAATTGATCATGCCACCATGATGAAGACTCCATAAAAACCCCTCAAAAGGGATTCAGAGAGCTTCTGGGTGAGCATTTCCATACACCAGGAGAGTGGTGCACCCAACTCCATAGGAACAGAAGTTCCTGTACCCTGGTCCTCGCCCTATGTGCCTCTTTATCTGGCTGTTCATCTGTATTGGTCATCATATTCTCTTATAAAATAAATCCAGAAGCACAAGTGTCTCCCTGAGTACTATGAGCTATTACAGCAAATTATTAAAACTGAGAGGGAAAAAAAAAATAAATAAATAAAATAAAATAAAACTGAGAGGGCAAGAGTGGATGCTTGATTGTAAACAATTTACAGCCAGGTCGGACACAAGTATGAGTAACCTAAGGACATGGTGGACCCACTACTTGCAACCAGCATCTGAAATGAAGGCAGTCTGTGAGACTGAGCCTTAGCCTGTGGGATCTGACATTAACTTCAGGTAGACAGTGTCAGAATTGAACTGAATTGTAGGACACCCAGCTGGTATCAGAAAACTAGTCAGTATGGGGGAAAAAAAACATATTTGGTGTCAGAAGTACTCTGTAGATGAAAACAGGCTCCTATTCAACAACACAGACTGCAGCTGGTTCAAGGCTCTGGTCAAGAACTAGCTCAGAATAAGTACTTACGATGTTCATTTGGCTGCTCACTGACTAAACCATGATAAATCTTCAAAAATTATATGAATGATCATGTTATAGAGACAAAACAACTATTTTTTCGTTAAATACAGCCAACTTCATGGTTATTAATCTTTTGGAGTTCCCAATGCATTCAAGGGATACAAACTATTAATACTCATTTCAAATGTTTATATATAAGCTGCTTTTCAGACCCACATCAAACAACATAGAATTTTTACAAGGTTAATTTAGCAAGAGTTATTCTTACTAACATTTAAACACCTGTCTTGAACGGAGCGGGTTTGGTTCATGCACATGGCTCAAGTGCTCCAGCAAAGAGACGAGCAAGAGTTGGTTTGCAACTGCAAAAGGGAAAGTCGGCTGTTGTAGGGGTCCTTTTAATACTTGGAGTTCTGCTGGGACATCAGATTCTAAAAATTAAAAGAGGAAAAAATGTTTATAAATGGGAAACATATCCCACAATGAAAAAACAGCATCTTTTAATTAATGAAACACAAACTTCTGACATTTAAGGAAATAAAACACAAGAAATAGTAGTTAAGCTGAGTGGGGTTAATCAAGATGGACTTTCCAGAATTGAGTGTTGAGTTGAATTCTGGAAGTTGGAAGACCAGCAAAAGGATACCATCAGAGGGAGGGTAAGTTGGTAGTAACAGTTTGTGCAAAGTCAGAAATAAATGAATGAATAAACATTCAGGCGAACTAGCGAACTAGCGGGAACTAGGAAAGGCTTCCTTCCTTTGAGAGGACAGTCCAGGCACCAGCACGAAGAATAAGTCTGGCAACAGAAAGAGGGCAAGGCAGGAGGCATGGGAATCATCAGGGGCACGTGCTGCGTGTGTGCCAGGTGTTCCACAGAAACAGTCTCATTCGGTCCTCACAAAATGGTGGAAGGTAAGTGTCACCGCTCTCACTTTACAGATGAGGATACTGACCTCATAGAGCAGTCAAGGAACTTGTAGGCAGAACCACGCCCAAGTCCATCCTCTTTCCACTACACAAGATGAAGCAGATGGACAAGCTGGCACTTCAAACTGAAGGCTGTAAGTTCTCGCTTACTGTTTGTTTCATGGATTACTGAATAGGCCAGTAACAGTAAGAAGGAAACATGTTTGAGAAAACTGTTCTGGAACATGTAATAGGTAGACAAGAAGAAGCACGCGACAGGCAACAAGAACCTAGTATAGGAGGTAAAGAACAGAAACATGGAGGAAAGAATAGGTCCCAGAGATACTGAGAAAGAAATGTACTAGCCAATTACACAACACTAGGAGTGGGAGGCGCAGCGGTTTGGCACCTGCCTTTGGCCCAGGGCGCGATCCTGGAGACCCGGGATCGAATCCCACATCGGGCTCCCGGTGCATGGAGCCCGCTTCTCCCTCTGCCGGTGTCTCTGCCTCTCTCTCTCTCTCTCTCTCTCTGTCTCTCATGACTGACTGACTGACTGACTGACTGTCTCTCATGACTGACTGACTGACTGACTGACTGACTAAATAAATAAATAAATAAATAAATAAATAAATAAATAAAAATTCAAATATTGCACATAGATCTAAGAAAAGATAGTAATATTTATAGAGTTCTTACAATAAAATGAAGCATAATTAAAACTCAAATAGGCTTAACATAACTAGTAACTAGTGACATATATATTAAAATAACTATGCTACCAAAATTTGCCATCAGACTGGTAACCATTTGAAGCCTGGGATACATGGTATTGTTATGAACACAGAAAAGCAGACATTTTCAATCACAGTGGGGTAAAAGTGTTTGCAACCTTTGGCAATAAATATATCATAAAATTCCAAATATGCAACTTTTGACTCAGCACATCGAGTTTTTGAAAATACAAGAAAATAAAGCACAACATATATATATGTAAGATGTTTAGCATAACATTGTTTAGAATACTGAAAAGTTGCTAAATTATATACGTATAACAGATTATGCAGCTATTGGAAATGATGGTGTATAAAAAGATAATCATGAATAGTCTTATCAAGTCAAAGAAGCAAGCTACAAAACAGTAATACTAATGAAGGTGAGGCGAGATACCTTCATATAAACCAACACCACCTCTCTTGTCATCATTTTACCAAAATATATCAAAACTTTTTAACTTTATTTAATCCAACAAATCCTATTTCTATAAATGTAGTCTAAGGAAATAATCAGATATCAACAAAGATTTTTGTATACAGATGTCAAACCCAACATTATTTCTAATGATAAAAAAAAAGAAATCTATTTTCCAAAAAGGCAAAGACTAAAATGATAATACAGAATGTAATGGTCTAAATGTTTTTGAAGGCTAATTTATCGCAAGAAAATGTTAATATAACATCACATTTAAAAAGCAGAACATGGACAGCCCGGGTGGCTCAGTGGTTTAGTGCCGCCTTCAGCCTAGGCCCTGATCCTGGAGACCCCGGATCGAGTCCCGCGTCGGGCTCCGTGCATGAAGCGTGCTTCTCCCTCTGCCTGTGCCTCTGCCTCTCTCTCTCTCTTTCTCTCTCTCTCTCTGTGTGTCTCATGAATAAATAAAATCTTTAATAAATAAAATAAAATAGGGGATCCCTGGGTGGCACGGCGGTTTGGCGCCTGTCTTTGGCCCGGGGCGGGATCCTGGAGACCCGGGATCGAATCCCACATCGGGCTCCCGGTGCATGGAGCCTGCTTCTCCCTCTGCCTGTGTCTCTGCCTCTCTCTCTCTCTCTCTCTCTCTCTCTCTCTCTCTGTGACTATCATAAGTAAATAAAGAAATAATAATAAATAAAATAAAATAAAATAAAATAAAATAAAATAAAATAAAATAAAATAAAATAAAATAAAAAGCAGAACATATGGTGCCTCAGTGGCTCAGTCAGTTAAGTGTCTGCCTTTGGCTCAGGTCATGATTCCAGAATTGCATATCCAACTCCCTGCTCAGTGAAGTGTTTGTTTCTCCCGCTGCCCCTCACCCCACTGTGCTCTCTTTCTCTCTCACTGTCTCTCAAATAAATAAAATCTTTTAAAAATAATAAAACATAAAAGGTTTATCATACTACTATGCTCACAATTTAAAAATATATTTATTCCATAGCTACATAAACGTACAGACAATACAAAGAATAAAACAGCAACTCTCTGCCCTCTCTGTTTCCGATAATGTATCAACAGAATTTGTACAACAAATGAAATTAATGAATATGTTGTTTTACAATCTGCCTGTATGATCCTTAGTATCTAGGCATTTCCCTGGCTTACAGCAATTCTCATTAATAATAGTAAATGAATACACCAAATTGTTAGCAGTGAGTCCTCTGGGATGTGAGTACAGGTAACTTACCCCTCTTTTTCCTTTATTTAAAATTTTTCAAATGATATTTCTAAATTTTTATCTTATTTGGACAAACTCAGAAATTTTTAATCCATTTATAATATCTGACAGAGTTTTTTTGTTTTTGTTTTTTTTTTATTATTTATGATAGTCACAGAGAGAGAGGCAGAGACACAGGCAGCGAGAGAAGCAGGCTCCATGCACCGGGAGCCCGATGTGGGATTCGATCCCGGGTCTCCAGGATCGCGCCCTGGGCCAAAGGCAGGTGCCAAACCGCTGAGCCACCCAGGGATCCCTCTGACAGAGTTTTAAATGCAAAACTCAGCAAAGAAATTTTTGCTAGGTATGTCAAAATGTAAACAGTAATCTCTGGGTGATGAGATTGTGGTTTTTAAATTTCCTTCTTCAGGCTTTTCTATAATTTCAACATACTTTGTAATGTGAAAAAATTTTTTTAACACACTGAATTGTCAACAGTGGTGTTAAGGTTTGGAGGGTTTTCTGCTTTTCTATCCTCATACTTTCCTATGTTCTACAACGAGAACATCCTACTTTTTAGTAAGAAAACAAACAAACAAAAACAATGACCAGAGTCAAGTGAACCAACTAAACCAAAAAAATGGCATCTTTACAAAAGAGCAGTGGACAAACACTCAAACGCAGGAAGACATAAAACTTCGGAAATGAAGTCCGAAGCAGAGTGCTTCCCATTCGGTCCTGATCAAGTAGAAGAGGAAGAGCAAAGTGGCTAATAGGAAAGACAAGGTCAGGCCCTCTCATAAAAGAAGAAAAAACTTGATGAGATCCTAGGTGAAGTAAGAGATCGACATTTCTGCCAAGTAGGAAGGGAAGAGACAAAAAGGAAAGGGATCACCTACTTCAAGCTTCTCAGGAAAGTATGATCCATATAAATGGTCCAACATTACATAAGGGAGGAATGTGGAGGACTACTCTGAGGTAAAAATTCTGAAAAACTCAGGGGTGCCTGGGTGGCTCAGTGGTTGAGCATCTGCCTTTGGCTCAGGTCGTGATTCTGGGGTCCTGGAATCAAGTACCGCCATCAGGCTCCCCACAGGGAGCCTGCTTCTCCCTCTGCCTATGTCTCTGTGCCTCTCATGAAAAATAAAATCTTTTAAAAGTTCTGAAAAACTCCTATCAGATAAAAGGAAAAAAAAAAACAAACAAAAAAACAAAAAAACAACGAGCCCGGCAATGAATGGGCTTACTGTTGCTCTCCTGCTGCTACCTGCTATTCCACAGCGGGAAAAGAACATACAGGAACTCTGATCAAAGTTAGTCCCTCCGTAATAGACTAACAAACACAGGTTTTAGAGTTATATCTAGGCTTTGAATTTTGACTCTAAAATAAACTGGCAAAGTAACCCCCTCACATCATTCAGATGACCTTCGAGAAATCAGGTAACCACTGTTTCTACATCTACTAAAAATGAAACTACATTTTTTTCACATAAAAGATAAATTATAAAAAGAAAAAAAGATAAATGTCTGGGTATTCCAGGCCTCCTTGAAGAAAAGGTAATATGTAAACACAAGAGTATTATTTGTAACCTCGAAAAAGGACATTTTTCAAAGCTTATCTAGATCACTCCCTTCAAGAATAATCTTTCCTTTGCAGAAAGCCTTATCATAATGTTACAGCAAAGACAGACTTGCATGTCTACAGCTGGGGCTTTTCCTTTGATATAACACTTCCCATATTATTGAGCTGCCACAGCACACCGGGTTTCATGTGAAAAAATCAGTTCGTTAAAAAAAGTTCCCTTAAACCTGTCCTCTGTCAATGACCTACTTAAATTACCACCAGTCTGTTTTTGCTTCCCTTTAGAGTGAAGAATTATAGACAGTATTAGCAGTGAAGATCGAAGGACTTAAGGAATAAATTAATCTTTTCAATCCCTTGCCCTTTCTAATCCATCGCAACATGTTAATATTTGTTTCATGCTGCAACTGAGTGTATTCCCTGTAATCAACCTATGCAAACTACCATAAAGTAAAAACCTCCATGAATCGTTATTCATTCTTCATAGCACAGTTTAGTTTTAAAAACTGCCAAAACATGGGACACCTGGTTGGCTCAGCCAGTTGGGCGCCTACCTTCTGCTCAGGTCATGATCTCAGGGTCCTGGGATCAAGTCCAGAGTGGAACTCCCTGCTCAATCAAGAGCCTGCTTCTCTGTCTCCTTCTGCCCCTCCTCTGCTCTCTCTCAAATAAATATTTTTTAAACTGCCCAAACGACTGATAGTAATTAAAGATCTATGAACTTTCAATAAAATCCTGGATACTCTGGTTAGAGTCAATGTTTTAGGTACCCCTCACTTTATGCAGAATAACTTGCCTGACTTAACTCCGTATCTCCTAGTAACCAAAAGCCTCAAAAAAAAAAAAAAAAAAACTTGGGCATTTCTTTTCTTAAAACCCAAAAGACGGGATCCCTGGGTGGCTCAGCGGTTTAGCGCCTGCCTTCAGCCCAGGGCATGATCCTGGAGTCCCGGGATTGAGTCCCACGTCGGGATCCCTGCATGGAGCCTGCTTCTCCCTCTGCCTGTGTCTCTTATGAATAAATAAAATCTTAAAAAACAAACAAAAGGATGGGACGACTCTGCTGCTCAGTGGTTGAGCGTCTGCCTTTGGCTCAGGTGGTGATCCCAGGGTCCTGGGATGGAGTCCCCCATCAAGCTCCCTGCAGGGAGCCTGCTTCTCCTCTGCCTATGTCTCTGCCTCTCTCTGTGTGTCTCTCTCATGGATGAATAAATAAAATCTTAAACACACACAAACACACACACACGGATGATTTCCATAGCGCCCCACTATGAGAGGTCTCTAACTCCCTCATCACTGCAGCAAAAGAGAAGCTACAAATTAAAACACTTAACCCGAACTGTTGAGTGTATAAGTCTAGTAGTACAAAGCTCATTCTCGTCATCTAACAAAAACCACAACGCTCGCGAGCTGGAAAGCAGCCTGAGGTTAATCTTAGCACGTCCGGAGCCGAGTCCGCAAAGAGGAAACCACGGCACAGAAACGTAAACAAACGAGTGGGTCGCGACACCCTTCAATAAATGTCTACCTTACCCAGACCCCCCTCCCGCATCTCCCCCTCGCACTGCACTCGAGTCCGGATCCAGCCGAATTCGCCCCAAGCTCACAGCCGCCCTGCCCGCCCGGGAATGAAGGTAGACGGGTGCAAGGGGAGGGCGGTCGCGGCATTCCAGGTCCCTCACCATCATACTTGGGGTCCGAGCCGTCGGCCGGGAACTCGATGGCAGGAGGCGCAGGCACAGCCTCCGCCCCGTCGCCCTCCGCCTCGCGCTCTCGGGCACCGGAGCTGCCCCCCAGCATTGCCCGCCGCCAGCCTGCCAGCCTGCCAGACTACCAGCCCAGCGATACCCCTCTCGAAACCTGCGGCGCCCGCCACCGGATCCGGAAGTAGCCCCTCGCGCAGCGGAAGACCCGCCCCGGCCTCCCGCGCGCCGCTGGCGGAGGCGGGCCCTGCCGTAGGCCCCGCCCTTTCTCCCTCTCCCTGGACTGGGGAGAGGGAGAGAGGGCGGATCCCGCGCGGTGCGCCCCTCGGCGCAGGCGCGCTGGCGAGCTGGTCCTCTGTGGCCCGCGGCGGTCCGGGTGCGGGCCCGGGTTACGTGCCACGCCCGCGGGCGCCTGAACCTACGGTCCCGGTCGCTCTCCAGACATTAGCACCCGCACAGGGGTCAGAGCGATCACATCTCACGCCAAGACTTGGATGCTCATGTAAGAAGCCCGTGTCTGCAGATTCTCATCCAAATAGATGCTCTCTGCAGATGCAACGGTGACTATTTGTCACTTGCTTTTCAAAAACACAAAAACAAAAAAAAGCAATAAAAGCATCTACAAGACCTGTCTCAACAAGAACTGAACCTATTTTAGTCAACTGTTAAAACACTACAAAATGTGTAATACCACTCCGGTTCCAAAGTGAATCCAACCTAACAAAAATTCGCTGCTTTTAAGACTGAACTTTCTATTGAAATGATTTCAAACCTGAGACCAAGTGATCCCATGGCCACACTGCATCGACTATGATTTGGAGCCCTTGGCTTCAAAAAATCCTCTGCCCTCTGGAAACATCTCTGATTCCTTGGTTACCAACACAATGCTGTTAGAAATAATTCTTAGATTCTAGATCAGATAATACAGCTGGAATAAAAAGCCTTTCAGATTTTGAGCCTCAACCCCAGTGGCATGTGCAAAAGTGGTATTGCTTAATTTTATTTGAATAAAGTTTTCTTATAAAATCATACGGGATGAATTCACCCTGATAGAAGCAATTTGGAATGGTTCATCCAAAGATTAGGGATGCCTCTTTACCTGATCTGTTGATGGGAAGAATACAGGCTCTATGGAGGGTGATTTCTCTATATGCATCCACAACTTTAAAAATGCAAATACTTTTGACTCATCAATTCTTTCAGTAATTTATTCTAAAGAACAGGTTAAGAATAAGCAAAAGTATTCAGCTAAAACTATTAATTGCAACACAAGATATATATAATACCCAAACAAGAAGACAATATAATTCAGTAAATTATAAACATCCATGCAATGGTACACTTTGCAACCAATAAAAACATTAGTATGCAATATCCAGTTCTCCACTTTCCACCACCACCAGAATGGAGAAAACGGCAAACCCATTCACATGGAAATATAAATGAAGGCAACATTTCTAGAAGACAATACTCAGCTTATAGTGAAAATTTTCAAATAGTCATACTCTTTAATCCACATACAGGAATATATACAATGGTAATAATCAGAATGATGAAAAAAGGTAAATCTATAAGAGTGTTCATCAAAGTGTAGTTTATAATAGAAAAGCACTGGAATAAATCCAAATTCCCAAAAAGAAGAGCGGTTGGGATACACCCATGCAGTGAAACCTTATGCAACCATTACAGAACTTGAGGGTGAGAGTGGGGGAAGAGTATATTTCTCTCTTGGCTTTCATGGTATCACACAATTCTAGTTTTTCTCTATTTTGCTGGCCCTTCATCTTAGGATTCCTTTCTGGATTCTCCTCCAAATGCATAATTCTGTAGGGTTCTTGTCATGTCACTCCAAATTCTCTCAGGAGATAACCACATGCATTGCTATCACTTTACATAGTATCTCTAAGCTGACAACTCCCAAATGTATCTCTGTAGCACAGACTTGTTCTCTTGAATGAACTCAAAAGCATCTCAAATTTCTGAAAGCAAACTCACAATATTCCTCCTAAAATTTGTTTTCTACTACCTCTCTTCATTCAAGTAGCATATAATCCACCCACTTGTCCATGCCTAAAATGTGAGAGTCAACCTTATTCCATAACCAGACTATATCTAGGCTGCCCACAAATTAATTAAAAATAGAAACATGATATAGCATATAAACATGCAATATTAAACATGCAGTTAACTGGAAAGGAACCCAAATGGCCAATAAACATAGGAAAAGATGCACAAATTTCTCTATGTACAGGTAATGCAAATTAAACAGTGAAATAGTTTAAGATGTCAAACTATTATATTTTCAAAGTTAATCTTTCACACCAAGTGTGGGTGAGGATGTGGAGGAAAAGAAGCTATCATACATCACTAAAGACCTGCTTAGTGGGCAACCCCGGTGGTGCAGTGGTTTAGTGCCGCCTGCAGCCCGGGGCATGATCCTGGAGACCTGGGATCAAGTCCCACGTCAGGCTCCCTGCATGGAGCCTACTTCTCCCTCTGCCTGTGTCTCTGCCTCTCTCTTTCTGTGTTTCTATGAATAAATAAAATAAAAAATCTTCAAAAAGAAAAAAGACCTACTTAGTGATACTGAGTAAAGTCACATGGTGCATACACAAGATCCATTAATTTAATTTCCATTGAGGTTTCCTTTGGGTATTTCTACATGTGCCCAAAGATAGGTATATTATGTGTATGTCCTCATGTCTTATCATGAACATTGAAAACAACACAGCATAAGTTGCAGAAGGTTTTATGATAGTAATCATAATAAAATAATAATTGCTATTTACCGAGTACTATGTCAGCTCCCTCACCTGTTCTTTTTTTTTTAAGACTTTATTTATTTGAGAGAGATAGAGAGAGAGAGTAAACGAGAATGAGTGGGGTGAGGAGCAGAGGGAGAAGCAGGCTCCCTGCCAAGCAGGGATCTCTATATGGGGCTCAATCCCAGGACTCCAGGATCATGACCCGAGCTGAAGGCAGAAGGCAGACTCCCAACCCCTGCTCAACCATCTGAGCCACCCAGATGCCCCTCTGTCACCTGTTCTAAGTGCTTTCACAAATATTAATTCATTCAATCCTCAATACAAATTTACAAGCTAGGTGCTGTAATTAGCCTATTTTATAGTTGAGAACATAGATGTAAAAAAGAGCTTTTCTTTTTTTTTCTGATAGTCACAGAGAGAGAGAGAGAGAGAGAGAGAGAGAGAGAGAGAGAGGCAAAGACACAGGCAGAGGGAGAAGCAGGCTCCATGCACCGGGAGCCCGACGTGGGATTCAATCCCGGGTCTCCAGGATCGCGCCCTGGGCCAAAGGCAGGCGCTAAACTGCTGTGCCACCCAGGGATCCCCTAAAAAGAGCTTTTCAATAAACACCTTGCCTAAAGTTGCACTACCTGTTGTATTTGGGCAACCAGGACTTTTTTTCACATATCACCTTTCACTGCTCTCTACTTTTTTTTTTTTTTACAACAGCTTTATGAGATAACTTATATGTCACATAACTCATTCTAAAATTCTTTTTGAATGTACAAATGACTGGTTTTTAGTATACTCAGAGTTGGGCCATTACCACTATCTGATTTTAAAACATTTTTTGCCACCCTATAGAGAGATTCATTTGCGGTTAGATTCCTTTTGAATTCCCATATATGTTCCATCAATAGGGAAATGAACATATACACAAATGAATATTATAGAATTGTCACAATGATTCAACTAGATTCAAGGTGTTAAGTTAGGGCACTTCAGGGGATCCCTGGGTGGCGCAGTGGTTTGGCGCCTGCCTTTGGCCCAGGGCGCGATCCTGGAGACCCGGGATCGAATCCCACATGGGGCTTCCGGTGCATGGAGCCTGCTTCTCCCTCTGCCTGTGTCTCTGCCTCTCTCTCTCTCTGTGACTATAATAAATAAATAAAAATTTAAAAAAATTAAAAAAAAAAGTTAGGGCACTTCATGCAGTAGGTGGAGAAAAAAAGAAACAAAATGCATGCAAACACACACCAACAGTGTGGCCCTGAATTTGACCCTATGAAGTACAGTATGATGCCAGGTATGTAAAATTTTAAATATACAAAAAGCATATTATTCTGGGACATATATTTATCGTAAAAATATTAAAATATAGATGAAGAGTGCCTAGGTGGCTCAGTCAGCTAAGCAGCTTTGACTCAGGTCATGATCTCAAGGTCCTGAGATTGAGCCCCTCTGGCTCCCAACTTAGGGCTCATCGGGACTCTGCTTATCCCTCTGCCCCTCCCTCCACTCATGTTCTTTCTCTCTCTCAAGTAAGGAATGACATCTGACTTTTATTTTTTGTAAAGATTTTATTTATTTCTTCATGAGAGACGCAGAGAGAGAGGCACTAAGAGTAACCCTAAGGGATCTCCTGTATTCCAGATTCTTTCTAACTTTCACTGTGGAAGTAAGTCCCATTTCTCCTTGGTTGTCAGAATCAATTACCCCAGCCAGTATAGTAACTCCCTTTTTTACCTGTTGCCTTAGAGTCATGAGGAGCCTAAGGTGACTATTCAACAATCTTAACTTGCAATTCAGTTGAATCATTGTTGTGTCTACATTAGAAGAAACAAGACCTTTTGGAAATCCTTTTGGAACTAAGACCTCTAAGCCAGGAAAGCATAAGGTCACAGAGACAGGAAGAAAAATGCTAGAGTCACTTGGGGGTGATACTGAGTAGAGCAACTCCCATTTCAACTCCTTGATCTACAGACGCGTGGATCCTGAATGAGGGAGAAACAGCACCATATATTTATTGGGCACTGACTCAAAATATAAACAACCCTGAGAACCTTACCCCAGTCCTTCGAGGTGTGACCCCTAACTGGCACTGTAACTGAGTCCTCAAATGGCCATTGCATCAAGTCAGTTGCTTCAGGAAAGTAGGAAACATGGTAAGACAAGAGACTTCCATGAGCATGGGTCAACTGCCATACTTTATTTGCTAGAAAATGGGTTCCTTTATCAGAAGCAAAGCTGTGTGGAATACCATGACAGTGGATAAAGATATTCTGTAAGTCCACAAAGGGAAGTTTTGGCAGAATAATAATGATAATGATGATGATGATAACAACAACAGCAGCAGCAGCAGCAGCAGCAGCAGCAGCAGAGAAAGCAAATCTGTACCTATAGTATCTATTTTAGTAAAAACA